TTCCGTTCATTGCGTCTTTCCTTTCGTGTCACCGTTTCCCTACCATGCGTTACTTCCGTCCGCTCGTTTCAAGCCTTAAATCCCGTTCGTTTCTTCTTCCCTTTCGTTTCAACTCTTCCCTGCCGTTTGCTCCGTCCTTACTTCTGTTTTAATCCTTCCTGTGTCGTCTCAACTCTTCCTTTCCGTTCGCTGCGTCCTTTCTTTCATTTCAGATTTCAATTTGTTCTTTCCGTTCATTGTGTCCTTCCTTTCTTTTCAACTCAATGTTTCCCTTCCGTTCATTCCCTCCTTCCGTTCGTTTCGCCTCTTCCTTTCCATGCGTTACTTCTGTCCTTTCGTTCCGTGTCTTATATTCCGCTCGTTACTGCTTCCCATTTGTTTCAACTCTTCGCGTCGTTTCAACTCTTCGCTTCCGTTCATTGCGTCTTTCCTTTCGTGTCACCGTTTCTCTACCATGCGTTACTTCCGTCCGCTCGTTTCAAGCCTTAAATCCCGTTCGTTTCTTCTTCCCTTTCGTTTCAACTCTTCCCTGCCGTTTGCTCCGTCCTTCCTTCTGATTTAATTCTTTCTGTGTCGTCTCAACTTTTCCTTTCCGTTCGCTGCGTCCTTTCTTTTATTTCAAGTCTCCTCTTCAATTTGTTACTTCCTTTCTTTCGTATTAACTCTTATGTCCTGTTCGTTTCGTTTTTGTCCTTCCGTTTCAACTCTTCCCTTCTATTCGTTGCGTCTGCGCCTACGTCTTTCTTTCGTTTCAATTCTTCCCTTCCATTTGTTACTTCCTTTCTTTCGCATAAACTCTTATGTCCTGATCGTTCAGTGTTTCCTTCCGTTTCAACTCTTCCTTTCTATTTGTTGCGTCTGTGCCTTCGTATCAACTCTTTTGTCTTGCTCGTTTAGCTCTCTCTTCCTTTCTATTCGTTGCGTCTGCGCCTACGTCTTTCTTTCGTTTCAATTCTTCCCTTCCATTTATTACTTCCTTTCTTTCGCATAAACTCTTATGTCCTGATCGTTCAGTGTTTCCTTCCGTTTCAACTCTTCCTTTCTATTTGTTGTGTCTGTGCCTTCGTATCAACTCTTTTGTCTTGCTCGTTTAGCTCTCTCTTCCTTTCTATTCGTTGCGTCTGCGCCTACGTCTTTCTTTCGTTTCAATTCTTCCCTTCCATTTGTTACTTCCTTTCTTTCGCATAAACTCTTATGTCCTGATCGTTCAGTGTTTCCTTCCGTTTCAACGCTTCCTTTCTATTTGTTGCGTCTGTGCCTTCGTATCAACTCTTTGTCTTGCTCGTTTAGCTCTCTCTTCCCTTCTATTCGTTGCGTCTGCGCCTACGTCTTTCTTTCGTTTCAATTCTTCTCTTCCATTTGTTACTTCCTTTCTTTCGCATAAACTCTTATGTCCTGATCGTTCAGTGTTTCCTTCCGTTTCAACGCTTCCTTTCTATTTGTTGCGTCTGTGCCTTCGTATCAACTCTTTTGTCTTGCTCGTTTAGCTCTCTCTTCCCTTCTATTCGTTGCGTCTGCGCCTACGTCTTTCTTTCGTTTCAATTCTTCCCTTCCATTTGTTACTTCCTTTCTTTCGCATAAACTCTTTTGTCCTGATCGTTCAGTCTTTCCTTCTGTTTCAACGCTTCCTTTCTATTTGTTGCGTCTGTGCCTTCGTATCAACTCTTTGTCTTGCTCGTTTAGCTCTCTCTTCCTTTCTATTCGTTGCGTCTGCACCTACGTCTTTCTTTCGTTTCAATTCTTCCCTTCCATTTGTTACTTCCTTTCTTTCGCATAAACTCTTATGTCCTGATCGTTCAGTGTTTCCTTCCGTTTCAACTCTTCCTTTCTATTTGTTGCGTCTGTGCCTTCGTATCAACTCTTTTGTCTTGCTCGTTTAGCTCTCTCTTCCTTTCTATTCGTTGCGTCTGCGCCTACGTCTTTCTTTCGTTTCAATTCTTCCCTTCCATTTGTTACTTCCTTTCTTTCGCATAAACTCTTATGTCCTGATCGTTCAGTGTTCGTTTCATAAACTCTTAGCTGTTTCTGAATTCGTGTTTCGTTGCCGTTTCAACTCTTCCTTTCTATTCGTCTGCGTTTAAACTCAACTATTTGTTACTTTCTTTCGCTCGTTTTTCAACTCTTCCTTTCAATTCGTCTTCATTTCGTTGCATCCATCCTTTCGTTTAAACTCTTCCTTCCTATTTGTTATTTCTTTCCTTTCGTTTCAACTCTCACCTCACGTTTCAAAGAAAACTTGAAAAAAATCCAGTTCGCGAGAAAGGCATTTTTTTTCAAGTTTTCAAGGGTGGGGCCATTCGGGCTGGTATTTGCCGTCCAAGCAGCCACTTGCGGCCACTTGCGGCCACTTGCGGCCACTTGCGGCCACTTGCCCCAGCGGCCACTTGCGGCCACTTGCGGCCACTTGCGGCCACTTGCGGCCACTTGCGGCCACTTGCGGCCACTCGAGTGCTGCAAGTGGCTGCAAGTGGCTGCAAGTGGCTGCAAGTGGCTGCAAGTGGTTGCAAGTGGCTGCAAGTGGCTGCAAGTGGTTGCAAGTGGCTACAAATGATGCACGTGACGCTGCTTTGTGGCCACTCGCTGGGAGCGGCCACTTGCGGCCACTTGCGGCCACTTGCCCTAGCGGCCACTTGCGGCCACTTGCGGCCACTCGAGTGGCTGCAAGTGGCTGCAAGTGGCTGCTTTTTTGAATTTCAAATACCGCTGGTTTTGCAACCTCAATGTGTTTTCCATTGTTTTTCTCCACTTCTTCATCATAGTCCCTCGATTTTTCCATTGCTTTTCCATCGCTAATGGTCTCACATCGAAGCCACATTTTTTTCATTTTTTCCATTGCTTTTCCATAGTTTTACTCGACATCATTTTCCCCTCCATTCCAGTCTCCCCAGTGTTTTTTTCACAGTTTTTCCTCCAGTTTTACTCAATCGTCCCATAGTTTACGCTATCAATTTATCCTTCCATTTCATCAATGTTTCCAGTGTTTTGCCATGGTGTTACTCGATTTCTCCATCATTACCCTTCTATTATCTCAGTGTGTCTAACGCTTACACAAATGCACCTCCCACAATCCCTACCGTTGCACCGTATAAACGGTTTTGCTCGTTTCTTCCATGGTTTTATTTCCGTGCTTCTACTCCATAGTGGTCACACATCGAAACCGCATTTTTTCCATTGCTTTTCCATTGTTTCACGCGTGCTTTACGCGATAATGGTCCCATATCGGAGCCTCAATTTTTCCATTGTTTTTCCACCCCATCAATTTCCATCCTTTTACTTTTATTTTACTTGGAATCATTTTCCAAGCGTTCTACTCAAATTTTCCATTCTTTTCCCATTGTTTTATATGCTATCAATCTATTCTTCCATTTCATCAATTTTCCAGTGTTTTGCCATGGTGTTACTCGATTTCTCCATCATTACCCTTATGTTACCCCAGTGTGTCTAACGCTTACCCAAGTGCACCTTCCACAATCCCTACAGTTGCACCGTATAAACGGTTTTGCTCGTTTCTTCCATGGTTTTCTTTCCGTGCTTCTACTCCATAGTGGTCACACATCAAAACTGCAATTTTTCCATTGCTTTTCCATTGTTTCACGCGTGCTTTACGCGATAATGGTCCCACATCGGAGCCTCAATTTTACTTGGCATCATTTTACCCTCTCCCTATTCTTTCCACCGTTTTTCCTCGCGTTTTTGTGCGATCAATTTATCCTTCCATTTCATCAATTTTTTCAGTGTTTTGCCATGGTGTTACTCGATTTCTCCAGTGTGTCTAACGCTTGCCCAAATGCACCTTCCACAATCACTACAGTTGCACCGTATAAACGGTTTTGCTCGTTTCTTCCATGGTTTTTTTTTCTGTGCTTCTACTCCATAGTGGTCACACATCGAAACTGCAATTTTTCCATTGCTTTTCCATTGTTTCACGCGTGCTTTACGCGATAATGGTCCCACATCGGAGCCTCAATTTTACTTGGCAGATCAAAACTGCAATTTTTCCATTGCTTTTCCATTGTTTCACGCGTGCTTTACGCGATAATGGTCCCACATCGGAGCCTCAATTTTACTTGGCATCATTTTACCCTCTCCCTATTCTTTCCACCGTTTTTCCTCGCGTTTTTGTGCGATCAATTCATCCTTCCATTTCATCAATTTTTCCAGTGTTTTGCCATGTTTTGCCATGGTTTTACTCGATTTCTCCAGTGTGTCTAACGCTTGCCCAAATGCACCTCCCACAATCCCTACAGTTGCACCGTATAAACGGTTTTGCTCGTTTCCTCCATGGTTTTTTTTCTGTGCTTCTACTCCATAGTGGTCACATATCGAAACTGCAATTTTTCCATTGCTTTTCCATTGTTTCACGCGTGCTTTACGCGATAATGGTCCCACATCGGAGCCATTTTACCCTCTCCCTATTCTTTCCACCGTTTCTCCTCGCGTTTTAATCAATTTTCCCAGCGTTCTACTCAAATTTTCCATTGCTTTCCCATTTTTTCCATTGTTTTATGTCAAAGTCCCTCCTTTTTTCCATTGTTTTTCTCATCATTTCTCATCATTTTCCCCTCCTGTCCTTTTTTTCCCATTGTTTTATGTCATATTCCCTCATTTTTTCTATTGTTTTTCTCATCATTTTCCCCTCCATTGCAATCTGCCCAGATCCACCTCGGAGGGCGGACCAGGGGGGAATCGATACCCCAACGTCACCCAATTGCCACCTGGTACATAACCCTAAAAAAGTTTACCTGTGGCCACCTTTTTTACCACCTAATTTCCTCATTTTTGTCCGTTTTCGGGCGCTCTGCCCCCAGACCCCCTTAACTCACTTTGTTCGCATATAGAACTTCGCCTAGCCTAGCGGCTGGCTTTCGTGACAGATGCCAGTCGAAGAAATGTCACAACCAACCCCTGAAAGCATATCAAAATGAAACAGCTGCTGCTTATAATTGAAGCACCATGGCCAGCCACACCTGACTTTCTGCTAAAACCCGGCTGCTTTTTTCGAACATGTTCCTTCTTCATCCTTCTCCCAGGTTCACCTTCAGGTGACAGAAAACCACCGACTAACAGGTGCTGTACAGCTGCAAGGTCGGTGCTCAAAAGGCGCAAGAGACTTGCAAAGGACTAAACTCTGAACTTTACAATCCAGTCAATTGCAAAATCAGACATCAATCAGAGATCAAGACATATCAAGACATATCAAAACCATTCAAAACCTAAAGTGACTAACACCAGCGGCCGCTATCAGAGAATGCAGAGTTGCACTCTACATAGTGCCCAAAATCGTTGCAGCAGTGGATAATACTGTGACTGCGACAAAAGGAGCCCACATGATGCGATTGGCAATAGCTGCTGACATGCCAGCCCTGGTGAATGTGCCAGCCACCGCTGCCACCGGGATATCCGGGATATGCAGGGTACCCAGCTGGAGGATAAAACCAAAGGGCCTTCTGCTTGGAAGACTCAGGCTGCTTAGGCTGCTCAGACTTCTCTGGCTTCTCAGCTCCGCAAGTGCTTGAGTTTGCCGTTGAACCACACTTGGCATAGCCATTCTCCAACTTGCAGCAACGAATGCGAGTGAGGCCATCGCAGAAGAAACCTGTCTGGTGAACATTGCAGAACTGATAATCCTGCCAAGCTTGCAACGAGACCAAGCTGCCCAAACTGCCATGAGTGGCATTGGGAACTTTGGACCTCCATTCCTTCACAGCAGCTGTTGGCTTTCCGGCATCAGCATCACTTGGCACTTCTTTGTATGGCCCTGGGGTGTCTGGCAACCCGCTCGCATCCGGCAACTCAATCAACTCAGCCAGCCCAGGGGCAGCAGGGGCCGAAGGGGTCGCAGGGGCATCCTCTTTCGAAGGGCCTCGCAAATGACCAGCAGCGTCCTCTGCACGACTCGTCAGGGCCAGGGTCAGCAACACCAAGCACTTTCGGCTGCAAGGCATGGCGACACACTGAGATGAATGGCACAGGCACAGCGGACCGAACAACAAATTACTTGAGCAGATCGTCGTGGCAAGCCATCTGATGGGGATGGTCATGGTGCCTGCAATCCAAGCAATCTTGTCTTCACAGCGATCTCACTAACAGCTCCCCAACCATCAGAAACAGGAAGGCCTGTTTTGCAGAACTTTTTGTGTAAAACAAACAGATGCCAGCCGAAGAAATGTCACAACCAACCCCTGAAAGCATATCAAAATGAAACAGCTGCTGCTTGTAATTGAAGCTCCATGGCCACACCTGACTTTCTGCTGAAACCCGGCTGCTTTTTTGAGCATGTTCCTTCTCCATCCTTCTCCCAGGTTCACCGTCAGGTGACAGACTACCAGGTGCTGTACAGCTGCAAGGTCGGTGCTCAAAAGGCGTGCAAAGGACTAAACTTTGAACTTTACAATCCAGTCAATTGCAAAATCAGACATCAATCAGAGATCAAGACATATCAAGACATGTCAAGACATATCAAAACCATTCAAAACCTAAAGTGACTAACACCAGCGGCCGCTATCAGAGAATGCAGAGTTGCACTCTACATAGTGCCCAAAATCGCTGCAGCAGTGGATAATACTGTGACTGCGACAAAAGGAGCCCACATGATGCGATTGGCAATAGCTGCTGACATGCCAGCCCTGGTGAATGTGCCAGCCACCGCTGCCACCGGGATATCCGGGATATGCAGGGTACCCAGCTGGAGGATGAAACCAAAGGGCTAACACGTCACTTGCGCCTCCACTTATTCATCGTTTGCGCCGACGATTATAAAACCAAAGGGCCTTCTGCTTGGAAGACTCAGGCTGCTTAGGCTGCTCAGACTTCTCTGGCTTCTCAGCTCCGCAAGTGCTTGAGTTTGCCGCTGAACCACACTTGGCATAGCCATTCTCCAACTTGCAGCAACGAATGCGAGTGAGGCCATCGCAGAAGAAACCTGTCTGGTGAACATTGCAGAACTGATAATCCTGCCAAGCTTGCAACGAGACCAAGCTGCCCAAACTGCCATGAGTGGCATTGGGAACTTTGGACCTCCATTCCTTCACAGCAGCTGTTGGCTTTCCGGCATCAGCATCACTTGGCACTTCTTTGTATGGCCCTGGGGTGTCTGGCAACCCGCTCGCATCCGGCAACTCAATCAACTCAGCCAGCCCAGGGGCAGCAGGGGCCGAAGGGGTCGCAGGGGCATCCTCTTTCGAAGGGCCTCGCAAATGACCAGCAGCGTCCTCTGCGCGACTCGTCAGGGCCAGGGTCAGCAACACCAAGCACTTTCGGCTGCAAGGCATGGCGACACACTGAGATGAATGGGACAGGCACAGCGGACCGAACAACAAATTACTTGAGCAGATCGTCGTGGCAAGCCATCTGATGGGGATGGTCATGGTGCCTGCAATCCAAGCAATCTTGTCTTCACAGCGATCTCACTAACAGCTCCCCAACCATCAGAAACAGGAAGGCCTGTTTTGCAGAACTTTTTGTGTAAAACAAACAGATGCCAGCCGAAGAAATGTCACAACCAACCCCTGAAAGCATATCAAAATGAAACAGCTGCTGCTTGTAATTGAAGCACCATGGCCACACCTGACTTTCTGCTGAAACCCGGCTGCTTTTTTGAGCATGTTCCTTCTCCATCCTTCTCCCAGGTTCACCTTCAGGTGACAGACTACCCCCGACTAACAGGTGCTGTACAGCTGCAAGGTCGGTGCTCAAAAGGCGCAAGAGACTTGCAAAGGACTAAACTTCGAACTTTACAATCCAGTCAATTGCAAAATCAGACATCAATCAGAGATCAAGACATATCAAGACATATCAAGACTCTATCAAGACTCTATCAAAACCTAAAGTGACTAACACCAGCGGCCGCTATCAGAGAATGCAGAGTTGCACTCTACATAGTGCCCAAAATCGTTGCAGCAGTGGATAATACTGTGACTGCGACAAAAGGAGCCCACATGATGCGATTGGCAATAGCTGCTGACATGCCAGCCCTGGTGAATGTGCCAGCCACCGCTGCCACCGGGATATCCGGGATATGCAGGGTACCCAGCTGGAGGATAAAACCAAAGGGCCTTCTGCTTGGAAGACTCAGGCTGCTTAGGCTGCTCAGACTTCTCTGGCTTCTCAGCTCCGCAAGTGCTTGAGTTTGCCGTTGAACCACACTTGGCATAGCCATTCTCCAACTTGCAGCAACGAATGCGAGTGAGGCCATCGCAGAAGAAACCTGTCTGGTGAACATTGCAGAACTGATAATCCTGCCAAGCTTGCAACGAGACCAAGCTGCCCAAACTGCCATGAGTGGCATTGGGAACTTTGGACCTCCATTCCTTCACAGCAGCTGTTGGCTTTCCGGCATCAGCATCACTTGGCACTTCTTTGTATGGCCCTGGGGTGTCTGGCAACCCGCTCGCATCCGGCAACTCAATCAACCTGACCAACTCAGTCAGCCCATGGTCAGCAGGGGCCGAAGGGGTCGCAGGGGCATCCTCTTTCGAAGGGCCTCGCAAATGACCAGCAGCGTCCTCTGCACGACTCGTCAGGGCCAGGGTCAGCAACACCAAGCACTTTCGGCTGCAAGGCATGGCGACACACTGAGATGAATGGCACAGGCACAGCGGACCGAACAACAAATTACTTGAGCAGATCGTCGTGGCAAGGCATCTGATGGGGATGGTCACGGTGCCTTCAATCCAAGCAATCTTGTCTTCACAGCGATCTCACTAACAGCTCCCCAACCATCAGAAACAGGAAGGCCTGCTTGGCCAGAACTTTTTGTGTAAAACAGTTAAAACAAACAGATGCCAGTCGAAGACATGTCACAACCAACCCCTTTCTGCTGAAACCCGGCTGCTTTCTTGCGAACATGTTCCTTCTCCATCCTTCTCCCAGGTTCACCTTCAGGTGACAGAAAACCCCGACTAACAGGTGCTGTACAGCTGCAAGGTCGGTGCTCAAAAGGCGCAAGAGACTTGCAAAGGACTAAACTCTGAACTTTACAATCCAGTCAATTACAAAATCAGACATCAATCAGAGATCAAGACATATCAAGACATATCAAGACATATCAAGACTCTATCAAGACTCTATCAAAACCTAAAGTGACTAACACCAGCGGCCGCTATCAGAGAATGCAGAGTTGCACTCTACATAGTGCCCAAAATCGTTGCAGCAGTGGATAATACTGTGACTGCGACAAAAGGAGCCCACATGATGCGATTGGCAATAGCTGCTGACATGCCAGCCCTGGTGAATGTGCCAGCCACCGCTGCCACCGGGATATCCGGGATATGCAGGGTACCCAGCTGGAGGATAAAACCAAAGGGCCTTCTGCTTGGAAGACTCAGGCTGCTTAGGCTGCTCAGACTTCTCTGGCTTCTCAGCTCCGCAAGTGCTTGAGTTTGCCGCTGAACCACACTTGGCATAGCCATCCTCCAACTTGCAGCAACGAATGCGAGTGAGGCCATCGCAGAAGAAACCTGTCTGGTGAACATTGCAGAACTGATAATCCTGCCAAGCTTGCAACGAGACCAAGCTGCCCAAACTGCCATGAGTGGCATTGGGAACTTTGGACCTCCATTCCTTCACAGCAGCTGTTGGCTTTCCGGCATCAGCATCACTTGGCACTTCTTTGTATGGCCCTGGGGTGTCTGGCAACCCGCTCGCATCCGGCAACTCAATCAACCTGACCAACTCAGTCAGCCCATGGTCAGCAGGGGCCGAAGGGGTCGCAGGGGCATCCTCTTTCGAAGGGCCTCGCAAATGACCAGCAGCGTCCTCTGCACGACTCGTCAGGGCCAGGGTCAGCAACACCAAGCACTTTCGGCTGCAAGGCATGGCGACACACTGAGATGAATGGCACAGGCACAGCGGACCGAACAACAAATTACTTGAGCAGATCGTCGTGGCAAGCCATCTGATGGGGATGGTCACGGTGCCTTCAATCCAAGCAATCTAGTCTTCACAGCGGTCTCACTAACAGCTCGCCTTCCCATCGCTTGTTGCTTCGGCGTCTTTAGCAGTGTCCTCACTTGGGAAGCTATTTACTGCAGGATTGCAAACCCCAAAGCAGCCTCAATGGCCTTTGTTTCTCATCCTGGGACCACAAGGTGGGTGTATACACGTAACCTTCATGATTGATGATTAATTTTTTATACCATGTATGTATGTGTATATATTGAATTGTGTATGTATATATATATATATTATATATATATATATATTATATATATTATATATATACTGTATATATTATGGAGAAATTATAGCAATTCACCATTCTGAATTGAGGCTCTCTGTGGGGGTTACAGTACCCCGTACATTCACCCCACTGTTCCAGTGATGTCGCAGTGAGGTCGCTAAAATTTTAGCCAGATACAAGTGTGTGTATATATATATATGTATACAAGTATATATATATGTATATATATATATGTGAAAATGCATGTTGCCTTGGATGTTTACATAACATTGTCCTTTCAGGTCCTTGCAACTTACTGCATTCATTGCGTTGCCATCTATGGTCCGAGGGGCCCCTTGAAGCCTTACTTAGGCTTGGATCGTTGTGGCGTGAGATGGAAAAGTGACGCTTGCGAGCGTATTGCCTTTTGGTGAGGGTTCTACCCTATTTACAACATATCATCCTGATATTCAACTCCAACCACACATCCGCTTCCGCATGGTAGCGGAGCTGCGCTCCTAAAAGGACCGGCTGCCGCAGGGGGCACTTTGCTTCCTGAAGTGAGGACATTTTGTCCTGAGGCCTAAGGCCACCATTTGGCAATCCTTGCCAACCTGCAATGTCCCTGGATTCGAAGGATTCGTTCAAAGACCTGCAATTCAATGGTCAGCCGTCAGGATACAGAGATTTCCGAAGGAAAACGCTGTTAGCCGTGGCAAGCATGGAAGACAAGCATGCACATCTAGCTGGACCTAGGTTGCTGTCGCGACTATCTGGTGAGGCTTGGCGTGCTACTGAGCACTTGCCAATCAACAAACTGCGTAGCTCTGAAGGATGGTTAGAAGTGATTAAGGCCTTAGATAATCACTACCGATACCTGCCGGAGACAGAATTGCATGAAGCCATCGAAGAGTTCCTCTTTCAGTTGAAGGGACGCCATCATGAAGGTGCCACTTCATTCTCATCAAGGTTCAGAACTCAGCTGGATCGTGTGCAGACCTTGATTGCACAGGAAAGAGAAGTTGTGAGAAGTAAACGTAGGAAGAAGGAACCTCTGAAAAGCACAGCCTCCAGTAGTTTGGAGGAGACCAGTGAAGATGAAGATGATGGTGCTGGATCGTATGGAACAGCCCGTGCTCCATCCCGTGCTCCATCAGGTCCCTTAGGATCACCATCAGCCGAGCCTGTAAGGGCATCTACTGCAGAAGCTGCTGGAGAACCAGCCGCACCATCAGGTACACCACAGCCTGACCCTGCAACTGCTCCAGAAGGTAGTGTTGATGGAGATGGCGCCAAGTCAAAAGCATCAGCATCAATTGCAGGATCGAGAATTGGTACGAAACGTCGTCATGAGACACATTCACGTGGCACATTTGAGGAAGATCATGCACTTGGACTTCGGAAAATGCAACATATGCTGGGAACCTTAGAACCTGGTAAGCTGAAGCCGACTCCAATTTTTCCCCAAAGTGTGCTTGGACATTTGTACATGCGCAAATATGGCTTGTCCAGAGAGCAGAGAGCACAGATCATCCGGGCCACCAATGGCTCTTCACGTTTTGTGGACGTTGAGCGCATCATGCGCGCCTCTGATCTGGAAGAAACAAAAGATGATCGCCGTGTTCAAAAGACTGGTAGACGTGATGCCTATGCAGTTTCTGCCAAACGTGACAAACAGCAAGTGTTTCTGGCCGACGATGATGAGTCATCGGAATTGGTAGATTTCGAAAATGAGTCCAGTGAAACAGGTGATGATGAAGTTCTGGCCGCAGCACATGAGGATGAAGATGATTCCGAAAACGATGAAGCTATAGAAATCCTGGAAATGCACAAAAAGACCAAGGACAAGTTCCGAAAAGCATTTCGTTCATACAAGGATTCTAGAAAGAAAGTGAAGGAGATTCGTAAAAGCCGCCAGACATATTACCCTGTTGTTGCACTGAATCAGCAGTCTTCAGATGCCACTGGATCATCTGCACAAGTTCCTTTGCAGAAACAGCAGTTCAAGTATGACCGCAAGAACACTGCAGCTGCCAAGGGGAATCCCAAACGAAAGCCTGAGAAGGGTGCTCGTAAGGAGGAAGCCAATTTTACTGAAACATCCTTTATCACGGAGTTCAACTACATGGTGGAAGTCAATACAACGGTTTTATCTGAGGAAATTCTGTTGACAAGTATTCCCATGGGTTTTGCTATTGTTGATACTGGTTGCACAACTTCGGTGATTGGTCAAGAATGTGCAGAACGTATGATTGAATTTCTCAAACAGCATCAACTCCCTCTTCCTGAAGAGAAGACCTTGCCGCCTGTGGAGCTGAAGGGTTTCTCTGGAGAAGCTACAACAACCACCAAGGGTCTGGTTTGGTATGTGAAGCTGGGCACTACATGGGGTACTATATCAACATATGTGATTCCGGGAAAAACTGCCTTTTTGCTATCCAGAAGGGTCTTGGAGGGAATGAATGCGCAAATCCACTTGGGGGATAAAACACTGACTTCAGAGAAACATGGGATTCAAAACATGGCCCTGAGACAAGCCACGAATGGTCATTTGCTCATGCCGCTCTGGGAGTTGCCTCAAGATTGGAGTCCTGAAGAAGTTCATTTAGAAGAAGTAGAATCCGATGTGTGCCAACCCAATCATGAGCCCAATCAACCGCCAACTGCTGCCGCTGCCCGCATTGAGCCAGCAGTCATCGACGATGAGGACAGCTGCTCTGACCAAAGTCCATAAAACAGTGAGCCAGTTGGAAAAACATCCAATAGTCAAGGTCCCATAGGATATGGTGATAAGACTAAAAGGGATAAATGTAAAAGTGGGATAACTATGAATGACAAAAGGAGTGCACTTCAACATATTGCCAAAAATACCAAGCGGGGAATGGTTGATGTGACCGCCATGCATGACCCCCTTAGGAAAATCTTTGGTAATGTTTTCAGTGAAATTTCCCATGCATTCATAGCCTATCGCCCAAGACTAGAAAGGATGCCTCATGCCGCATCCGACAAAGACATGTTGTGTTCCATGGTAACCTTGAGTAAAGAGGGTATTTACCAAGAACTCCCCTGGTATATCCGACCAAAGGGTGCCGATCGACGAGGAGTACAGCAAACCAACCTAGCCTTGTTTGCATATCGTGAGTCGCCAGCTGAAACAGCCGTTCCTATCCCAAATGAGGATCATCCATGCATGTGTTGTTGTGAACATGATTCCATGCTCCCCAGCAACCATAGCCATGAGGGTAGTCTAGGACTGGAAGTTATGTATGAAGAACTTGATTGGACGGAACCCCAAAAGAAATTACCATCTGAAGGGATAGAAGCCATCAAAAAGGGTATCCAATCACTTAGGAAAACCAGTTCACAGATGCTCCTCTCACGCGTTCTCAGTGAACCGGATGCAGTGGAACGAGACTTGCGTGCCTGGTTAGGACCCCAAGCCCATAAGTTGAAGCAGCCTGTCCATATGATCGAGGTGTTCACCGATGTTGCACCATTGGCATCCCAGTTAGAACTTGAGTCAGGTCAAACTGTGATCAGAATTGGAATTCACCATGGCCAAAACCTCGACCGCCTCAAGGACAGACAGCTCCTTCTGTGCTTGATTGCTTTGACGCGGCCCCGTCACATTTGGTACAGTTGGCCTTGTGGAGACTGGGGACCATGGAGTAGGTTCAACATGAGTAAAAGCCCAAAATTGAAAGATGAAATCATGAGCCGTAGACAGCACCACCGTAGGTATCTCCGCACTGTTGCAGAAGCCTGGAATCTTCCAAACATTCTAGGAGGTTTCAACCATGCAGAAAATCCACTTAGTTCCGATGCCTGGCAAGAGCTCGATCTAGGTGAAGTTTTCGACATCCGTGTAGATCAATGTGCAATGGGTCTCAGGTGTCCGAAGACAAATCGTCCAGTGTTGAAACCCACCAGGATTGTGACCACTTCACCACACCTTGCAAAAGCTCTTCAAAAGTGTAGATGTGATCATAAACATGAACATGCTCACTTAGAGGGTCGCTACAAAGGTAGGAATTTGTCATCCTGGGCCGAAGTCTATCCAAAGAAGTTTTGTAGGATTGTTGCCAGAGCCTTGAATCAGGAGTCCCTGCAGTCAAATCCACCGGACAATCATTGGTCCGACGCGCTGTTTGCAGCCGAAGCATCCGAGCAAGAGATAGCACCTGAGTCGGAGGGCGACCAGTCCGATGTTCCAATAGAGAAAGCCAAAGCCATTGTTGCCAAGCTTCATGTTAACACAGGACATGCGTCCCCCGAACAGATGATGCGCCTTGCAAATAGATGCCAGTCATCCGAGACCATAAAACAGGTTATCCGGAACTTCACATGCTCCGTATGCGACGAACTCAAGGTTCCTGTCTTGCATAGGAAAGTCACAGTTCCACATGCTGAACGTCCAAATCAGATTGTTGGTGTTGACTTTGTGCAAGTCGAAATGAGACGAGAAGGTCCTGATGGGAACCTGCATGAAGAGAAGTTCAATGTTGCGACCTGTGTTTGCATGGCCACCGATTTTTGTCAGCAAGTGATCGTGCCTCCAGGAAAGAATGCCTTGTCCAAAGCTTTTCACAACGCATGGACACGTACCTATGGTAAGCCAGACATTGTGTATATGGACCCAACACAAATCACCTTGTCAAAAGATTTCCAAAGTTATCTTGCTCACCATGATATAAAGCTGTTGCATTGCGCTGCAGAGGCACACTGGCAACTTGGTAGATTAGAAATCGCCAACCGAGTCCTGAGAGGTATGGCACAAAAATGCTGGAGAACCACCTCCAGACCAGCCGATGAAGTGATTGAAACTTGTGCATCCATCCGGAATCAACACATGCGTAAGAATGGTTTTTCACCTTGCCAATGGTTCCTTGGACACGATGTCAAAACGCCTGGTTGGTTGGGTGATGTCTCCGAGCAACGAAATTTCCCAGTGCAGTCTCAAATCCTTTCCGATGAAACTTTTGCCGACCGAATGCGACTTCGAGAAGAAGCTGCAAGAGCCTTCATAGAAGAACATGCAAAAGACTCATGGAGACGTGCCATCATGGGTAGAAACAGGCCTATGCGTGGTCCCTATAGAGCTGGACAACTGGTATATTTCTATCGTAAAAGGGGTGCTGGTCAGTTGAGAACACGTTTTGGTGTTTGGCAGGGTCCCGGCAGAATTGTAGGTGTTGAAAGTTCCCAAGGTCACCATGTTCCAAGAATAGTTTGGGTATCTTACAACGGTTTCCTATACAAATGTGCACCGGAATCCTTGAGACCAGTCCCAGAAGATGAAGACACCTTCCGACAATTGGCAAGGGATCTTGCAGAAGGCAAACTCCATCCTGATGTCATCGAAGCCGAACAGGTAGCTCTCAAGAATGCTGGATCTTTCCAAGATCTGACAGATGACATGCCAGTTGAGGATGACATGGAACTCGCCTCTGACCTTGATGATGAACCCGACAATGCAGATCACAAGGGGGAAAAGCGTCATTTAGAGGGCGAGGAGCCAATTCGTAGGGTGTCCCAACGTTTTTATCGTTCACCTGAATATTGGAAAAAGCGTGCAGCAGGTGCACCACCATTAGGATCCCGTCAAGAGGGTGTAATGCCTGACATGATAATCCCAGGGGATGAGCCTAGTTCTAAGAGGGTAAGAATAGATGATCAACCCCAAGAACGAGAGTATGAGCCATCTGAACCATATGAGCCATCCGTTGCTCCAGATCCGCCTGATGATGACATGTCAGAACAGATCGAAGATCCACAGCCTGTGCCAGTGGAGACAACCGATTCTCCAAATGCCTGAGCCGCCTGCAGCAATGGAATCCACTGAAACAACCACAGTGCCTGAGGATGCACCTCCACACATTCAGAGTGATGATGAAGGACTGATTGCTGAATCCAATCCAATCAAATCAGCCGAGGTCATGGAAATATCAATAGATATAACCCCTGAAGATATCACCAATAATCCTTTATGCCTTTGGTCAGTACTTGATGAATGTCTACAGGTAGCCACAACCAAAGCCGCCAAAAGACGTGTTGAGGTATCATTGCGTAAGCTCAGTAATGAAGACAGAGCTCTTTTTGAAAAAGCTATGCAAAAAGAATGGCAATCCTGGGTTGAAAATCAAGTCATGTCCTTGTGCAAAAAGCGTGGTGTTGACCCCGAAAAGGTAATCCGAGCTAGATGGGTATTGGTTTGGAAGAAAAGCAGCGATCCCGACATAAAAACAAAGACCCCAAAAGCTAGATTGGTGCTTGTTGGATGGCAGGACCCTATGTTAGGAAAGATAGCCACAGATAGTCCCACTTTACGTAAGGAGACCAAAAGCGTAGTACTTTCTGTGTGTTCCGCCAAGAAATGGAAACTATGGGGTGCTGACATCAAGACCGCATTCCTCAGCGGTGATGCATCATCTAGAGAACTTTACTTCAAACCACCACCTGAGATCAAGCAGTGGATGTCATTGACGGACGATGACGTTTACCGCCTTGAAAAGGCTGCCTATGGTCTTGCCGAGGCCCCGAGAGCTTGGTTCATGAGGTTAACACGTGAAATGAAAGAGGCCGGACTAACCCCATCCAGCCTAGACCCTTGTCTCTTTTACCTGAGGTCCAAAAATCAGTTGAAGGGGATATGTGGGGTTCACGTTGATGACTTATTAGGTGGGGGTACCCCTGAAATGGATGAAGTTCTCACTAGACTTAGGTCTAAGTTACCTTTTGGAGATTTCCGAACATTCACCATCAGGTACACAGGGATTGAAGTCCGACAGGACCCACAAACCTACAGCATTGAAATTGGCCAGGAAAGCTACATCGACTCCTTAGAACCTGTTAGTACAAAAGCTTTGGGAAGTGCCGGAACCACCTTAAGTGATCCAAGTATCTTGAGGACCTGCGCCGGTCAACTTGCCTGGGTGTCAAATGCGACCCGTCCAGACCAGAGTTTCTTGTCATCATACTTGCAGGGAGTTCAGGACAAAGGCCAAGTTTCCCATGTTCAACTGTATAACAAATCACTCCGAGAGATGAAAGAACGTAGAGTCTGTTTACGTTTTCCTAGCAATGTAGCCATCGAAGATTGGAGGATTGTATGCATTTCGGACTCTGGATGGGGAACCCGTAGTAGTGGGGAGAGTCAAGGGGGATATATTCTGTGCCTTGCTCATAAATCAATACTTGAGAGAAAACGTGCTCCATGTTGGATCATAGACTGGGCCAGCAAGAAGCTCAGACGCATGGTTCGCAGTTCCGTAGCTGCGGAAACACTTGCCGGCCAGAACGGCCTTGATGCCATCGAGTCTCTCCAAGCATTGCTGAGTGAGCTCCTCCATGGAAAGAGCCCCAAAGAATTTCGGGAAAGTAAACCTTCTGTTCCGTCAGCACTTGTCATTGATAGCAAGGGTTTCTATGATGCAGTGACGAGAAGTTGTTGTTCGCAATCTATTTCAGTTGAAAGAAGACTCATGATTGACTATGCGATAGCCCGTGAAACTATGACCAACCAATGGATCTTAGCCTATTGGGTAAATAACCTTCGCATGGCAGCTGATGCTCTCACAAAGCTGAAAGGAGACACACGTCCACTTTTTGAAATCTTGGAAGGTGGAACCTACCAAATCAAGTTGTGCGAAGAATCCGGAAGGAAGGAAACTGCCAAGAAAAAGAATGTGCCGCAATCGCCACCACAGCAGTCACCGCAGTGATTCTGAGAAGGGTGCCTCATGCATGAAATGTAAAGGGTAAATAATCCCCATAGGAATAAATAAAGACTGTTTGTATAGGCAGTTATCGTGAAGTCGATAGTTTCTGCACAGCCTCAATGTTCCTGAATTCACCTGACGAAAAAGAAAAAATCACACGCAGTGATCCTTAGAGAAATTCAAGGAAGCCAAGTTTTTGTTATTTTTCTCAGTCGAACTATAAACCACTTGAGCCAGATGTCAACTGAAAAATCAGTACAGCCGTTTTTGCAGCCAAGTGTAACGATCGACGATTTTTTCCAAATAGGCCCAACCGTGTTGCCGGTGATGAGTTCCAGCAAGACAGCCCGTGTGGAAACTGTCTCAGATGGTCCATTGAGTGATCATGAGGTCGCAATGGCTTCAGGTTTGCTCTTGCGCGCCGTCAAACATGGACAAAGTCACCACATCATGAACACAATCCGTGGTGCTCCGAATTCGAAAGCTTACTGGGTGGGAGGATCAACTGTCCTTCAAGACCTTCACAGTGCAGTCATGCTGAATCTGCCAGGTCCCTCCTCTATGAGTGATGCCTCCAAACGCCGCTTATCAGAAGATGATGATGAAGCTGCATCTTGGGACAAGGTGTCCGCCAGCCGTGAGGAACTCAGTGAAGCTGCATTCATGGACAAGCTGTCATATGGAGATAGCAATGTTCCAGCACCGTGGATGGAAAGCCGCAGTCCGCACCTCCGTGCCATGGATGAAGCCCGTGAGGACATCCGCATTCCATTTCCCAGCGACATTCAAAGTGTCGAAATCTGGGGCAAGTGCTTTTGTGAAACTGATAAGTATAAAGAAGAGAATTTGAAATATGATCAGCTAGTGCAGCGTGCCAAGCATGATGCCGATTGTAAGAAGTACTTGAAATGGCTTGTTGATAAGTATGGTTTTAAACCAGGTGTGACACCATCCGATGAGAAGATTACTCCAGGTAAGGATCTGGCACGATTCTTGCAGCGCTCAGGATGGAAAGCTTCCAACTCAGACGTGGCATTTACCCGTCGCTTTGCATGATGTGCAGCCGGAAAGGCACAAAAAATATAAGCCTCGTGGCATAGCTGGCAAGAGGGCGTGAGAAAATGCATGTTGCCTTGGATGTTTACATAACATTGTCCTTTCAGGTCCTTGCAACTTACTGCATTCATTGCGTTGCCATCTATGGTCCGAGGGGCCCCTTGAAGCCTTACTTAGGCTTGGATCGTTGTGGCGTGAGATGGAAAAGTGACGCTTGCGAGCGTATTGCCTTTTGGTGAGGGCTCTACCCTATTTACAACATATCATCCTGATATTCAACTCCAACCACACATCCGCTTCCGCATATGTATATATATATATGTATGTATATATATATATACATATATATGTATATATATGTATATATATATGTATATATATATGTATATATATATGTATATATATATATACGTATATATATATACATATGATTATAATATACATATCTAATACATATCTCACATATTGATGGATCCCAACTGTTCTAAATGCTCAAGTGGCAAAATCACTCCTCGGCTCGCTGTCTTGCCTCAGCTTCCCGGGTCAACTCCTGCCAGTGAAGATAGTCTGCGACGAGCAAAGTAGCTGAAATGATGGAGAATTCGCCGCTGTTTCAGGATTTGACTTGACTTTCTTGGGGCTGGAAATGATTCCTAAATGATCCCTGGAAAGCATCAAAATGATCTCTATTGAGGCGCCCAAAATCGACCGAATTTCTCCTCATCCCAAGCAGAGCCACCCAGCTTGACATCGCAAGTGTAGACGATGCCAAAATCCTCTGCTTTGGAACATCTACCCTCCAGTAATCAAACATGGCTAGCTGGAAAATCCCCTTTTTAAGTGGGCATTCATTCATGGGACATCTATGGTGATTTTCCGCAGAGCCAGGTTTGATGATATTTCTTTAGAGAATGCACATCAAATATTTGGCTTCTTTCTAGTCAGGTACATTCAGGCTGCGGAACTCAAACCGGGTTTGCGTAACGCTTGTGATCAGATTTGACCCTGGAAAACTGCTGTGGTAACTGGGCATCGCACCCCTTCACCCAGCAATCTACCGAAGGTGTAAAGCTCTCGAAAGTCGGGCCTGAGCCAGTCAACTGAAATCTGATGTGGTATGTAAACCCAATGCCAGAGTCATCAACATCATCCAGAACTTTGGGCGTATACCCACTTTCGTAAACCTCAATTATGGGACGGCGTGATTATTGATTGGGTTTACCAAGTTGGAGGTAAAAGTGAATTGGTGTGTTTCACTACACATTCAACCTCTAATCATATCCAAGTTGGTACCTCAAAAAGCAAAAGCTTTATGAAAATGATGCCAAAGTTGGCCAGGCAATGTCAAGCTCAGGGCGCTTTGGTCTCCCGCACAACGAAAGGACCTGACACAAATCGTGGCTTTTCGTGTCCAACTTTCATGGGATCATGGGCCGTCCTTCGAAAACCCTGCCTTCCTCGTAGGGTGCATCCCGCACGATCGGATGCGGACCGCAGGCACAGGAAGCCAAAAACACCTCGCGGCGAGGCCACATCATCTTTTTGGGAGGTGATGCAAAATCCACCCATTGATTGGCTACATTAATATCCCATGATTCTGTATTATATACCATGATTTATGATAATTATAAGGGATATCATGATTATACCATTATTATTCCATTGTATAACCATATTTAGAATCATGGGATATCCAAATTATATGCCACATAGTATCCCATGATTCTACATATACAGCATATATCAATATATATATATATATCACCATCTTGTCCATCTCTTTCGAGTAGGCACAACACACCCCAGGGTGGCAGCCGCCATGGCCACTCCTTCCGGCAAATGTTGTCGACATTGGCTGCCCGGCGTCGCACACGGCCGTAGGCCTGACTTTGAGTCGCTCGTGTGCCACAAGTGTAGCTGGAGAAACAAACACTGTTCTCAGCCAGAAAGAAACACATTGGAGTTTCAAACTAAAAAATGAACGTATTCCAGATCTTGATGTGTATGTGTATGTATATATATATAGTATGTATATATTTAGTTATTAATAAATGATATAAAGTTTTATTATACATCGCAATCAAATTATATATAGTATACATACATATATATATATAAATAAATAAATAAATATATAGTATATACCTTAGACATCCTTATACCTGTAGGTTCTGATCTCTGTTGGTCCCACCTCCAAGAAGCGTTGAGGAGTTCCACCAGGAACCAGTCGGTGAAATGGACCGTCCCACAAGTGGCTGGGGTAGCGACGACTGTGGCAGGGCCTTTCAAGGGAAAAGAAGGGAAAAGGGATGAAACTACGACTGAAACTTGCTATAACTTGATGAAATTTAAGATGAAAGTGATTGAGAATTGATTTAAAAAATGACTCAACCTTGATTTTTTTAAAAACATATGATTAAAATGATGGAAAATGATGGAATTAATATGGCATATGAATATCAAACAGCGAATTCGATCCTGTCTGCCAAGTCTCTGACCTCAGCAAGCTGAAGTTCCTGGCCACTTTCGAAAGTGCAACTTGATCACGACGGGAGGAAAGGGAGTCAAGTGGCTCTTTCAAAAAAAAAAACATATTTCTATTATATGTATGGACATGTGATTCTATATATTCATATATTATGTGTGTGTGTGTGTGTCACCATTTTCATCCATGTTCCCATGCCTTCCAAACTGGAACCTCTGCCGTTTTTTGTTGGCTCCCAGTTCTCACCTGAAGGCCAGCAGTCTCGAGACCTCCGATTTGCTTCGGGGCATCTCGCTGGAGTCGACCATCTCAGCCGGAATCATTGGAAGATACTGATCTGGGTATGGATCAATACCTATTAATACCATTTTTAGGGGGATGAACATCCATTTACCAGCTATTTTGGGGTTCACTAGGTACCAGGGTTTTGACCCATCCCCATATCCAGAGTGGTCAATGTGCCATTTTTGTTTCACATCTTTGGATGAAAAAATGGGAGTGAGGCCCCCCACCCTGATAGCCATCACATCTGCAGCCTGACATCTGAACATCAGTTGTGGAACCATCCGTTTTTCTTCAGGTCTTCGTGTCTGAAACTGTCTGGGAAGATCTGGGTTTGTCAAAAAAATTGACTTATGGCCACCAGAACTGCAATTTTAATGTAATGGGAAAATGATGATGGATGATGATGGGTTTGTTTGAAAATACCATATTTATCATGTTTTCAGACAAACCCCGAAACGGACGAAAATCTCAAAGTGCTGTCGCCTCAAACTGATGCTCCCGTGGCAGCGGCGACAAATCACACCTCCCCAAGTCATGGAGTACTCCAGGACTTTGACCCATACCCCATTTTCATATATTTTCATAAGGTAAATCAGTAAATCATCATAAATCATCATGAATCATCTATCAATGGCCTGTTTTCCACAGCTATATTAAATAACCAGAGGGCAACCAAAAGAAGAGAGCCAAGCCGTCCAAGTCACTACTGAGACTCCCACGCGGCCCGCGCAACGTTCAGCAGCACAATTGCCTCAAGCCACGCGACCGCTTGAAAGCTCAGCCCTTCCCAAGTGGGCTGAACTCTAGGACTCCCACTTCCCAAGTGCAGGATGCAGGGAAGTAAATTCGCCGGTACCTGGCTTCAAAGATCTTCAAAGCAAAATAAAGGAAAATTAGAGCAACAAGATGCAACAAGCCTTGAAAAAGCCTTGAAAAACTCAGCTGTCGGTCGCAGCAACCGGGCAGCCGACGTGTCCAGCTTTAGAAACTTTCGCAAGAGCTTGCACCGAGTCTCAGCAGAATGGCAAAATTTTCCACCACACCATACACCATACCACTGATACCACATGTACCACACCAAACACTGATGCTTCATGGTGTAACAGATGGTAACAGCAAACATCAAAAATCTCAATTTATCTCAAACCTCCCCTTCCATTGGATGGACTTGTCTATTTTGAAACCCGGTGCTTCTCTGACGAATACTGCAGCACGTCGGACGGCACATCATGGCTGTTTGCGACATCTCTTAGCCCAGGGCCAAGTGTCCCTTGACATTTCGGGCAATGATCGTCGCTGCCTTTTGGCACTCACCAGGCTTGAGTATCAGCAAAACACACACAAATGGTGGAACATGGTGTTTTTGGGGGCTCAAAAATCACCACTGGACAAATAGATCAAATAGCACATGTTTTTTATCATAATTTTAAGGAAAGATTGCAAGATTTGAAGAGCTCCCCAGCTCGGTCGCCACTCCCGTGGCATCTCCCAGCACTGCACCTCCCGCACGGTGCGGCGATTCTTGCGACGCCGGACCCATCGCCGAACGGACAACCTTACAACGCCACAGCGCCACAGCGCCACGCTCGCGAAAGGTCGGCGTTTTTTAGGCACGTGGCACGTGGCACGTGGCACGTGGCACGTGGCACTTGGCACAACAGATTCTGGATGTCAAAATGTCAAAGACTCAAAGATCAGTGTATCTTACCACAAATCCATCCAAATCCTTGATACTGCAATCTAAAGATAACAATACATAGTCTCTACGAGGAATATTGGTATGTTGTAAGGGTCAGGCTCAATGAGTTTAGAAGCCCGCAGAGTCAGCATCTCCTGGTTTGGCGTTCTGCAACCATTCAATGTTTCAAGTGAGACACTCAGATAGGTATTAGTGTGGTAAACCCAAAGCCATGCTGCACATACCATGTTTAACTATAACCCCAAGTCGGATAATTAGATATATTATATATTGTTATTCTTAGGAAAAGTATATGACCGAAGATTCACGAAAACATATGCTCACTTTCAAATCTGAATCTGTGATCAGGCATCACATTCTGCAATTCACCACAGATTTTGCTATCCGCTCTTCTGCGCAACGAAATCATGCAGTCCTGTGCACTCAGCAGCAAATCCAGACCTTCTTCTTCTGCAAGGAACTTCTCGACATACCTGGAGGTATAACAAGATGTCGGGCCAAGTTGTTTCGCTGGGCCATTGAGGTTTTGATGTGTTGAAGCTCCAAATTTATTTTAGACATCGATCTTTCCAACGAAGCAACTAAGCTAAGGCCACAACGTCTGCATTGCCCGTTTCCACAGGAACTTCCGCGCACATTTCTGCAGCCTGGGACCACATCACAGCGACCCAAAGTTCCCAAGTGCAGAAATGTTGCAAGGCCATATTTCATCAATGTTCATCATATTTCCATATGTTTCCAAAAATTTACCGTATCGCTCATAGGTTCCCAAGGTTTCTTCTCTTTGTATTTCTTGCTTTCCAGACTAGATTTGAAGTCGTTCTAGCTTCCAAAAAAAAATCGCACCCCATTTTGGAATTATCTGACATCTTCTTTCTGGGGGCTCGAAAACCTGGTATTTTGGTGAAGAATGTGAACACCCAAAAGCTGCTGGATGGAACCATCCCCATCCAGCCGGTCCCGATTTCGGTCCCGATTTCAACGCATTTCCCATCCCCGCCTGATGGCGCTGATCCTTTGCGTCTCGCTGAGACTGAACTTGGTTTCAGGTGTCAATCAGGCTGCCTTTGAATCTTTGAATCGTTGAAAATGTGGCTTTTATGGCTGTTTGAAAATGGGCTACACATTTTACTCAGTGGTCTATAATCTACCCAAATGACTGTTCTCGACTTTTGGTGAAAAACAAAACACCTCTTCAATGGCAAGCCAGGCTTGGCCTTCCCATCTCAAGTATCCCTGAGATTGGAACCTTTAATGAGCGTGCCTTGTACACCTGAAAGAGCAGTGCTTCCAAATGTTTGAGGACAGGGGTGATTTATGGTGATTTCCCAATGGTGAAATGAAAATGAGTCCAGTATGAGGCAAGCACGTGAAGCATGGAAAGGCGTGCCACATCACGTACGATATTTCCATGTCTACCACTAGTGCCCATGGTTCAAGTGGGGTTCCGCACCCTCCAGCCACCCTGAATTGCAAAGGCAGCACCTCACATCCAAATCCGAGAGCAACTGATGCTGCAAGGCGACGGATGACATCGGACAACTTTCCCCTGACCCCTGGCGACTCAAAATGCTGCTAAGGCACTGCATTGAGCGGATTTCCCATAGAGTTGTCGAAGCCTCATTTCAAAATTGAACTTCATAGGAAGACAGCGTTAAACTGGATAGTTACTGGTGAATTGAATCTGCCATGGTGATTCTCCCTAAATGTCACAAATAGGAGTGTAATCCCACAATAAATGGGATTCGAAAAAATATAATTGCCATTAATTATCATTAGTTAACCCGTTTTCCACCATCAAAACGGCAGTGTGTTAAACACCGCAAACACAAAGACTGGGCGCCAAGACTCGTCCGCAGCCTGCGCCAAGGAAAATGAAGTCTTAGATCATGGGATGTTCGAAGTTTTCCAAAGATTTCTCAGATGATAGTCCAGCTAGGATGTGAATGGGTATTTGATGGGAATTTGTTTGAAATGGGAAAATGATGATTAACCCGGGAAAATTATGATTAACCCTGGGATTTCGAGGGGTCCCCTGGGCCCCTTGTCAGAGTGACAAAGCCATATGTTGCAGCAAAGCTATTATATATATATATGTATATCATATATCTGTATCCCAGTTGCATCCCCCTTTTTTCCTTTGAAAATGCAAAGCTTATACTTCAAATTTCATGAAAGGACTGTCAGTGATCCCCCTGAAAAGTCCCTCATGGCTTTCGGTTATCTTTGGGCCTCTCGCAAGAGCTCTTGGGGAGGCAGAAAACTCTCTGGTGGTTTCTCTCGAAAGAGAAAGGCACTGGCCTCGATGCCAAGCTGCAAAAATCTTGCAAAAAGTCAACGCTTATTTTATGCAAAACCATGAAATCAGTGGAGAAAAACATCAATACCCTCTGGTAAACGTTTACATAACGAACTGGAAAGATCCACCATGCTATGAATGGGAAAATCCCACTATTTCGACTGGGCCATGTTCAATAGCTATTTTGACATAACCAGAGGGTAATCATCAATAACATCTTCACCAAATCCTTGGATCAAGAGAAAGATCAGATGCTTCGTGTTATCCTTTCGAAGGCTCCGTCCTCGCTGTTGGCTGCGAAGCGCCGGAAGCTTCCAGTGGCATTTCCAGCAGGCCTCGATCAACTGACTTTGAACGTGGAAGGTTTCATCCAAAAAGTAGAACCTAAACAGAACTCAATGACACTAACTTCCTTTTTCGCGCAAGCAAGGGCCCATGGGTCTTCCCCAGTCCCCGCCCGCCTCCGTTCCGCCCCGGTCTCCGTTACGGCCAAATGCTCCTCATCCGTCAGGACGCGAAGATCCAAAGCGATCAGAGTGGTGGCGACGCTGAGGACGTGTGTCTGTAGCCGGGTCTGAAGGGTTTCAACATGTTTCAGCCAGAAATGGTTCGTATATCCACCATGTAACTAGGGAAAATGGATGAAAATGGTGGATGATGAACCACTGGATTTGGTGGTTTGCTAAAACTTTCAGACAAACAGATGGGATAACTGGGATACCATCCAAAGGGGATGACAAAGGCTGCCATTTGGGCACTGCGATAATACAACTGTGTATCACGGGATATTTGGAATAACGGCATAACTGCATAGAAGAGCCATGAAACATGACAGACTGGATAGAGTTCAAGATGTAAAGTTGGTTTTAATATGTTTTAATCATTTTAATCTACAGCCAAATTTCAAGGAGATTTTACAGGGATATTAACTGGATCAACCTCTCTGGGTGCCACCAACCAGCAGGGGACCCTCCATCCCTACCACAAATAAGCAGAAATTTCAGAGCCATTCCCGCCTGGTATTCAGGTTGGCTGGTGATGGGATTCCCATACAATGTCAGCCATTCCAGATTTCCAGGGGAAGCTGCACACTCCACATCTTGCCACTTGGCCAGGAGGTTCTTGTGCAGTAGCAGGCTCTTGATGTTCGACATCCTGCAGTTTTGTTAATGTCCCCGGAAAAAAAGGCTGCACCAAGTGTTGAACCATCTGAAAATTGGGTCAAGATGAGCTACAAATAGCTACAGTAATTTACCCAACATGTCCTCAGCGGTTTAGATGGTTTAGGGAACCAAAAATATCCAACCCATCCAGGGACTAAAGGGTGCCAGACCTTTGCCATAGCTCAAGTTCGGGCAAGGCAGCCAGACCTGAAAATCGAGGACTGGCAGTGGAAGATGAGAGGAGACACCAAGTTCCGGGAATCCAATGGGGGATCCAATGGAATCCATATTGGAATCCATAGGCTTTCCTGAGTTTTGCTTTCCAAAAAAGCCAAGGGAAGATATGGCAACTTCAGCCGTAAGTTGGATGTAGTCGAATTGGATTGAAGAGCCTACAAAACTGGCGGTACAGGGCAGCTTCTATCAGCAGGAAAAACAAACGAGAAAACGGATCTGGGAGTCGAGCCATACCCTCAATGAGATGTGTTTCAACTCTTGAGCAGAGTTTAAGACGACGCCACACCCATAGATCCCATAGGGCAACAGGTCCAGTAACTTTTTTTTGAAAAAATGAAGTGTGCTCAGGTTATCGCTGCAATAGCTGGCGTCCAGTTTCCACAGAGATGGAGCCCACATCAGCACCTTCAGGCGTTTTTCCAAGCGCATCACATATAAATCAAGCATGGCAATTTATAAAAAGAAAACTGGGGATACGAAATACGAAACAAGAAGAATAGGGGTGTAACATGGTGTAACATATGCGTTTGCGAAAATGGGATATACCCCTCAAAGTGCAGAGCGGTCATTTGATATGGTAAATATATTGTAAAGTGTTGATTTTTTAAAAACTGCTGAACAAACTCAACTGCACTCTGCCACGAGGAATCATTTGGTGACGGGACCAATACGCATCGCCGGGCATCATTCTAAGAACGCCCCATTTAGATCACGAAATCAACAGATTCAACATGAATAGCAAGATTTCTAGGGGGATGCCCATAACCCGCAGGTCCTGTGAGTGGGGATGTCATCACACAGAAGGAAACATGGCTGGCTAGGAAACATGTTAATGAAAGAATCCAAAGAACCCCATCTCCTGGGTTTATTTCCAATGACCATAGGTGTTTGAGATGTGGAGTTATAAGGGTTATTGCAGCTATTTCCCATTGCCTGGGTTACCCTCTGGTAAACTAAGATAACTATGGAGAATCACCATTTTTAATGGGAAAATTTACTATAAATCACCATTTTCAATAGCTATGTTAAATTACCAGAGGGTATCCCAGGGTTATCCAAGAATTTCCGATTGCTGGAAGATTCAGAACGACCTTTCCCTCACCTTGGTCAGATCCTCCGTTGCCAGAGGCGCTCCTGACAGCAGCAGAACCTGGGCAGGTTGACCGGTTGACCCACGATGGATCGGAAGGAAAAAATGCAAAAATTAACAGAAAAATGATGAAAAATATGAGCAAAATATCTGAAACCACCACAGTTAATGCAAAAAAACAAGTCAAACACACAACATCCAATGATGTGTCATGGTTCATTGCCATTTTCATATGATGTGTCCCCATGAAAATGGCCATAGACATGCCATAACTGGGCCATAACCATCCAGCGCCATCCTCAAAATTTCAGGCACCTTTAGGTGCCGAAATCTCTCGGGGCTGCTCTCGCTGAAACGGCCGCTGGAGAGATCCAGGGCCTTAGTGGCAGAGATCCACGGCACGCTCCGAGAAGCGTCGAAGCGTCGAACTGGAAAGAGCTGGAAAGAAGTGTCACCACAGGGTCCAGCTTGCTGATCCAACTCTGGTCGCGACTCAACCTTCACGAAGTCCGAAGGCTGTTGAATTCAAATCATTTCAAATCATTCAGATTCATTGGAAATGGGGCATGAATTGAAGCATGTACTCCAAACATTACTAAAATTCAATCGTCCCAGTGCCTCGTCTTCATTCATTGAGCCAGCCCGAGCACTGACTTGGCTGTTCTCACAACCATCAAGCAGCCGCTTCTCGGCAGCCAAGGTCGAAGTACGGAAACAGTTGCAATGCGCTGGCACTGTGTGGTGCTTCTGAAGCGTCCTAGTCGTTTTCCCTCCAGCTTTACATAGTTTTACTGCAATTGTTACAATGCAAATTCAGTTGGGTATCTTGCACTTGCCTGATGCTAAGATGCTGTGCCCAATGCTGTCTCTGCCGCACAACTGTGGCAGTTTTGTATGCGGCGAAACCAGATTCAGCAGCTTCTATCCATGTCCCAAAGTCTTCAAGCTTGAGATAAGGTGATATGTAGATGCGGAATGACTTCAGGATATAAACATGTGCTCAAGATTGTGAAGACACGCAAAGTTCTGTATGAGCTCAACGATCCACCCATGCACGGGCAGCTTTTGCCAAGACTTTCCTGGTGTTTCTCGGTTTGTACAGCGCGTGCGCGTTGGCGTCCATTAGAGCCAAAATGCCCGACCTGTCTTGTGGTGTATCCGGGATGTATCCAGCATGTCACCAATCATAGATTTTTGATTCTCATAGATATACCCCATATATATATAGAGAGAGAGAGAGATATAGATAAATATATATAGAGAGATATAGATAAATATACGAACACTCTTTGCCGCGCCAACCGCCAGCACTGTGTTCACTGTTCAAATGCTCACAAGTTCCTGTTCCCAGTCCAGCTTAGCTGACTAGTGGGCCAGGCGAAACCGGAACTTCAGAATTATCAAGAGAGTGATAAGTCTGCTGGTTCCGCTGACGAAAATCTGGGCTACAGCCAATATCACCTGGAAATTGAAATTGACCAACACAACACATGAAACAAAAAGATGAAGTTTATTATATACTACTTCACACTCAATCCTTGACATTATTCACATCCATAGAATCCCAAGAGTCACGACACTGTTCCCAATTTCTTCAGGTCGCGGGTGATGGAAAACTGGCCTCAACCTGAGTTTCCACTTGGAGGATCCCTGGCCAGTTTGTAAATGGTTGATAGTCATCGGCAGTAGTCGTACCTATTCCTGTGGTTATCCCATCTGTAGTGGGCAATAAACTATCGTTCCTAACCAGTTGTTCAATGGTTCCAAATGGGCGGCTACAGTTTGTCATTGTTGATTATATAACCCACTATAAATTCTAAAAACGGTAAGTACTAACCAGCTGATAGCATCTTTACCATTGCTTGTATGATGATCACATATTATCACTATTTTTTTCTGAGAATATAAAGAGGCAATCATATATTGCTTGTATGATTATTGAGAATTGAGAATATTAATCATGAGAATTCATAATATTAATATAATAATTAAGCTTGCATTATCCACAGGATTATCATCTTTAAGAACTCACTGAGATAATCCTCCAGCTGCCACGAGCCCCCAAAGACATCGCGACATCGAACCCCTGAGATTCCGACCGCTGTGGGCCTTGCCACAGCATGCCCAGAGCCTTGGCGCAGGCGCCTTTATTGGTTGAAATCTATCTGCATAGGTGCGTACAATTAGAAAGATAGAAAAATATATGTATGTACATGTATGTATCTATTACAGTATATAAAGTATATACGTGAATATCTGTTGCAGAAAAACCGAATGTGACATAATGTTGATATTTTTCTTTTGCACATTTGATAAAAACGTTTCTTTCTAAAATGGCTGTATTCTGTATTCATATTGTCAAGTGGAAAAGCTCATCTCAGGCCCATTCACAAATGTAGCGCTTCGCTCACGCGCCCTCCGTGGCCTGGCTAGAAATTGTGCTCGAACCATTCAGAATATTCGAGAATTCCCAATTTGTTGAACAAACGAATTGCGATTTAAAGAATAAAAAATAGATGGTTTAATCAATGAATGCATAAATGGAAATGGATGTGTCCGGAAATGTAGCATGGTCCCCCAATTTGTGGCAATTCAACAATATGGAAAATGATGATTAACCCATATTAACCCTAAAGCTTTTTGGCGTGCCCTATCTTCAGACGAGCCTGAATCTACTAAGCAGATCCTAAGTTTTTGTGCCTCCTCCTTCTTAAAGAATTTCTGCATAATGTTCTCATCCACCTTGGCCGGCGTTTTCCCTACTTCCACACCTTTCAAAACTGTATTGTATGTATGCTGCATGCTGCTAATCAGCTGTCGAGTGCTGTCGACATCTCTGGCCCACACCCAAGGTGCCATGGCCAAAGCAGCACCAAATCGCAGTGGGAGCAACAGCCGAGCCTCAGAGGAGGCGATGGCAAACTTGGTATCCCCAAAATCCATTCATTTACACCATCAGAATATACAATTGCAACTATAATACTATATATATATCACTATATCGATATAATATAAGATATGTTCAATATCTCAAATGACATCAAAATTATGATCCCATTATCGCATACTATCCCCATATTACCCCATATAAACCGATCCTTATTCCCGGGTTCCATGAAAATTCTCCCCACCTCGAGGCCTCGCGATTTTTGGGCCCAGGCAATGTTGGAGGCGGCAAAGACCAGGCCGAAGACGGCCGCGCTCTCCTCATCAAGGAGAAAAGCAATGGCAATTTTGGAGAGAAAAAAACAAAAAAACAGACATCCAAATCAGGGTACGAGTGTGGATGTGAAACGGGTATTGATTGATTGATTGATTGATTGGTTGGTTGGTTGGTTGATTGGTTGATTGATTGATTGATTGGTTGGTTGATTGGTTGGTTGATTTATTGATTGGTTGGTTGGTTGGGGATCTAGTTGGGATATTGAGCAACAGTGGGGAGTTCAACAACAATGGGGGACTTAACCAGCCAGCAACACTGACAAGGATGCGGTACTAAGTAATTGGTCATGATGTGTAGTCAATCATCATTTGCAGTCAAGAATTAGATACCCTTAGACACCATTCCAGGGATTAAATCCCTCAGAGCTCCTCGGGCTTGCTGAAGTCGGGCCAGTGGCCAGCAGTGTTCAGGTAGACAATGCACCTGAGAAAATCTGGCAGATGCGGCAGAAAATGCGGGAATTCAGCACTCGAGACACTGAGCCTCTGAGTTATCAGACTGCGGGATAGTTATCACATATCACCCGGTTGGGAGAGTTCCCAAGCAACAAGAATAAGTAGAGAGACCTGTTCCGAACTGAATCCCTCCCCTTTTAAGTTAGTTAATCATGAAATTGATCGTCACGCGCCGGCCGCAGCCCCGAAATCCCCAAGATCAGCACTCAGTGGGGAAGGCAATTGCCCAGAAGAGCAACTCGGTGATGACGTAGGACAAAGTGCCGGCCTCTGATCGCCATAGCATCCCCCTTTTTTCCATGAGGCTGGAAGTATTGTACCAGGCAAAATGATGGTCCAATGCATGACTCATGACAGGTAGGTCTGAAAATGGGGGAATACTATGGAATACTTCCCAGTTTATGGCATTCCAAATAGGGAAAAATGATGATGAACCGATTAACCATCAGATTTTATCATATTTTCAAACCCAGACAGTGAGAATCTGCTCAGGTGGTGACAGCGCCATACTTCTTGACATCATCCATAGAGATGTTGCCGTAGGTGTCAGGTTCCTGCTGTTTGGTTAAGACCTTGGGGAAACCATCCCCAAGTGGACAAAACAATACCCGGCAAACACCCCATCAGAATGGGATGATGTAAAAACCAACAAGACAAACCGTGACAAACGCCCCCAAAGGTTCATCAGAATGGGATGATTTGCATTGGGTGTACCTTACTTGAAACGTCCAACCAATTTTTGGGAGGGTCACAACAGAGAAACGGACCCGGGAGATCGCCAAAAATGACCAAGACATTGAAACGTCAGCGCCGGTCCCAAACGTTGAAGGGCTTCTTCTGCTCCTTCTCTGGCTCAGTGTCTTTTGCCTCGCCAAGAGCTTGGTCTTGGATGGTCGTTTCAAGCGACCACTTCTGCAACCGAAGATGTGCATTACTTTGGATAATCTTCGGAAAATACAGACTATGGGGACTATGGTGAAGAAACTCAAACTCAACATCTTTCAACATCCTTCATAGTCTGCGTTTAACCTATGGCTAGACGGTTTAACTATGGTTGTCATCTGTCAACACATCATCCCACCCCGCCTCAGCCCGCAGTCTGGTTCGGGCCATCGCAGAAATGCCAGCAATAGCCCAAACACCAACCTCATTTCCGCTACCAATGCCATTTCCATCCTGAAAAAGTGACTCTGAAATTGGAAAAATCTCAGGCATTAGACTCCCAATGACTCCCAGTATGATCAAATCTGAAAGGGAACCACGACCATACCAAAGATGCCACACTGAGTTTTACACCACAGTGGCGCCAATGCTGTCGCCCTGCTCGACCTGCGGCCTTGGACCCCGAAAATTGAACACATTTGAACCACTGATTTTGGCAACTTTGGATTTGTTGCTTTGGGCTTTCTTAGATGTTTGACTTGCTTATACCTTTAGATATATAATATGTTTTGATATATTTTACGTACCCAATTCCAACCCATTCGAACAAAGTCCACCTATAGTTTTGCGTGTGTTTGGGGGAAAGGAACGAAAAGGAACATAAGGAAACATGAAGGAACATAAAGAAACATAATTCAGTTCATCCGGACAGTCTATAAAATGATGATTTCATCAACAGAAAACTCGGAGTTATACGATTGATCCGAGAAAATCGTAGGTTTCGCCATTGAAAAATGTGTGTTTCCCACTTCCGCCACTCTCCGACGTCTCCTGCGCCACGTTTCCCGTTTCCCGCCGGGTGTTCCGCGCTCCACGGCCGGCTTCACGTTGCTACCGATGGATCTGGTGGTTTCCGCCAGACCGGTGCGTGGAGGCTGTGGTGCCACAAAGGCCTGAGGAGTGGCGTATGTGGGGTATTATATTACATCACAGCAATTGGGATCTAACCATCAAACATGGTGGTATATAGGGATATAATGGAATATCACGGAGATATAACCTACGAATTTAACTGTTTATGCTACTGAGAATATGTGAATCCTTCATGAATTAAGAGATTGTTGATATGTCTATTAAATGTCATTCATCTTTTAAGCACCCTCTGGTGAACTAACAGTTTGCGAACTGGAAAATCACCGGAATTCATAGGTAAATCAACAAACTTGTTGCTGGGATATTGTCTCATAGCTATGTTAAATGACCGGAGGGTAATGAGGATAGCATTGGGATATTCTATTTTTAATGGGCTTTAGGAAATCTATAGAATCAACATGTTTTGAACAATGCAGATCGATAGCATTTTGGTAGGATTGTAAACGGGGTACATCAACCAACCATAGGGGGAATTATGTACAGTATACACACATACGTACATGTAACGTACATACATAAGTATGGTAATATAAGTATGGATATAAGTTTTTGATGGTCTTTATGTAGGTTGTGGGTTTTTTTTTGTTGGGCCCAAACAGAGTAGGTTGGCTTGGCCTGTCTTTGTAGCTCCTCAAAGGCTCCCCCGCTCCATTCCCAGCATTTTGGCGTTGATCTGTAGCACGTTTTTGCCGAGGATACTTATGTCATGTTATGTCTAATATGTATCCCCATTATTACTAGATCCCATTAGATCCCTTTATATATATATATTATATATATATCAAATTATATCTATAGCCATGGCCATTGCTCTTGGAAACACCATGAAATTCATTGAACCACCCGTTCTCCAAAAGCAGTCCTGCACCGCCCAAAATGCGGCAAGCAGAGCAAAGACCGCTGAGAGGCGGCTGCTGCGCAGAGCACCTCTGTTCCACTGCTGCTCCACGGCCAACATATGTGGGAAATTTCGCCAACATAGGGGGGATTCCTAAATTAGGGGCATCCCGAATCATCCAAGTCCTTTGAGCATTTTAGAAACAACCATGGTTTTTTCATGTTCTTTTTTTCCGTTTTAGGAAATCCCCTAAGATGGATTGAACCAGCAAAATTTAGTGATGTTCCCACTTTGGTGATGATGTCTACCACTGCTATAGCTGCTATGGTATAGATGGCCCATTTAGTTCGATGACTTGCCTATTGAGAATTGTGATTGTCCATGGCAAACTATATTAAACTACTATATAAAATTACCAGAGGCTAATCAACAAAATGGGGTGATGTGTTGCGACATTTTGCTGAATTTCGCCGGAATGGGGATTGAATCGAACGGTTTGCTGACGATTTTCTGTCGAAGTTGTGCACTTAACCAGAGCTGAGGATAAATGAGGTACTAATCGAGCACAAATTTGGGGGAGCTTTTATACTATTAAAATACTATTAAAACTTCATGTCTGGAAAATGGGGAATGGGTGGCTTAATCATCCCAAGAGTTTGAAGCAACAAAAATGATCAAACATGATCAAACATTTGGAAAACTAGCGCCCAATGAGGATTCAATTGAGAACGATGCCTAGATTGTCAGCAAAAGCTGGCGGATAAATCCACAAACAAAAGGAGTTGGCCAGCAAAATGGGGGACCTCAACTACCAAAAACATTCCAAAATGCGAATGTCCACAAACAGGGGAGCAAAACGATCAAAGCTGGGGGACGTCGGCTGATGCCACTAGCAGTGTGCATTGATCCCACCAAAATGTCGACCAACAGAAATGGGGATACATCGCACCAGCTCCATCGCAGTGTTTCCAAAACAGAGAGAGGCTTGAAACCACTGGGTGTCTCTTGTCCTCAGTTTGCAACAGAACACAATTCTAGTTTGGAGGCTCTGAAAACTTCCATGTCGGACACGTCGTAAAAACAAATGGGTTAGTAACGGTTAGTCTGAAAGTAGGGGGGTCCCCAATTCCAATGGATTTCTCATTGTTTCATCATGTTCCCTTTTTATTTCATAGCCATGTGGGGGTACAAAAACCCTACCCCCAGGACTTGACCGATCTCCGCTGAGCAGCGAGTCGTCATCGCGACCTCGGTAGGGAGATGGGTCAGGTCATCCGTGTTTAGGACATACCCTCTGGTAAACGTTGACATAACTATGGAAAATCACCATGTTCAATAGCTAAATCAACTGTATTTTGGGCCATTTTCAATAGCTATGTGACAAATTACCAAAGGGTAACCAAAATAACAAAACTACACCATCCATTTTTTTTGCACGGCCGGCTTTTCATTCCCGGACCCGAGCCAGGTCCGATCCGGTCGCCGAGGCACTGTCCAGGACTGATCGTTGGATGGCTGCAGGGTGCGAACTGCTGAGCCCAAGGCGACAGAGTTTCTTGATGAAATCTGACGATAAGATGTAACAAGATGTAAGAAACATCTGCAAAGTGCACGAAAAGAGGTTTCATCTACTTCACACCGACTCACTCGAAAAATTTTGCTTGTCTTTGCAGTGAAACATGACCTGCAATTCAAGACATTCAAAGGCATTCAACCGTCTACTATTCTTTGGAGTTGTCTTTGGAGTCCACTGTGGGAGCCCATTGAGAAGAACCTTCTCGAGACCAAACCCGAGAAGCACGGCGAATTCTGAAATTACAAAATCACAAATTTCCCCACTGAATTCTTGTGAAACGTAAACCTACAAATGTAGCATGGAAAAGACCTCAGTGGCAGTAAAGTGCAAAATCAAAAGACATTGTCATAGATTCGAACAGTTCAATGCATCATTGAATTATATTGATGTTTGAATATTTTAGATATTTTGCAAAACAAACAGCTGAGTTTGGCTCGCATGGCTTAGCCATTTTCATCTTTCTGCTGCTCTGCTTGCTGCTCTGCTTGTGGGCACGAGGGCGCATAAGAGGCACCGAGAACCTAGCTCATTGAATCTCGCGTTGAGGGAATCCCCACGTTGAATGAGAAAATCGCCGTCAACCATGGATTTTTTTCACCCTGGTTTATTGAGTATGGGAGTAACCCGCAAATAGTGATAATCTTAAAAATCTGATACCAAAACGCTACCCTCCCAATTAAGCAGCTCAGGGTTCAGCTCAGGGTTCCGGGGTTGACATTATAAATGGATACCGTATGCATGTATACGGGCAAGGTCATGATGGTCATGCATTCCACGTACGCTTTTCCCACTAGCATAGGTTTGTCTCAAAATGGTGGAGGGGCCCCACCATACAGCCCTTGTCAGAAAAATTGTGACCCTCAGGAATGTGGGGTAAGCAATTTGGAGATATACCCATGTTGCTTGGAAATTCCCACTTTCTGACAGGAAAATCAGCTTTGAAGTGAGAATATCAATGGATTTGAATTGCAACATTTGATGATTGGAGGGGGCACACTCTCGAAACAGAAGAACTGGACCTCTCCAGTTAAGCAAATGGATGCGCCCAGAAATAGGGGACCCCAAGACAAAATCTATCGTTGATCATCATTTCCCAATCAAAATAGCCTCTAGCAATCAAGCATAGCATTGGAAAATCATGAAAATCCACCATTTAGTTCGATGGATTTTCCATTGATGCCCACTAAAAAGGCTGATTTCCCAGCTAGCCATGTTCGATTTCCGGAGGGTAATTCACCAATATTCCTCCAATATACCAATAATATTCCAATAATATTCTATTATTTCCAATCAAATATCACCACATATCACCACTATTCCACCATGTTGGTATCTGCCATTCCTGGGCAAATCCTGTGATCATGGTGCTCCAACTCAGAGCGCGACAAGCGATTCGTGCCCAGACAGCACAATCTTCGATTCACCAGTCCTGCTGGCACAAACAGCACAAACAGTCTGAATGTTTGAGATCAAGCAGCAAACATACACTTTGGGCGACTGGCTATGGGTTAAAACCTCTTGCCAAAGTAGTTGGGGGTATGAATACCCAATCCTAGCTATTTCGGGGTGAGCAGAAGGGTGGTTTTGACCCCTACCCTATAGATCCTATAGCCAACTATATGTGTTTCTCAAAGACATCCCATAGCCATAGGAAAACACATCACTCAAAGAGAATATATACATATATATATATTTATGTAATAATATATACCAGCACTGGTTCACATGGTAGAAACACATCAACATCTTTGGCACTGCGGTTTTCATGTCCTTTCCACCACTGCATCTTCAAGTGCCGCCCGGCTGTCCACCATTCTCTGAGCCCCCGACACTAAGTCACAGATCTTAGCAGTGTCATCGCCACCTTCCCAGGGCACAAGCACATCTAAGATCATCTAGGCACATGAGATTTTGACGACCATCTGCGGCGCCAGAGGGAGTTTTATTATATATTCCACCACGTCTTTGGCGCATTTTGGCGCTAAGGAGCACGCTGGCTGTGACAAAGGTGCTTCCGTCGGTTGCAAAAGAGGCTAAATAAACTGGCTTCTGCCCCAGCAAAGTCCGATCCTCAGTCGTCACAGTCGACTCGGGTCACAGCCAGTCGGTGAAGGATCACAGCTGTCGTGGTCCAAGGTCGGTCCCCAAGGTCCAAACGCAGACTCCGGTCTTGGCCTAGGCTCCAGTCGGCCACTGTGGGATCCCAAGCCATAGTCCCATGAATACAGCTCCAAGCATTACTGGAGGTCATTTCATTGACATCCCAGTCAGTTTGGAGATTTTGGAGCATACCCAATTTATCCATATTTATCCCAATTTCATTTAAACAAAAATCAAACTTGGGGTCTGTGGTTAATCATTTATGGGTTAATCATGGTTCATCACATTCCATGTATTCGGTGGCATCTGTGGCATCCGAGCATTCCAAATCTTCAAGGTGCCATCGCTGCTGGTGGTGGTGACGCTGCGACCTCAGTTGTGATCAGAAAAACATAGGAAAAAACACGATAAAAAGATGATGAAACATGGGTTGGAAAGGGAGCCTGATTTTTTTGGAATATTCATGAATCTTCTGTGTTCGAGACACAAATTGCCAAGTGACCATCTGGTGCAAAGGCTGCCCAAAGGACTGCGAAATTATGCCTCGGCCAGCTTGAGCCGCAAAAATTCCGCGTGGACCAATTTTCTGGGGTTGAAACCAGGAGAAAACTGGTTGGAACAATTTCCTGAGTTTCCATCCCCTTCAACGTCAGCTTGCACAGGCCAGTCCTAAGCACAAGACAGGGACTGCAAAGCTTTCTCTTGCTCCCAGAAGGCCCAAATTGGCTGCGTCTTCAAAATGGTGGATCATTATCCATTTCAATCATTCAAATGATCTTGTTTCATCTTGTTTTGACAGGAAACATAGGGGGTTCCGTTTTTGAGGACATCCCGAATTTGAATATTTCCAGAAGTCCTTGTCTGAACTGAGATGAACTGAGCAGTTTGGGACCTGAGGACCCGACTTGACGACCCAAATCTTTGCTGTGCCATCCTCTGAAGCTGTGACCACCTGGCGGAAAATCGTCTCATGCTACATATGAGGTTCCTGCATCATTTGGCTTTGGTCCAAAAAATGCTGATATCCCCATGAATCGCAATCTATGGCCATCAAATGATGGCGAACAATTTGATACGAGCAGGTGCGAATGGCCGCGAACCTGTTTGCTGTCGGGCGAAAAGGATGCAGAATAAACAGCTTCTTTGTGGTCTTGCCTGAGCAAAACCACCAGCTGAGCATGTGCGTATCACCAGAAAAAGCTTGGTTTTGGTAGCAAAATAAGCCCCTCGCAATACTCGAGCACATCGACCGCTGTCCACATACCACAGCCTCAAAGTCAAAGGTGGCCACTGTCCACGTACGCGTCAAAAAAATGGGGACCCCCAAACCCGCCGGGGTTCAGCAGCAACAACTGTCCCTTCGTGGACACGATTAGAGTTGTGACCCATCCCTATAGTCACCTTGAAACTTCGCCGCCGTTAATCCGACATAGCTGCATGGAATATAGATGTTTAATAGATGTTTTACCTATGAAAAATGGTGAGTTTCAATCAATCGCAAAGCGGGTGGTAGAATTCTCCTGCCTGGCAGAGCTGTCTTCGGAGGACGTCGCCACCTGTCACCCAAGCTTCCATGGTTTTTCAGGTGGAAGATCATTCAAGAAAAACGAAAGTCCGAAAATCATTCGAAATCTTTCGAAACATCATTTGTCATAATTATTTCGTTATTTTGATGCTGCATATGGCGTTTCCTGGATGGAAGTGTGGTTGAGCTAAGTTGAACACATATCTGCAGTCTGGAGATATGCAAGCTGAACCTTGGAACTTCGGGCCTTCTGAAGTTTAAGTAGGGACGTGTGTGGTACCACAGACTCATTATGATGAATCATTGATCATCAACGTGTGTAGTTATTGAATACCCAACTTGGCAATGACCAACAGTTTGCTATGCTATAGATGGCCCCATGTTGATTCATTTTGTTGATAATAAATCCCTCTTAAAAGGGTTGAGTTTCCAGTTTGCAAACTGAACTCGTCATTACGAGAGGATATTTAACAAAAAAAAATCACAGATTTTCTCAGACTTCTCCTTGTGAGTTCCGTGCAAACTGCTGCGTTGTGGCCCTCCAGCACCAGCTGGCAGCTGCCGGTCCTTACCATTCTGAGCTTCAACAAACTTCTGCCATCTGGGAAGGTCGGCTGGGAAACGCGCTCAGCATTCCAAATGCGGGCGGTGCAATCCTGCCAGGGAAATCCCAAGGGAAAACCCAAGTGATTCCCTTCCTTTCACCCTTTCACCCCGTTTGACTACCGGAGGGTACAAGTACTAAATTGGTGCTCTCACATCTTTTCAAAGCCACGTTCAAAATCGTTCAACCGTACCTTGGAGGCTGTGATAACCGCTGAGCTGATCTTTGCTCGCAGCACGGCGTTGTTCTGGCACAGCTAACGAGGCAGGAAGCACATGCCATCACATCACATTTCGCGATGCTGAGATCCTTTCGGGGCATTGCAACAGTTGGCCCAGTTGGCCCAGTTGGCCCAGTTGGCCGACCTCCACACCAGCTTCTAAGAGAGTATCATCAGGTGGTAACCTCGGTGAGTCACATCCAAATCATCCACCAAAAATGACCCCTGCAGATGCCCGTAAGATGCCGAGATACGGAAAGCGCTCTCGCAGTTCCTTGGCTCAAAAGGATCGGCGAAAAAGGCCAGGCTCCAAATGTGGTCGGCTAGGCGGCTACGAGCACGATAAGATTTACTGCAATAGAATGTGATGCTCAGGCGCCTTGTTTTGAATCTAGAGTGGAATCATGAAAAGATACTCTGCAGCACAGCAAGAGAATCAGAGCAAAGACCGATGCCAAAGGGATGAGAAGACGATGGCGTCAACAGCCGCAATACAAATTGTGGACTCTGTACCATCTCCGACCATCTTTGCCAGTGACACTCTCTCTTCAAGTAGAGTATGCCCTTCAACAAATTGGGCGCTGCCACTCAAAGCATGTTTATACTGTGGAAACAGCAAAGTCTGTGCAAATAGGAAGGGGTTCAGAAGACAAGTTGTTGTGTGGCAAGGCAGCATGCACTACAATTTATACATATACAACACATAATCAATAATATTCAATAATCATATTATGCTTTGCCACGAATGATGTGCAGGAAGTCTCCTGCTCGTCAGATCAAGTCACAGGGTCCATTGGTCCATTGGTCCATAGCAAGTCGCTGGGTATTTGTCATCCAAAACTGCAGCTGCCTCAAAAACCTGTTAAACAGCTGGCTTTACCACATTACTACATATTCCTACATTACGACATATTGCGACATATTACTATAGATATTACTAGATATTACTATAAATATTACTACAACTAGGATCAACATCACTTCCCAGTCATTCCCAGTCGTTCCATTCGTTGCACTCGGGGATCATGGCCACTCGCCTTTTTGGATCTGCCGAGCTGCCATTTTGCCACGGACCATCTTCGGCTCCGGCTTCGGCTCGGAGAAGATCGCAGGGGCAACGGAGAGCCTCGCCTCTCGGACACAGGCCTGCGAAGTGGGGTTTCACCAGGTCGTCATTGGATCCGCAACAAAAACAACTCAAAGCTGGTCATGTTCTTCGTATTCTCTGTGTATTGTCAATGTATACAATAATGATCAATAATGTATAGTGCGTATTCATCACTTAACATTTTTGTGATTTTTGGTGATGTTTCTTTGAAATTTGCCCCCATCTCGACGGATCCCACCTGCCCAAGCTCTTGCACCTTGCAGCCGAGCCGAAGGGATGCCTGCCAAGGTTGAGCTAAGTGAGCTAAGCAAAAGGATTTCTGTGCGATGAGAATCTATGGAACATTATGGAACTGTTTATGGAACTGTTGAGGGCTCAAACTCTAAACACCTATCAGGACTGATTAAAATTCCGTTTAGACTGCTGCAACAGCTTGGTGTTCCCAAAACAAAGTAGGACTTTGCTTCCAACTCACCAGCCTTTGCCATGAGCTCTTCGGTCTCGTCGTTCAAAACCGTCCTTAGGGCGCATCGGCAGCATTGTAGATGGGATCCCAAGCCATTCGGTGCTCTTGGGCTAGTTTTAACCCAGAAAACAAGGGATATTTACAGAATAATTTATATGTTTTAATTATTTCTGTTTTATCTTCTCAATGTTTCAACCATTGGGCAATGAGGCAGGAACACTGAGATCACGATTTTCCCTTTTCTTTCTGCTTCTTCTCTCTTGATGCGTGCTTCCTTAGAAAGCCATGGAAAACTCGCAGCAAAAGACGATGCCCACATCAATGTGTCGCAGCCGTTCACGGTTTTCACATATCATATAAATCATATAAGGGATCCAAATGCACATCAGTTTATTCAGCCCACCTCTTCTCGAACTGCGCGTTCGGCCTGGGAATCGCCCCTCAACTTGGTCATACAAAGTTTATGATGCCGGAATTCGCAAGTCAACAGTAGTGACACTTTGCCATCCAGGTGGTCTGTCCATAAATTGCAAAAAAATAGCATGGTACGAAAGTTGGCTCATGGCTACCTAACCCAAAAAGAAACACCCTGCCAACCTCCTCAATAGCTTGCTGCTTCAGGAATTCCAAGCGCTGGCGTTCTGCCTACAAACTCCAACGAGATTTGGTTTATCTTTTTGCAAATCTGCAGCTTGCTCTGCCTCTTCTTTGGCTTTCTTTGCAGCCTCTTTGGCAGCTTCTCGTTCTTCCTGGCTCAGATCAATTCAAAAAAAGCAAGGGACCAATCGATTCACACTTCAATGCATTGGTTTAATTGAGGGAATATCTACTGGACCCCGCATATTTGATGGTAAAAACCATGGTTCAAACCATGCAAATGTTCCAACCGATTCCGGGAACACAGATTCCACCTCCTCCCTTCGCAAGCGCTCCGCCTGCCAAGGCAACTTGCGGTCATCTCGGCTTGATGGGGACCAAAGCTACATCCGCGGTGATAAATCCCCTACAAATTGTAGTGTATAAACTGTATAAACTGTATCAACCGAATAAACATCTCCGTTTGCACAACAAATGGACTAGCTGACTAGCCATGTTTAGTATTCATCGGTATCCCATGTTTGTCACTCATATGTTTATTATTGTTTATTCACAAATCTGTCCCACATGAAAGAAAAAGAAACATTCGTCATCCGAGTCATCCAAAATATGGCGGTACCCTCCGGATATTCATCGGAGCCTTGGTAAAATCAGCACTTTTTATCGGCCAATCATGGCAACTCATTGAACTCAATGGGTCATGGCTGGGCTAGGCCTCTTCGATGGCTGCAAGTCTCAACTCCTCCTCCCGTTGCCGTTCAGCCTGCGGAGAAGCGTGGGATTTCATAGATAAAAGGGATTTAACTAGCAATAGTGCAGATGTGGGATATCATAGGATATAATGGCGTATAGAAACTGTTATTGGTTTCCAACTACCAACCCTGGGTGTTCAACCAACAACAGGGGGGGCTTTCAAGCAACAAAGCAAGGTATTCAACCAACAGAAACTATTGTTCAATCGACAACCATACACGATTATATAATCGCCGACAATAGATCTCCAAGTATCTAAGCACCGAAAAATTTTTTGCTCAAGCACCTCAAATCAGAGCCAGCAAAAACAGGGAGGCTGACCAACAGAAAAGGGGAAGGATCCTTAAATTTGTCATACATCCAGAAGGGTAGAAGCAGAACATCTCCCCGTAGGTGCCTGTATTATAGGATATTATAGGTATATAACCATGAAACCATGTTGCAAGAGTGGATAGCAAGGGTGTAGAGGGGCTCGCAAAGAAAAGAGAAATAGTGAGCCCAGTTTGATTTGAACTTCTTCGGAAACCTTTCTGCAACCACCCTGCAGTGCCACCCTGCATTGCCTCTGCTTCAGCTATTGCAGCTTCAACCGTTTTGCTGCGTTCTTCTTCCTTCACGTGTTGAAAATTGATCACTGCAACACAGGGAGTAATGGTAGCAGAACCAGAAAACAAAATTCAGAGTTCCCCGATCAAGCCTCTTTCATTCTTTGTCGCTCCTGAGCCTCAAAGGAAAGCATATTGTCAAGAAAAACATGGAGGCTGACCAACAGAAAAGGGGAAGGATCCTTAAATTTGTCAGACATCCAGAAGGGTAGAAGCAGAACCTCTCTACGTTGGGGCCTGTATTATGGGTATATCGGCATAACCATAAAACCATGTTGCAGATACAGACCAGCAAAAATACAAACATGAGAGGCTAGCAAGGGTGTAGAGGGGCTTGCAAAGAACAGAGAAATGAGACGTGATCCGGAGAGAGGTCTGCAGAGTTGGTTTCGACCAGCGAAACCCGAAACCCGAAACCCGAAACCCGAAACCGACTGTTAAAGTTGGTTTCGAACTGCGAAACCCGAAACCCGAAACCCGAAACCCGAAACCGACTCTGAAGACTTAACTTCCCCAGGACCGATCGAAACCCGAAACCCGAAACCCGAAACCGACTCTGAAGACTTACCTTCCCCAGGACCGATCGAAACCCGAAACCCGAAACCCGAAACCCGAAACCGACTCTGAAGACTTACAGTAACTTCCCCAGGGCCGATCGAAACCCGAAACCCAAAACCCGAAACCGACAGCGAAAGTGGGTTTCAATCGACGAAACCCGAAACCCGAAACCGACAGCGAAAGTTGGTTTCAAGCGACGAAACCCGAAACCCGAAACCCGAAACCGACAGCGAAAGTTGGTTTCAATCGACGAAACCCGAAACCCGAAACCCGAAACCGACTCGAATCCGACTGTTGGGTGGCTCTCCGGATCGGAACTCAGAGAAATAGTGAGCCCAGTTTGATTTGAACTTCTTCGGAAACCTTTCTGCAACCACCCTGCATTTCCACCCTGCATTGCCTCTGCTTCAGCTATTGCAGCTTCAACCGTCTTGATGCGTTCTTCTTCCTTCACGTGTTGAAAATTGATCACTGCAACACAGGAGTAGAACCAGAGAACAAAATTCAGAGTTCCCCGATCAAGCCTCTTTCATTCTTTGTCGCTCCTGAGCCTCAAAGGAAAGCACATTGTCAAAAGGGTCCTCCTTCTGAGACTGTCAAAAGACCTTCAAAATCATATTAAATTAAATCCAAGAATTATGCTGACAACAGTATCTGATTGATCGCCGACAGTACATATCTAAAAATTATCTAAATATCTAAGCACCAATAATAGGTGCTCAAGTACCTCAAATTGAGGTAGAACCAACAAAGACAGAGAGGCTGACCAACAAAAATTGAGATATGAAATGAACCAACATGGAAGGATCCTTAAATTTGTCATACATCCAGAAGGGTAGAAGCAGAACATCTCCCCGTAGGTGCCTGTATTATAGGATATTATAGGTATATAACCATGAAACCATGTTGCAAGAGTGGATAGCAAGGGTGTAGAGGGGCTCGCAAAGAAAAGAGAAATAGTGAGCCCAGTTTGATTTGAACTTCTTCGGAAACCTTTCTGCAACCACCCTGCAGTGCCACCCTGCATTGCCTCTGCTTCAGCTATTGCAGCTTCAACCGTTTTGCTGCGTTCTTCTTCCTTCACGTGTTGAAAATTGATCACTGCAACACAGGGAGTAATGGTAGCAGAACCAGAAAACAAAATTCAGAGTTCCCCGATCAAGCCTCTTTCATTCTTTGTCGCTCCTGAGCCTCAAAGGAAAGCATATTGTCAAGAAAAACATGGAGGCTGACCAACAGAAAAGGGGAAGGATCCTTAAATTTGTCAGACATCCAGAAGGGTAGAAGCAGAACCTCTCTACGTTGGGGCCTGTATTATGGGTATATCGGCATAACCATAAAACCATGTTGCAGATACAGATAGATAGATAGATAGATAGATAGATAGATAGATAGATAGATAGATAGATAGATAGAGAGATAGAGAGATAGAGAGATAGAGAGATAGAGAGATAGAGAGATAGAGAGATAGAGAGATAGAGAGATAGAGAGATAGAGAGATAGAGAGATAGAGAGATAGAGAGATAGAGAGATAGAGAGATAGAGAGATAGAGAGATAGAGAGATAGAGAGATAGAGAGATAGAGAGATAGAGAGATAGAGAGATAGATAGAGAGATAGAGAGATGAGAGAGATAGAGAGATAGAGAGATAGAGAGATAGAGAGATAGGAGAGATAGAGATAGAGAGATAGAGAGATAGAGAGATAGAGAGATAGAGAGATAGATAGAGAGATAGAGAGATAGAGAGATAGAGAGATAGAGAGATAGAGAGATAGATAGATAGATAGATAGAGAGAGAGAGAGATAGAGAGATAGAGAGATAGAGATAGATAGAGAGATTAGAGAGATGAGAGATAGGAGAGATAGGAGAGAGAGATAGAGTAGAGAGATAGGTAGATAGGTAGATAGGTAGATAGGTAGATAGGTAGATAGGTAGATAGGGAGATAGGTAGATAGGTAGATAGGTAGATAGGTAGATAGGTAGATAGGTAGATAGGTAGATAGGTAGATAGGTAGATAGGTAGATAGGTAGATAGGTAGATAGGTAGATAGGTAGTAGATTAGTAGATTAGTAGATTAGTAGATTAGTAGATTAGTAGATTGGTAGATTGGTAGATTAGTAGATTAGTAGATTAGTAGATTAGTAGACTAGTAGGTTAGTAGATTAGTAGATTAGTAGATTAGTAGATTAGTAGATTAGTGGATTAGTGGATTAGTAGATTAGTAGGTAGATTAGTAGGTAGATAGATAGATAGATTGATAGATTGATTGATAGATAGATTGATGGATTGATGGATTGATGGATTGATAGATTGATAGATTGATAGATTGATAGATTGATAGATAGATAGATAGGTAGGTAGATAGATAGATAGATAGAGAGATAAATATAGGTAGATAGAGATATAGAGAGAGATATAGAGATAGATAGAGAGAGAGAGATAGAGAGATAGAGAGAGAGAGACAGAGAGATAGAGATAGAGATAGATGAGATGAGATGAGGTGCGGTGAGATGAGATAGGATAAGATTAGATTAGATAGATAGATAGATAGGCAGGCAGGTGGACAGATAGACAGCTAGGTTGGTAGATAGATAGATATGACAAGACCAGATACGATACGATAAGACCAGATAAGATAAGATAGGTCTCGATGGGATAAGATAGGATTAGATTAGATTACTGTAGATTTAGCTGGGATGGGATTGGATTGGATTGGACGGACAGATGGATAGATAGAGATATAGCTTAAGACAAAGATTGATTGTTTGAGATATGGAGATAGAGATAGATTCTGATAGATATAAATGATATAAACCTCTGAGTTTCCCCAAAAAGAATCCTCCCAAAACCACTCCATTTCTCCATGACTCGGCCTCCATCCTGGTGATCTCCGCTGCCGCTGCCAGCTGCACCGCCACCAACCGCTCCGGACCATCCAGGCCTTCGCCGCCCTCGGCACCGCGAACCGGCGCAGCGACCTGAGCCTGGGCCGCAACCGGCGCCGCGACCTGAGCGAGTTCGGCGAAGAATCCCTCAAAAAACTGGTGTTTTGGATGTTTTTCTATGGTGAACCTTTGCCAAAACAGCGTGAAAAGTGAGATTTGACCCAGAAAAATGGTGATCTCCCATCTTTTCACTGGGCTGTGGTAAGGATTTGAGATTTAAACAGGAGTGAATCTAAGTTGTCCCTTCATACAGGGAAACTGGGGATGGGTCACGCCACCAATGATTTTCCACGTGAATGGGGGGGATGAACATCTAACGACAGTAAAAATTCGACGTGACAAACTAAGAGTCAGAAGTTTTATTCATATCCATATAGCCATGTAGTTGATGCCTGTTGGAATGCTCAAGAATTGATTCTCTGATTTCACATTTGGTCAAAACGCACATGAGGTGCTTTGAGGCACCGACATGCTCTGCAACTGTGGCAGGATTCTCAAGCTCTACGCGAAGGAATTTATCTGTGCCTGACAGGTGCGAAGCTAACTGCAGTGACCTTCGACTCTGCACGGTCAAACAATCGAGACAAGTTCAATTGCACAAAGGATTTCAAGCTTCTGCAAATCATTTCGTAAATGTGAAAGCTCCAAAATGCCAACCAAGACGTCCATCTTCCCTGGCATCAATACAGTTCAAGTGTGTCACAAAAAATACCTCTGTCCACTCCCATTGCACTGGTTGGTAAATATGTACGGTCTCCGAACATATTGCATTGTCCCCAATAAACCGTTCAGGTTTCTACCGCTCAGTATTTACCCATTAACCATTCTTCATCAACTTTATTTTCCCGAAACCTTTTTTCAGTAAGTGATTTTTTTCTCCCCACAATCACCCATAGGATCCATGTATGGTATATATACTAACATTGGGGGTATATTGATGGTAAATGTTACCATATATAGCATACATGGATCCTATGGGTCAACAAAAAAACACCAGGGCCATTCCACACCTGTGAGGCTCAGCGAGTCGTCGCGGCTTTCGATGAATCGATCCCACTCCAACTCCACGGAACCAAGCCTGAGGAAGTGAGCACCACAAAACCAGGACGTTAAGAAGCAGGATACATAACAAATACTGAAAGCATCATGTTATGTGTTAATGTGTGTATGTGTGTGTGTTATACATCATATAACATACATAGATTTTGTGTATATATAATATATATATACAGTACATACATACATACATACATACATACATACATACATACATAATATGCATGACTATATTGATTTTAGGTGGACCTTCAATGACCAAGGCGCGGAAGGCAACTCTCGCCCTGCATCTTCACCAGTTCGAACTCGAGAATCTGGCCTTCCGCACAACGAAAGGGCCAAACAAAGCAGCGATCAAACCATGATGCGGATGTAGGTAAACAAACCAACATACGCATGTAGCACATATTTATATAAAACTGTATACATATATGTATATATATATATAATTATATATATATATATATGTAATTATATATATATGTAATTATATATATATACATTTATATCTTCATTCTGGTGCAGGCTGAAATCCGCGGCGCCTTCACGCGGCAAGTAGAGAGATAGCACCTCGCCGGGCTGACAGCCATCTGGGACCGATAGCTCCAGCTCAGTGCCCTTCACCTGAGAATTCGCCCCGAAAAACCTGGTAGGCCTGGAGCCCCAGGTTAGGTGAGAGAAAAAAAAATTGGGATTTCTCATGGTTTCTCATGGTTTCTCATGGTTTCTCATGGTTTCTCATGGTTTCTCATGGTTTCTCATGGTTTCTCATGGTTTCATCAATGTTGGATAGACCAAAGATCATTGAAACCATGAGAAACCCCAACATGGATGAAACTTCGATCTTTGGCCTTAGACATCCTTAGACTCTACTAATTTCCGCCATTTCTGAATCCAGTTCTGCATCATCCTAAATATGGTTGGACGAGTTATTAGATTTCACATGAAGTGATCACGTTGTTTTTCTCGAAGGGCTCAAGTGCTGGACATGTAAAAAAGCAGCTTGCTTCCTATGAAGAATCCAGCTGGATTCGTTGTTCCTTGAGTAGCATCCAACAAATGGGCGTCAAAACGGTTCCCAGAAGTTGTCTCGCGTTCTGATCTTGGGCTGAAAATAAAGATCCATAAACAATACGAAAAGCACAGGATTGCCAGTTCAGTACAGAAACCAACAGCGGAGAGCATCGAAATAAACATGACTTCCATGCCCCAACATCTATCACACAATATTCACTGAGAATGCTCGCGACAAAATCTGGAAGATTGCGGCTTCAAGCAAACGAAAAACAAGGATCGAAGTGGACGGGGCTTCAGCTCTCTTGTAAGCCGGACATTATTTTGACGTGACCAGTTTACAAATACCAGCACTGAGAGACCAGCGCTGCACTTGGGAATTGCTTGATGTAGGTGTTGGCTCGCTTTGTGCGGAAGATTGAAGAAAACTGTTGAGAAACACAAAGGCTCTAGAAAATTAGAGTAAATACTTTACTATCTTGACTGCCCTTTTAGAACCGGCCCGAAACAATGTAGTCTCAAATAAATCATAGAGGAAATGACAAAATGGGCAGCAAGCAAGAAAAAATCACCACTTTGCCGCCTTGACGACGAACGTGTCCCCGGGGTGGCAATCCTGTAGCACAGTCAATGGTTTTTTCTGCTTGGAAGAGGAAGCATTGTAGCGCATTGTCACAGTTGCCCTGCCTCAGGGATGACAATTTCCAGCGTTTCTTGGCTCTCTGAGAGTCTGGATCTCGCTGTGTGAATGTTGGAGCCTCCCGATGAGGACTCGCTGTAGTACCTGCAGCGTTGCAAACCAGCTAGTCGCTGCCATCAATCCCAGTGGGTGATATATTAAAATATTAATGTATTAAAAACATACAGTATTTATATATATATATACACACCTCGTGAAAACTCTCCGTTCTTTTAATGACACACGCGGCATCTCCAACAAACGGAGCCTGCTCTCGCGGACTTCCGCCAGTTCGGCCCGCAGTTCTTCGAGCTCCGCTCGAAGCTCTTCGAGGCCTTTGGTGCAGTACTGCACTTGTGCCAGTTCTGCACGAACGTCCAGGCCCTCGGCTGCTGGGGAGATGAGCATCAAGAAATCATGATATAGATATCGTTGGTTAATCATATATTGATTGCATTTAAATATGTATGTATTTGTCTATATATATATATGTGTGTGTGTATGTATGTATACATGTATATATATGTATATATATATGTATAGATATATATATATATGTGTGTATGTATATATATATTGATACATATGTACATGTAGGTACATATGTTATGTTATGTGTGATTTTATACTTATGCATCTTGTTAATGTTGTTAATGTTGTTAATGGTGTTGTTGTTGTTGCTGCTGCTACTGTTGTTGTTGTTGTTGTTGATCAAACTTGTTTCATCCAGAAATGGCCATGCTTCGCCAAATATCATGGTACTTTCGCAAAACTTTCACGAACTCCAAGTTTAGTATTCTCGGAACGCCATGTCGGACAACAATGTCTCGTATTTCAGACGTCACCTGCCAGATTATCAGAGATTACCTCATGATAATCTTGCTGACATGCAGTAGCATCACAGAATCCCTTGTTATGCTGATTGGGCTTGTATTTGCCAGCGGAAGGAAAACCGCACTAGCGTTATTGACGTTTTTGCTTTCTCTTGTGTTAGCATATCCCGGGGGTGGGGGGGGGCAATAGCGTTCTATGTTCTTACGTTTTGATCCAATCGAATCCAATAATCTGCAGTTTCACGTGCAACTTGCACCATGCTGAAGTGCTGACGGAAGTGTCCATTCTGATCCGTCATAAAAGTGTTGCCCAAAAGGTAACAATGTAGATTCGGCGAAAGCAAAAAACGCCCTAAATTGGGCGCCCAAATTCACATGTGTTTTTTTTAATGAGCAAATCGCTATGGCGCTGTGGTGAAGTACATATATATATATATATACACACACATTTTGCTGCAAAAACGCTCATTTTGTGAGCGCAAATATCCCCCCGACGGGTTGCATCTGTAGGGCTTGCTCTTGCAAATCCTGTCAATATGCCATATGCAGTTTCACACTCGCCTGCTTGTTCGCGTAACTTTTGCGAAATCTCCACATACAGCACGTTATATGCACAATGATTCATAACATCTAAGAATCTAACCTCACAATTCTCTGAATCAAAAAGCAGAAAAAAACACACCCAAAGGCCAAAGGCATCGAAATGGCCATAATCATATTCCTTTCTAGGTACCCGTATCCAGTATTCGTATCCATGCCATATAGAAATTAAATCTAGAGATACAGACGCGATATTTAGACATGGATACATGACGGAAATTGAAGGCCAAGGACATCCAATGATGACAATTCAATGGGTCTGTCCAAACATGGGCTATATAGCCCACAATTCAATGGGGAAACATGGGGACACTGATGATAACACATGGGATTTGGATGGATTTGGGGTATTCAATGTTTAGAGAAACCAGCACGCTAAGCACCGGGCAGCACTGAGAGGTTTCGCTTTGTCGCATCTAATGCTTTCCTCAGGCACATCGCGCAGTGGCCGCAGGTGAGTCGATGAAAATGTCAAAATGGCCCCAAGACGAGAAGAGCATGGAACACTGATGAACACTGCACATGGCGGCACATGGTGTATGGATCATTGGATCAAATCATATTGGATCATTAATTGGATCATTAAAAAACATCAAAAAACATTTACCCTCTGGTAATTTAACGTAGCTATGGAAAATCACTATTTTTAATGGGAAAATCCACTATAAATGGCCATTTTCAATAGCTATGTTAGTTTACCAGAGGGTAAAAAAATTGAGCAAAGCCGAGCCACCGAGGCCGCCGACGCCCTGGAGCCTTCTTCACTGGGCAAGTCGACATAGATCAGCTCGCCGGGCTGACAGCCATCTGGGACCAACAGTTCCAGCTCAGCGCCCTTCACCTGGAAAACGAAAGCGGAAGCCTAGCCGGCCTAGCCCAAAAAGGCGGAAGAACTACTCGAACCCAACTTTGATCTTCTTGCTTTAGACTCAAAATGAGATGCAAAATGTCTGGATATTTACTGGTTTTTCGATGTTTTTGGCTGAGCCACCCCTTGAAAAAATGACGGAAAATTGCGATCAGCATCGTGATCAGCATCGTAAAGGTGGTTAAGAATAAATAGCAGTTACCACCAGCCAGACAAGTTATCAAATGTCGCATAAAAGTGATGTCCGTGTTTTGTGTCCTCCCCGGGGATTCTGAAGGCGTATCGACCGCAACTTACTTGTGGCGGATTCTTTGAGTAGCATCCAACAGACAGTTTTTTTCCAGCGGTCTCTCGTTCTGATCTGGCGCCTGCAAAAAAAGGCATTGAAAAAGAAAAGATCCAAAACATCCCAAAACAAAATGTGGACCCAAAAACATCCCCTGAGAACGGAGTAGCAAAAGCCAGCACCTTTTTACTGGAAATCTTGGAATAATGCATGGTTAAGCCCTCCCAAATCAATTTAGGATCAGATTTCCTCGCCACCCAACACTTCATGGCTGCATCTCTGATTTGGCAGTCTGACTTATTTCAATGCCTTATTTCAGTGCCTCCGAGACCCCCAAACCCATTCCGTTCGCAATACAATCTCGACCGTAGGCCAGCTGGCTAAACAGCATTGCCAATACGACAGCAGAGAGCACCGGAACAAAAATGGCTTCCATGCCCTGACATCTAACACACAATATTCACTGGGAATGAGCGCGACAAACTCTGAAGGAGTTGTAGTAAACAAAAAAAACAAGGATGGAAGAGCGGCATCAGCTGTGTGACAACTAGACCAGCTCTGCAACCGGGGAATTGTTTGCTGTAGGTGAGGGCTCGCTTCGTAGTGAAGGTGACAAGAAAACATGGTGCAAAAGACGACAAGACATATTGAAGATTGAATCTCTGGCTAATGAAGACGACCCTGTTTGAATCTCCCCAAACAATGCAAGCTCAATAAAATCTCACCCAATTCAGTGGAATGGGCAGCGAAGCAACAAAATATCACGACTTTGTGGCCTCAATGACGAAAATGTCCCCAGGGTAGCAATCCTGCAACACAGTTTTTTTTCTGCTGGGAAGAGGAAGCATTGGAAAGTGAAGTGTCACAGCTGCCCTGCCTCTGGGATGACAATCTCCAGAGTTTCTTGCGTCTCTGATATTGAGGATCTCGCCAAGAGAGATTCTGTTTCATGACTGTCTTCCTCAGGCATGTCCTGCCAGAGAAATGGAACTTGGAGACGAAAAAAGTCCATAGAGAAGCTATATATCACTACTATCATCCACTGAAGTGGTCTCTCCATGTCTCTCCCACCAGCCTTCGCGACCTTTCTCACTCCAGACGCCGGTCGAGAACTGTTTCTCTGCTGCTTGGTCAGTTGTGCAGCTGAGTAGCTCGCACCCTCAGGGGATTGGAACAGTGCACCATCTATGGCTTGAAATTCTCAACCTCCTCAGCTTGAATGGTTCCGTGCTAAAAGAAATCCACTTTTGAAGGTGCAAAGATTGCAAAGGAACCTTCAGAAATGGGTTACCAGGTCACCACCATCCATGAAGACGATGCCATCACGATGCCAAAACCCCGCCTCTCGCATGTCCATGTAAATCAACTCTCCAGGAGAGCAGCCGACAGGAACCACCTGAGACAACAGGGGCGTCCGGAACTTGTTTTGGGCCGGATCCAAAGATTGGTTGGTTGAACCCCCATGGCCCCATGGTTCACTATGTCACTATGATGTATCAAAATCATCCCCATGAAGTCAGGTGCCCCTCAAACGGGATCAACTGGCCACTCACCTTGCTCGACCTTGCTCCAACATTATCAAACATCTGGGCCAAGAACCATTCGAAATTCCGCTGCGTCGACTTCCACGATAAACGCATCTCCTGCATCCAGTCAACAATGAGATTACTGGTTTTCAAACAGCCAGTCAGGGACCCCTGCATCCAACAACCGGTCTTGAAACCTGAATAAATCACCACTCAACCTTGCTCAACCTTGCTGAATTTCATGTTTTTCTCCAACTCCTTCGTAGCAGTCGAGCGGAATCTGAATCTCAATCATGTTGGAGCACTCCGATGTAGTGGACCCGTTCGGAAACCTGCAATCGATGTGGAGCAACTGAGCAACTTCTTTTGGGTCCAATAAACTCATGGGCCATGGGAGGAATGTTGAGTACGCATCCATTTTTGGGCCCATGTTTTTCACCCATGTTTCTGGACACAAACACAACCCATGACATGGGCAGCTGTATTGTCACCTTTCATCCAGCACGTGGATTCATTCGGTGTGTGTTTGAATATATATATAATATAATATAATATAATGTAATATAATATAATATAATATAATATAAGAGAGAGAGGGAGAGAGATATTGAGATATTGAGCACGCGCGCATTTGGAGATCAGGGTCTTGGCACAGGATCCATGAGCAGGACCAAACAAGTGACTGCCTGGCCGGTCTAAATCTCTCAGAGTTCACATGAAAAGTGGCACCAAAAATTGAAACGTGCTACTTCATGTGATCCTCACAGTAATTTAAACAAAAATGACAAAATGATTACATATGTATATTAATTGTCTGACATTTACTCTGCCACACAGAAAAAAATAAGTCTAACACTCCTGACATATATTCTGACATTTATATATTCGGGCATGAATTCTCACGTTCATCCTCACATATGTTCTGAAATGTCGTTTTTTACGGACCTATATTCTGACAATGATCCTGACGGGAGAAAAGACATGTTCTCCAGCAAATTTCCCTGTGACATCTATCCTGACATGCTCTCTGACATATCTATCTTGAAATATGTTCTGACATCTCTATGACTGGCGCATTTTCTGACCGTCTCTGACATATATTCTGACATGTCATATATGTCATACCAATCCAGCAGACAGCTGGACTGGCGTAGCGAACCTGGGACCTGGCGCGCCACAAGCTATCCACTCAATTGGTAAGGCACGATTCTAGGCACAGATCCTAGAGCTCTGTCTGGGTGGTTTGGTGTGTTTTTAAATCATGTCATTTAAAAAGAAAAACTGCAAAACTGTGTTGTCCCGATTGTTCCCTGCCAGTGATTTGCTACCACTCATCCAGTCAACGGGTCAACGGTGGCACCTGCCATCATCTTCAAGTCGCTTCCGTTCTCCGAACACCGATTCCTTGAGGCCACTCTCCCGGACTTCCTTCAGTTCGGCCCGCACACGCTCCAGCTCTGCCCGCAGCTCTTCCAGGCCCTTGGTGGAGAACTGGACTTGTTCCAGCTCCGCACGAACCTCTTCAAGGCTCTTGGTGAACTGCGCTTGTTCCAGCTCGGAGCGAACCCCTTCGACGCCCTTGGTGCAGAACTGGGGTATGTAATGAACAGCGAGAGATTATGACAACGATATAACTGGCAATACAGACGTTATAAGTTATACGTGCCGTGCATGGGTGCGTAATGAACATCCAATGATAACAGTTCTGATAACATCTGTTCCAAGTTGATGTTATCATAACTTAGGATTCAATGTTCTCGTGACTTTTCTCATGACTTCATCCCGACGCTAAGCATCGGGCAGTCACAGGAGGTGAGAGTCCTTTCGATGGCAGCTGCAAGGACATGAGGTCACCAGCTCCATAGCCTTCCTTAGATGGCAGGTGAGCTCAATGCCAGGCTGAAGCCTTGGGGAAACCCATGAAACTGGGCAACATGGGGCAACCTATGGGGCAACCTATGGCGACTCCATGGGATTCCATGCAAATCGCTCGCCGAGAAACGGGCACTGGCACCTCAAATTCCTCCCCATCGATGATCACCACAAAGGTTTGCCCAGCATGAACACCACTTGGAACACGAACATCTGCCAGGCCAGGTCCAGTGTCACTCAAGGGATCGGTCGAGAATGATGGCGCGTCATAAGGCAATGCTGCAGGGGACTTCTCCGGAACCACAAGTTTGCCTGTGGTCCGCTTGGCCGGGACCTTCAAGTAGATCAAGTCGCCGGATTGGCAGGTGGATGGGACCAAAATTTCATACTCAACACCATTGATTTCAGTAAAAAACGTTTCGCCTGGGATACATATTTCGGCAACTTGCACATAAACTAAATCTCCATCTGTGGCCGCAGAATCGACCTCAGAGGTGTTTGTGTCCTTCCTTTCAGACGTGGCACTTTGTTTGGCCACTGTGAAGACCTTTTGGCCTTCCCCCGGAGCTTTGCCAACATCCGTGGCCACGCTATCAATCTTCCTTTCAGACTTGTCACTGTCTTTGGAAGGCCTCAGAACCTTTGAGCCTTCCACTGGATCTCTGCAAAAATCCATTGCCACCATTTCACCTGGCGCCGATCCTTCAGGTGCCACCACTTCATATTCCATGTCATCCACCACCACAAAGAATTTCTCGCCGGGATACACCCCGTCCGGCACCTGGACATGTACCGACGTCCGTGACGTATGGGATCCCGAGGACCTCCTGGAGCTGGGCTGCGACCGCGAGGCCGAGGGCAACCTGCTCGGGTGCATTTCCATCTCCACCAGCGCGCCGACATCGATGGGGACACCACTGGGGCCACTCACACGACTCAAAGTGCCAAGGTTAGGGCCATCGGCACTTAACGCAAGGATCTCCTCCATGCTGGCGCCAACAACGTTGCCTCGGAAACCAAGAAAAATGGAAGGTGGGCTGGTCATTCATGTCATGTTTTCCCAAAAACTGAGTGGTCCTCCCCCACCATTCGATGCCCTCATTCAATCCAGCAGTTGGGACCTGCTCCCGGTCCATTTTTTCATCCCAGCGGCCTCTGCCTCCTTCAACTTCTTCAACTTCTTCAACTTCTTCAACTTCTTGTTCCTGTAGAAGTTGTGTCGATTTTCTTTGGCTTACAGTGTATGTTTTTCTTCGGTGCGAACCTTGCGCTTATCTCCTTGATAAAAGAAAATTAGGTGAGAAACTTCATGCTCCGGAAAGTTGAGAAATGCATAGAAAGAGTCATCAAGAGTGAAGAAGAGAAAAGCATAATACAGAAGCATAGGGTACAGAAGAAAAGAGAAGAGTAGAGGGGAGCAGAGAAGAGAAGAGCAGAGAAGAGTAGAGAAGAGAAAGAGTTGTGACAAGAGAACTGTTTTGCTGTTAACTTTCATTTTTCAATCAGGCCTTGCACAAAATCTTTGCCTTTAGATGTTCGACCTTCATGCTTGAACGAAGTCTTGAACGAAAGCTTCGCTTTCACATCTTCAACTTCATTTTGTGAGGAGCTCTCGCACAAAACGCATTGTGGGCAAATAGCCCGGTCTTGGGTCATGGTCTAACTATTCTCAGATCAGTCACGCAGAGGAATTATGTTTTTCAAGGCAGTTTTGCGCTGTTTTCTTGTGCGCGTTTTGCAATCCACCGGAGGGTTGCTTACCGTGTCGGCTCCTGCTATGGTGTTTTCCATCGGGTGCCCAGCACCGTCGAATGCAGTCGATCGTTGGGTCAATGCTGCTATTTGGTGAGAAAAGCTCCAACTTTGGCGCTTTGCATGAGTTTCCATGTAAAATTCCGCTTAAACATCTTCAAAAAGGTACTTTTTTCTGCTTGATGGTGTTTAAGCATCCTCTGGTTGCTTAGGGCAGTTGACTCGCTGCGATAAGGTGCTTTTCGTCATGTTTCTGCGGGCTGGTGCTATCTCGTTTTGCGATCTGGTGGCTGCTAGCGCTGTCGAAGTGCTGGAGGGTGTCTGAAATGTCAGGAGAAAGGGGTGACAAGAGATAGAACTGTCAGAAGAAGGAGTTGTGAAGAGAAAGAGGTGTCATGAGAAAGAAATGTTACAATGTAGGAAAAGAAACGTAAAGAGAAAGACATCTGAAGAGAAAGATATTTCAAGAGAAAGAGCTGTCAAGAGAAAGAGCTGTCAAGAGAAATTTGTGAAGAGAAAGCTTTCTCTTGAGCACAAGTGTTCTGACAAGTATTCTATATTCTGTAGACACATCCTTTCGTTTGCCCTAGAGGTCGTTACCTCCTGATCCGCCACCAGCTGGGTCTCTGGCCGACCCTACTTGAACGATCGAGCTGCAACACGAACTTCAGCATTTCAGGAAAAAAAGCTTCCTCTTGTGAACACAGCGATGAAATGTCACAGTTGCCCTGCCTCAGGGATGACAATCTCCGCTGTTGCTTGCGTCTCTGATATTGAGGATCTAGCCAACAGAGCTTCGGTCTCATGTTCTTCCTCAGGCAGAATGTCCTGCCAGCGAAATTCTGCAAGTTTTACAGTTTTTCGTCGGAAGCAACCTGCATTGAACCTCCAAATTCTCAACTTGAATTTGAAAATAAGCAAGAGGCCGGATGTGGCCGGAGAGCTATCATCCACCTGCCTTCGCGACCTTTCTCACTCCAGACGCCGGTCGAGACCCGCTTCTCTGCTTCGTGGTCAGATCTCCAGCTGGATAGCCAGCACCCTGAGGAGATTGGATGGTGACTGTCAGTCCAAAAAAATCACCAGGTCACTTGTGCTGAAATGTCAAACTGTCAAACTCTCTGCGCCACTTCAAATAGCGCTCAATGTGACACGTTGTCAATTGTGGCAAGAAAATATCAACCTTCCAAAGTTCAACTGTTGTGTGCCAAGAAATTGCCAAGTTTCAAAGCAAAGGAACCCTCAGAAATGGGTTGCCAACCATTATCCATGTAGACCACGATGCTATCCCCGCCTCGCGCATGTCCATGTAAATCACCTCTCCGGGAGAGCAGCCAGCAGGAACCACCTGAGAAGACACCACGGGCAGTGTCAGGGACTGTCGTGAGCTGTTGTGAGCTGGTTTTGTCGGGTCTACTGGTTGATAGGAATCCTCATAGTGCACTATGGATGATGTATCAAAATCATCTCCATGAAGTCTGGTAGAGCCATCAGCATCAATCGAACAAGATCAATTGGCCACCCTTACTCCTGGCCTATCAAATGTCTGAGCCAAGAACCATTCGAAATTCCGCTTCGTCGACTTCCACGACAAACGCGTCTCCTGCATCTGCGGGGAAACTCTTTCATCAACAATGAGAGATAAGGTTTTCAAACAGCCAGAATCAGGAGCCCCCTGTCCTTTGCAGTAAAACTCGTGAAACACATATTCGCATCCCCACTTTGACTTAAGCACCCTTTTTCACCTGGGTGAAGTTTGAGTTGTTTAATCTTTTTCCACTCCTGCGTAGCAGTCGAGCGGAATCTGGATTTGAATGAAGTTGGAGTCTCCCGATGATTTGGACTCGTGGAGAAACCTGCAGCGTTCAGGGTAAGCTGCAGCAAGCCAATCAATGCATATCCATGTCCTGATTTCGGCCACCATGTTGGTGTTGAGTACCATTGGGGTCAAATGGGCTCATTGGGAAATGGATTCATTCGGCATTTGTGGTCAACTGATAGGTTGTCATTTCTGTGTGAAGAAGAGAGGGCAGAATACATGACCATGATCAAACAAACAGGAATGATGCCAATGCACAAGGCAACTTGAGTTCTCGCAATTCATCATCGCACTGCATGTCTGAATCTCTCCTGGGTCAAAAAATAGGTGGTTTGTTTTGGTATCATTCTGTCAATTCCCGGGGGCACTTTTATCCCTATCAGAGATGTCTGGAGATATCCAGAGGCACCTGTTATCATCCTCAAATCGCTCCTCAAATCGCTGGCTGTCTCGGCTGAGCCCCGATTGATTGAAGCGACTCTCCCGGACTTCCTTCAGTTCGGCCCGCACTTGTTCCAGCTCTGCACGAACCTCTTCCAAGCCCTTGGTGACAGAACTGGACCAGAAAGGATCCAGGAGATGACCGGCAATGTATATATATATGTGTGTATGTACTATACATATACATTATACATATGTTTACATGTGTTAAATATTATACATTACAAATGTTATATTACAAATTACATATTACACCTTACATATCACATATGGTACGTGGTACATATTAGATTATATGTATATTGAATATGATATAGTACATATGATACGTTAGGTCTGATATTATATCATACGTTACATATATATATACCAGTGTATGTATGTGTATATATATATATATTATATATATCAGCAAAAGGACGTTCAATTGTGCCTAAATAGATGAATCGATGCGACCCTTATAAACAATGTTTTCCCTAGGTAAGGAGACACTCAAGGAAAATCGATACGACTAAACCACTTGACTGTAGAGTAGAGGGAGTATAGAGTCTAGAGAGAGAGAGAGAGATTGATTTAGATTTAGATGCAGTGATAGTGATAGAGACATGGTGATAGTGACATAATATGTATATATATATATATACAGAAAAGAAATCAAGATATAGACATAGATATGATGTGTATACGGTATATACAGTAAAATGCAAGTTTCTCTACCAGATAGAAGTAGAAGACCTGAATGAATGTGAAGGATCCCCAATTTGAGTGGGAATGGGAGGAATATCATGGAAATTCAAAGGAAGGTAAAGGACATCTGATAACTTTGATAACATCTGTTCTAAGTTGATGTTATCATGACTTAGGAACCTTAGGATTCCTTTCGATTCTCATGACTTCATTGAGTTCATCCCGAGGACACTAAGCATCGGGCAGCGGCAGTCACAGGATCTGGTGAGATTCCTTTCGATGGCAGCTGCAAGGACATGAGGTCACCAGCTCCATAGCCTTCCTCAGATGGCACGTCATGGCACGTCAGCTCAAAACCGCCGACTTGCGAAAACCCCATGGAATCCTCCAAACTTTGCCAAATGGTGTATCAGTGTATGTGTCTGTATGAAAATATTGATCTCTGAAAAGGAACTTCGCTTCATCAAAAAGCCGAGAAGCTGGTACTGGCACCTCGAATTCAACCCCATCGATGATCACCACAAAGGTTTGCCCCGCATGAACACCAGTGGGAACACGAATATCTGCTAAATGGTCAGATCTAGAAGTGTCGCTAAAGGGATCGCTCAAAGCCGTGAAGATTGATGGCGCGTCATAGGGCAACGCTGCCGGGGAGTTCTCCGGAACCACAAATTTGCCCATGGTTCGCTTGGCTGGCACTTCCAAGTAGATTAAGTCGCCGGATTGGCAGGTGGATGGGACCAAAATCTCATACTCAAAACCATTGACATCCGTAAAAAACGTTTCACCTGGGCCAGATCCGTCGGGAATTTGCACATAAACTAGACTTCCATCTGTAGCCACCGACTCTGGCTCAGAGGTGTTCGTGCCCTTCCTTCTAGACTTGCCACTTTCTCTGGAAGCTGTCAAAGCCTTTTGGCTCTCCACTGGATCTTTGTACACATCCATGGCCACCATTTCACCGGGAGACGAGCCTTCAGGTGCCCAGACTTCATATTCCATGTCATCCACTACCACAAAGAATTTCTCACCGGGCTTCACTCCGTCAGGCACCTGGACATGCACCGACTGATGGGATCGCGAGGATCTGGAAGATAATCGCGACGGCCGCGAGGCCATGGACGGCGATCTGCTCGGCTGCCTTTCCATCTCCGTGGGCCCGTCTGGCCTGGCGATCAAGGCCTCCTCAGTGAGGCTTTCAGTGAGGCTTGCGTCAACTTCAACGTTGCCTCAGGCGCGGAAGCCATGCATGCCATGCCATTCATGCCATGATTTCACAAGATTTCACCCAAGAATTGAGTGCCCCAATCACATCCAATCACCTCCAGCAAGTCATGAACATCCCAGCGGCCTCTGCCTTCAACTTCCGGCGCCTGCAGAAACTGTGTCGCTTTGCTGCATGCTTCGTGCAGATATCTTCCACATCACATGGTGTTCAAAACGGAATGTTGGCTCTTGTGTCTTCTATTGTTTCGATACCAGAAACGCTGTGCTTCTCTCACTTGTATATGCAATATACTATATATATATTATCATATAAGAATATATAAGAATCATGCATACAGCATATCACATATCTATATATATACATGGAATGCACATCAAAGGTTTGGAAGTAATACCAGGGTATGTTATTCCAGCTCTTCTTGTTGAGTCTCTTGTTCTACTCGAACTATCGATCTGCAACGCGAACCGTCAGCATTTCGGTAAACAGCTTCCTCTTGTGCACACGACAATTAAATATCACAGTGGCCATTTCTGATAATGAGGATCTAGCCAACAGAGCTTCGGTCTCATGTTCTTCCTCAGGCAGAATGTCCTGCCAGAGAAATTCTGCAAGTTTTTACAGTTTTTCCTCGGAAGCAACCTGCATTGAGCCTCCAAATTCTCAACTTGAATTTGAAAATAAGCAAGAGGCCGGATGTGGCCGGAGAGCTATCATCCACCTGAATGGTCTCTCCCGCCTTCGCGACCTTTCTCACTCCAGACGCCGGTCGAGACCCGCTTCTCTGCTTCGTGGTCAGATCTCCAGCTGGATAGCCAGCACCCTGAGGAGATTGGATGGTGGCTGTCAGTCCAAAAAATTCACCAGGTCACTTGTGCTGAAATGTCAAACTGTCAAACTCTCTGCGCCACTTCAAATAGCGCTCAATGTGACACGTTGTCAATTGTGGCAAGAAAATATCAACCTTCCAAAGTTCAACTGTTTTGTGCCAAGAAATTGCCAAGTTTCAAGAAGCAAAGGAACCCTCAGAAATGGGTTGCCAACCATCCATGTAGACACGATGCTATCCCCGCCTCGCGCATGTCCATGTAAATCACCTCTCCGGGAGAGCAGCCAGCAGGAACCACCTGAGAAAACACCAGGGGCAGTGTCAGGCACTGTCGTGAGCTGTTGTGAGCTGGTTCTGTCGGGTCTACTGGTTGATAGGAATCCTCATAGTGCACTATGGCTGACGTATCAAAATCATCCATGAAGTCTGGTAGAGCCATCAGCATCAAGCGAACAGGATGAATTGGCCACCAATCACTTACTCCAGGGCTATCAGATGTCTGAGCCAAGAACCATTTGAAATACCGCATCGTCGACTTCCACGACAAACGCGTCTCCTGCATCTAGGGAAAACTCTTTCGTCAACGCTGAGATGACAACCATCACCTAAACCATCTAAATCAAGAAGGAAGAAATCCGTTTTTTGATTGTCTGCCGCTCCTTCGTAGCAGTCGGGCGGAATCTGGATTTGAATGAAGTTGGAGTCTCCAGATGATTTGGACATGTTGTGAAACCTGCAGCATTCCAGGCAAGCCAATCAATGCATATCAATGCCATGTCCTGATGTCAAATAGTCCACAAAAGTCGTCATGTTGAGTGCAAACGCATCAGGCCATAGGTCCCGGAACAGAGTCCATGAATGTCCATGACAAGGATCAAACAAACAGGGATCATAGAAATGCGCAAGGCAACTTGAGATTGCGATGCGGAGTTTTCGCAATTCACCATCGCATTGCTAGTCTGAATCTTTCCAAGTTCAAGCTAAAAGTGACACAGTAAAAAGGCACATACAAGGTGGTTCAGATGGTTCATGTTGGGGTCATTCTGATCATTCTGTCATTTTGCAGGAGACTATTACAGTACTCTGGTGGATTGCCACCACTCATCCCGAGTCGGCGGCACCTGCCATCATCACGCCAGCTTTCTCGGCTTTCTCTGAGAGCTTCCTGATGCGACTTGGTGGGACTTCCTTCAAGCGTTATTCCATGGGTGGGTGAAAGGGATTCCCCCAATATACGTAGTAGTATAACCCTTATAATATCAACCAACAGGGTTTTTTGTACCTAGAATTGTGTGAAATATATAAATAGTTATAAATATATATTCAAAAATCACGTGTTTTGGTCCACCTCTAGTTGTAGGGTGATGCACATGCTGAAACAGTCTCACACACCATCACTACTTCAGAAGCTCCACAGCCTCAGCGGATTCCGTCATGACCTGAACTGAAACAAGGACTGCATCCGAAACAATGTCGAAACAGCACAGAACATCATGAGCTGCATCCAGAAAAACATCCAGCTTCCCAGCTAAGAACTTCAGCCTGTGTAAATTGCCCTCACAATTGCTGCCATGGGAAGGCGCATCTGGGGTTGCAGTCATTTTTTTTCAATTTCCGTGGAGATGTCTGGAGAAGTGGTCTGGAGATGTCTAGAGTAGTTGCTTCATTGAAACAAACATCTCCAGCGTTTTTTGATCGGCAGGATTCTGCAGCCAAGAAATCTTTGCTGATTGGTCAAAGGCAGAGTCTCTTGACTCGTCTAAACATATAGGGAGCAAAAGGCTCCCTGTGAATTTAAATGTCTGAGCCCAAAAGCAGCAGCCAGGTTCAGCAAATCTTTGAGCTAAAATGTCAACACAACTACCGAACACCTCGGATCAAGCTGCAAAATGCATTAATACTCCACGCGATTTTCCATGGCTGCGTGCAGGCGATACCTGAAGTCAAAAAACGCCACAGGTTGTCTAAAGTGGCTCAAAATTTGGTTTCCAGGTAATTGTTGAAGAAAAAAAACACCTAAAATTGGAGTTCCCTGGATCTCGGATCTTGTCCCATACCCAAATGGTCACATGAGCACTGTTCAAACCCCTCTGTCATTCCAATCAATCTTGGTTAAGAACGGGATTCACGCTTCATGGATGATAATCACCAGATATCACCAGTATAGAAAAAGATCCTCGTTTTGTTCAAGCAATATGGGTATGGGTCAATACCTATAGATACATTTTTAGTGGGATGAACATCCATAAATCCCAGCTATTTTGATGTGAACTACAGGGGTAGAAGGTTTTGACACACTGCCATATGTTTAGCAGCCACTGCTCACAATGTTTCTGAGTCCACAACATGTCGTTCTCCTCCACCCGGTGTGTCACCAAGGGCTCTTCGTCCAAAACCTCGGAGGCCCAACACAAACACCGGGACTGCATGAGAAAATTCCACAAGAAAAATTGATGGGGCTTGGAAAATCTTGGAAACATATTGAATTCTGAAATGATCCAAATAGATCAAATAGATCCAGCTTTTTCTCAAGAGATTTCTGATTTATCTCCCTGCAATGTCTCCCCACCCTCTTCTCTTGGCCAGGATGGAAGTCGTAGATCATATGGCCAAGCCTGCACAAGCACTTAGCAGTCTCAAGTTGTGTCCACTCAAAACGGCTTCAGGTTTACAACGGGCTAAATGATGCCACATCTATTCTGGATAAGGATTTGTCCAAAAATGGATAATACCCCAAAATGATTGAAATTAGGGAAAATGATAAATCATGAGATTTGGGGACCCTATTTTCAGATAAAGCCACAGCTCCTTCTTGCCCCGATTGCTACATCCCATTAGACAAGCATCTGCACAGGCTGGATCTTCACCAATCGAAAGCAGGCTCCAAGCAGCATGTCCTCAACATGCCAACGTTCAATGCTTTGCACCAAGAAATGAGGGCCTGTAATTTTTCAGAACAAAAAACAGCACCTGGAGAACTATGAGAACTATTGAGAACTCACAGGACCGAACAAAGCTGGATCAGCTCCTCAATGGCTTCCAAGCGGGACAGTAGCAAAAGCTCCATGCCTGTGCCGCAGATCTGCGATTTTTCACTGACGCCAGGCATCCGATCTCTCAGCATGGCACATTTCTTGAGGCCAGGCACCACGGCTTTCAAGGCTTCCTACGAGAAGTCTGCACTGAAAATTTTCCAAAACACTTCAAAAATCAGCCGAGAGCATCAGAGAGCTACATAGACTGAGACTGAGATCAATCTGTACCTTCTCATTGTTTTTCGCATCTGGGACCCCTGCCCGGCTGATGACGTATCCAATTCCATGAGCGAAGGTGTTCCATGCCTCATAACCTTAAGTTCTTCAACTAAGCAAAAGGCCCTGGGTGCAGTTCTGAATTGCTGAGTCCATGACTGGGGCCATGAGAGAACGTCACAGTACCGGCATAGATCTCGCAGTGCTGAATTTAACAGATGATGATGCAACTGGTACGTGGTAGGTATCATACACCTATCATTGAGGATTGGTGGACAGCACCGGGGTAAATTATACATTTAAAAAAAAGAAAAAAGGTATAACTTTGCGTGACATGTTCTAACATGCTCTAACATGTTCTAACATGTTCTAGTGTAACATGCTTTGTCTAGTATATAATGGATGATTGTGAATGTATATATAGTATACATACCAGCAGTTCAAAATGTGGTAGACCATGGTACAACTCGCTACAACTGGTCGCCGCCTTTTGGGAGGCATTCAACATGCGCAGCGTCGTTCGAAGCTTTGGAACGTCCACGTAGGCGTCCATGTCTGCCTTGGAGATGGCCACGGGTTGGGCTGGCAGGGCAATTCCTTCAACTTAAGAACCTTATCTGAGATTTCATCAGAATATAATTGATGGATATTCATGGTCTAGTATCATCATTGCAATAGTTGTTAGGTGGATCACGATATTGTATTTGGGCTACTGTATGGGTATTATGAATCTGACTACCCGGCAGTGCTGGGCTGGAAAATCCGTCTATAGCTATGTAGATGATGCTCGCAGCTATAAACCGTAAACCTCCATGGCTACTTCGATGATTTCCCTGCCGCTAAAGCTCTGAGCTTAAAACCTTCATCCAAAAGTCACAGGAAGTGGCATGGTGGGTGGCCAACGTCAGCCACATGTAGATAAAGCGTAGCCTGGTTTTTTGACACCATTGAGACACCATGGCACCATGGTCAGCGGCGTTTACGCGTGTCACAGAAAGCCACCGTCACATACCGTCACCGTCCCCAAAAACTCACCAGGTTATCAAATCATGCCCAAATGGGAGTTGCTTATGGGTTTTATGGCATTGGGGTCTAATATGACCATATAGACTATAGAATACTATAGAATACTATAGCTACTTTTTTGGATACCTTCCAACAGCGGCACGTTTGAAACGGCAGTGGCAGTGGCTTCTTTTTGACTGCTGTGAATTCGATGCAAGAAACCAAGCGGAAGTACCCTGGTGATATCACGCTCGCCAAGTACCGGGCGCATTGAACTTTGGGTGTCGCACATCAAGATCTCCTTGAAGGGATAGCGTTGCATCCTGCAACTGGCCATCCCGTTTTTCTTTGGAATCACCCTACTGAGTCACTACTGACTCGTCTTTGAAGCACGGAAATCACAGAACGGAGTGCGTAATAAATGCCTTCCAACTTCCAAGTAGTGGATGCCGGCTGTACAACAAAGCCACGACTCGACCTTCGGACGCCAAGATCATACACAAGTCACACGGCTTGAGGATCGAAATTGCTAAATGAAACCAGGAAATCTCAAAAAATCACAGCAAAAAAACTAAGGAGGTAATTTCTACGTACGATCTTAACTTGGGAATTCTTGGAAAACAGCTTCTGCTGAACGACAGAGGTCACAATAGCAGTCCCCTCTGAGAGGTCACAAACTCCTCATACTGAAGGCAAGACCAGATGGCTTTCCTTCACTCGGAAGGTATGGCCTGAAAGCCATGGAAAGCTTCCAGGACGATAGCAGCAGAGTGTCAACAAAAACCTTTAAAAAAAAATGTTCTGGCGGGAATTCAATCAACATCCAGGGCCAAAAAAAATCATCAGCTTCGTACTTAAATTTCAAAGATCTTAAAATCTGTGCAGAATTTAATTGGTTGCAGGTTCTTTAATGCTGACTCATACCCCTCCCTACTCATCGTGGCGTTTCTTGTGACATCTGCCACACCTCGCCCAGGTGTCGACTGCAGCAACAGCACGATCAACCTCAGCCCATGTCATGGTTGGGTGTTTGGGAAATGGATCAAAACCAGGATAGTTATCCATCCCAAAAAAGTTCCGGAACTAATTGTCGTAATTGGGATATAACATCATATGAATATATATATATATATAATTATGTATATATATATAATTATATATATATATGAATACTGTATAAGTGAATAACAACCCAAGTTTGGGAGATAATTTGGCATAGTTTGATGTAATTTGTTATGTATTTGGTATTGACCCATCCCCAGCTTCAGCAAACTCGCACCTGCTTTGGGGTGGAATTGGTGGCAGGCATCAAGATGCACAGCTCCTTTCGCAAGCCGCGCAAGTGCTTCGCAGCAGCCCCTCAGCTATGCAGGGCTATGGCCATGGGTCACAATGGGGCCATAATGGGCCATAGGCAACCCATCTTTCCATCTGCCAAAAAAACTCACTGCCACGAAAAGATGTGAAAAATATTGTTCAATCCAACTGCCACGGAAAGGCCGGCAATACATGGCAATACATTGCAATACATTGCAATAATCATTGCACTTGCAATACCTTCAACCCCTTCTTGGTCTTGAACCTTCCGGCCGCGATGGCCTTCGAAGCTCCTGCTTTAGGACAGAGAGACCTCAAGCAACGATCCACTTATCGTTGGGAACGGTCTCTGCAGCTGATTGGAACCATGGTGAACATGAATATCATATTGAATCACCATGAAAAGGAACGAAACCTGATATCATCTCTATTGATATCCTCTCCTATGAGCACAATGAAGAACACCTTGACTTATGAGGTCTCTGCTCAATGCACAGACTTCCATATCTTCCATGACAATTTGCATCATTTTGCATCCAAGTCGCCAATTTCTGGTGAGTCACCCAGCGCAAGCTGTAGTGGGCATCTGGGGGAATGCTTTCAGTGCTGGCGAAGACTTAAAAATGTCGCAAGGATTTTTCAGAACCACACCTTGCTATAGCTCTCGCCACACGGAAGCTCCTCAAGGCTTCATGGTTTCTTCAAAGAAGCCTTGCAACATTGCCATTTTTTCCAAGGAAATCCATGCTCAGATCAGAACCACGGAGGTGCCAGAGCTTCTGGGTCAGCCAAACTGCGGACGAAGCAGCCCACCTCTTTGGGATCTTTGGGATCTTTGGGATCTTTGGGATCTTTGGGATCTTTGGGATCTGGGAATATGATGGATTATCAATGGACTATCAATGAGATCACTGGAATCAATGGATTATGAGTGGAATATGTTTTGGGGCATTGATGGAATATAAATGGGATATTGATGGGATACTCATGGGAGTGTACTAAAATGTACTCAGAAGTAATATGACAGACAATCACTAAATGTCAACTCCGGATGAATCACCCCCTGTTGGATTTGGGGAAATGCCCCCTTTTCACTAGCAGATGATCACAATTTAAGGCACCCTGATGAATCAACCTCGATTGATTCACCCAGGGTTGAATCAATGTCTGGCCATCGGCCTCGGCCCGCAGTGAATTTCGTCCACCCTGTCGACTCAACGGGTGATGCAGTCAAAACAACCACAGGATGACCAGTCAGGATCATGATACTGGTTCATAGCGATGTTTCATGGAGGATGATACACTGGCTCCAATGATCCCCAATAAACCAGGATCATTTTCAACCTGGTCAAGCTCAAAATCTCACCTTGGAAGAAAATGGAATCCAACTTAGAAATGACCTTCACAACAGCTTTTGACCCCCAGCCTTCTCCAAGGGGCTCTCAATTTGAACACGTCGATGAATCTGGTGACAGCTTTGTCGAATGCTAAAATATGGGAAGATTAACCAACAAATCTGGGATATCATCAAAACATTACCAACAAATGCTCAAAACTGTTGGGTACCCTGGAAGCGGAAGCTCCGCCATGTTGGCATTTGTTTTTGTCCAAAAGGAGTCAAAAAAAATCGGGACTTCCCAGAAAGCCAAGCAGTGAATCATTCGCGTCACGCGCGCCTCTTGTAAAGCTGCAGCTGAATTCGCGGCGGCGCTCAAGATACAATGCCCAGATGGGTGTAGTCCTTGGTGACGAGTCTAACAGTCTAAGTTGTCGTCATCGAATACCTTTTAAAGTTGATGGTTTATTATGTTTATAGCCCAAAATCGGATAGAAAAGTAGAATATGTAGAATCATCTGTAGAATCCTACTTCTCTTAAATTACTCTTCTATCTTTTTGATTCTTTTTGGGGTTACAGTATGAACCAAAATCTGTGGGCCCCTGAGGTCTCTACTGCGAAGCCGAAACAGTGGATGACTATCCCTGGCGCAGCACAGTGTAGTCATGGCTCTGCATGGTCTTGCAAAAACCACAGGGTTTTTAGTGCCAGTTCTTCCAGATCACCGTCCAATGCATCAAAAAAGATACCTCGTATCATCTCGTATCATCATGCATTTCGAATATGTTTACATCAGTGTAGTATGTGTAGTGTATGTTACATCGTGATGGAAATTACCGGGCCAAGATAACGCTGACTGGAGCCTCCAATGCATATCGGTTTTACGCTGTCCACAACTTGATGAAAAGCACATGGCCCTGGGTGCCCTGGTGCCTCCCCGCAGGCAGTGAATACGTGAGCACCTCTTGCACGGGGTCACCCAATCTTTGTGACCTCACTACGGGCACAGTCGGAAAGGCGCTGGCACAGAAGGACTGCTGGCAACTCACCTGAGATTTTCTGATTAACCCGGCACAACGGTCTTCTCATTATACAAATGGTGTTTTCTTGCAGAAGCAAATGGCGCCTCAACCGCAAATGCCACCATAGACATAGCGAGGCGTAAAAGCCTCTGTTGAAAGCCAAAACAAGGGAGGTGGAACTTCAGCCCCTTCCAACCCCTTCCAACCTGAGGGCCACTTCCAGCCAAATCCTGGGATGCCATCAGCTGAAGAGTTTCAGACTTTGGCGAAACAGGGCTTCGTTCGAAACAGCTCCGCGTTTGTTTCCCACTTCGACTTGTTAGCAGTCCTTGGGCATCTTTGCTGCCCGTAAATTCTTTACCACACTTCTCAACCTAAGCTCCAACAGCTCACTGCTCAAACGGGCCGGTTACAGCTGCAGCTGGTTGCCTAGTTCTCCGCTGAGCCCTGGACCCAACCAGATGAGTGCAACTGGATCAACAGTCGTCGACCTCGGAATGCATCATTTCTATTGACGTCAAGCTGCATTGATCTGACGAATTACCAGCACAAAGAGAAAACTGTAAACTGGGGCCCTCCACTGATGATGTATCCAGTTGACTCGTCAGCAATGCCAACCTCTTCATTCCGAATGCATAGAATAAAAGCACAACATATTGCTGTGGCTCTCAAACAATTGACCCAAAGAATTGGACACTCGTACCACACCACGTTGACCACTGCGGCCGAGGGCGGGACACGGGCCTCCCCTATCGCAGCACTCAAAGCGTAGTACCTCCAATGTCTTGAGACTCGGATTGCAACCAACAACGAAACAGCAGGACAAAATGTCCAGTAGAGAGCCATGCCCAAAAGCTACTGCATTGCATTATCTAGTGTAACAAAAACGGTCTGCACCCAAATACACAAACATCTCTGACTGCGGTGTCCGAAAGTAAATCCAAAAGATGGATTCTGTGCAGAGAAGGCAAGGCAATGGAAACGAAACACGACATATCAGTGGAGCACTCCGGGTGCAAACCTGAATCGAACCGCCAATTCTACACCAATCAAAGTTTCCAGATCTCTATTGCCACAGCGGAAGAATCCTGCCTTCTAGGCATCCCAGTCTCGCAGCAACACGTGGAACGTTGACGTAACTCCTCTAGTGTTTCCAACAAAACTTGAGATGTTGAGGCAACCTATGCCGCCCCTCTCTTCCAAGGAATGATCACAGGATCACAGCCCAGTCCTCCCATCCACGTGCATAAGCCAGTAGCACCGGTCCAAAGGATCATCAGAGTGCCTCAAAAATTGGTGAAAAAAACAGTTTCTTACAATGCTGATCTTTCAAACCTGCTCAAGTTATCTCGAGTTCGAAAACGAATTCCCTGTCCTCGACGCATTCTTCTCTGTTAGCCTTCAAGCAGTGTCGAAAGCTGTTGAAAGCAATTCCCTGAACAAAGCCAATTCTTAGCATGCAATCTAAGCAAGGCTCTGGGGCGAGTGTGTCTCTGAAAGTTTCACTAGCGCACATTGCAGCGATGTGTTTACTTGTTTGTATTAAATTATCTCGTTGTATGATGTTGTATGTCTATCCGAGTCTATCCAATGGCGCCTTCGTGCAAGAGTGGACCAAAGGCTCAACGCCTGGAAGTGCGGCTGATCTGCCGGGACTCCTCCGCAGAGCGCAGTACAGGTGGACTCGGTCAGGGGATCGCAGCCGGGCGCGGTCCAGGCACAGCGTCGAGGCTGATGCGCGGCAATCCAGAGCTGCCTCAGACGTCCAAATCATTGGTGATCATTGATCGATATTGATCATTTAAAATTTGAGAAGATCATATTAGTTCTTATTCAATTTTAATATATATCAATATTGATATTCTTCAATTGAAGAATATCAATATATATTGAACATTGCCAAATCATCTTCAATTTTAATTAGTTGATATAATTGAAGAATATGAAGAATTGACCGCAAGTCCAACGGTTTGAAACCTCACTGCCGTTGCAAACAACTGAGACTTCTCGCCGTTGCATTGGTTGCACTGTCCGTAACTTGGTTGCAAGCTGCAAGTGTGAAAGCACATGATATCGGCACTCTGAAGAGCACAAACATCACAAACCCAAAACTAAATGAATGCGCCGTGCTCGACTTGTACTTCATAACCAGGTCTCAGCCGGCAACTCTAAGAGAATGGTGCTGTTGGTCGCCCATGTGGCCTTTCCCCCCACGGCTAAGGTTGTCCACGTTTTTTCCTGTTTCCTACTCTGGAAATGGTGACGAAGGGGTTCCTTGGACTGCAGAAATTACATGAAATTACATGCGTTATCATGCGTTAAGCTCTTTGGCTCGAATCATCTCGAATCCAAAGCGCGACACTGTTTAAAGACGGTTGAAGGGTTGAACGTGCTTCATCTATCTTCATCTCACCTCGATGGTATTTTCCCACAAAGGAGTACCAACGAAGACACATAGCTCTCCTGCATCGGATACATCGGATACCACCCCAAAGGACCCCATAACATGCAACAAGGATCAACCATTCCAACACTGTGAAGTCTGGTCCTTGCATCCCGGGAAGGCACCATGGTGCATCCAGCTAGTTTTGAAATGGCTACAATTCTGGGTGCCTTTTTTTTGAGGAGGAGAAAGAGTTTGGTTTTGGTTAAGGCTGTTAAGATTGCTTCCGCCAGGATGTCTGCTGTCAGACTTTGATCAGATGAAAAAAAGAAACGTTCCAACTATGTACATGATACATGCATGACATATGCATCCCTTCACTGGATTTGGCTGGAGGGCAAAGGATCTGTGCTGGCAACATGAGTTCGTTCTCAACCCTCCCAAGGCAGCGCATCAAAGGCAACTATATATATCTTGCTTCTGGAAAGAAAATGTCTGAACGTATCTGAACGTAAAGCAATTTGAACGCCGAGATTGCCCTAGATTCATCAACAAGTTGGTGCATCTCTATTGTCCTTCACGCCACGCCGCCCATTCGCTTTGGAATGGGAAGTTCTAGATCTCAAGAGGTTCAGTTGTTCACTGTGTGTCTCATTCCATCAGGGACACATGAGCGGAAATCACCTTCCATCAGGATCCATGCCCCATCATGCCCCCCAAACGTTGGCAGCTTGGCATCGGATTCACAGAAAAAACACACTCGGCTCAACTCGGCTCTGCCTTCCACCCATCTGGCGTTCCTAGAAGCGCAAAAGGTGTGCAGTTGTTTTTCAATGAAAAGCAGGTAGAAAAAAGAGAGAACTAAGAACTGCCGACATTTTTATCATATGATTCATATGTTATGACGTTATGACATGTCGTGATATGTTATGATAGTTTAACTTGTGTGCCCACCATTTTTGCAAGCCAAGAGACTCAGCCATGTCTGGGATTGTCGTCCAATCTTATTGCTTCCATAGCGCTGGAATTCCATATTGGTGACCTGGAGTTCTAAATCACCAAGACAATCAACAAAGCCAAGATAGACAGAAACAGACTTTGTTTGAAATTGGTAAATTGATGTAAATTGGGTATGTAACCGCAAATATGATTTTGGGTGTCGGAAAATCCCCTTGGCAATTTGAATTGGGAAAATGATAATTTTTTTTGTATCAAAATTTGGGGGTTCCCCTTCCATTTTCGGACACACTTAGAAAGGCATTTTCACAGGGATCCGGAATTGTTTTGGGAATTATGTTTTTGTTTCCGTTTGTTCCGTCCACTTTCCACGCTATGTGCAGCAATTTGGAGCTGGAAGCTGCCATTTCGACGGTATTTGCAGCATTTTTGAGTTTGAACCTCTCATTTTCCATGGTATTTGCAGCATGTTGGTGCTCAAACTGTTCATGTAACATGGCAGGTTGCAACTGGGGTTCATCTTTGGTTTTAGGGTTGGTTTAGTTTTTTGTGGGTTGTTTTTAGGTGGTTGGGCTTATGTAGGGCTTTTTTAAGGGTTGGTTTAAGGTTTTTTTGGGTTGGTTGAGGGTTGGTTCATTTGGGGTTGGTTTCATGGTTAGTGTATTTAAACTTTGTTTAGGATCTATTTAGGGTTGGTTTTAGGGTTTATTTATTTTATTTGGGGTTGGAAAATCTATTTAGGGTTGGTTTAGGGTGTGTTTAGGGTCGGTTTAAGGTTTGTTTGAGGTTGCTTTCCGGTTTATTTAGGTTTGGTTTAAGATCCGCTTGGGGTTGGTTTAAGATTGGGGGTTGGTTTTCGGGTTTATTTAGGCTTGGTTTAAGATCTATTTAGGGTTGATTTAGTGTTTATTTAGGTTTGGTTTCGGATCCATTTAGGCTTGGTTTACAATCTATTAAGGGTCGGTTTAGGAATTATTTAGTGTTGGTTTAGGGTTTGTTTGGGGTTGATTTAAGGTTTGTTTGGGGTTGGTTGGGGGTTTATTTAGGCGTGGTTGAAGATGCATTTAGGGTTGGTTGGTTTAGGGATTATTTAGGGTTAGTGTCGGCTTTACTTCGGGTATGTTTAGGGTTCACTCAGAGTTGTTTTAGCCTTTTTGGGGGTCGGTTTAGTGTTGATTTAGGGTTGATTTAGGCTGGTTTAGGGCTTATTTTATGTTTCTTAGGGTTTATTTATGGGAAAAAAACATGGGGAAAAGCGGAGAAGCAGAGAATCAAAGAAGCAGAAAAGCAGGGAAAAGCAAAAAAGTGGAGAAGCAGAGAAGCAAAGAAGCAGAAAAGCAGAAAAGCAAAGAAACACAAAAGCACGAAAAGCAGAGAAAAGATGAGAAAAGCAGAGAAAAGCAGCCAAGCAAAGAAAAGCAGAGAAAATAAGAAAAGTGGAGACGCGGAGAAGCAAAGAGGCAGGGAAATGCAGAAAGCAGAGAAGCTGGGAGAGCAAAAAAAAAAACTGAACGGAAAAAAACTTCAAAAGTAGCCAAAACCTTTTCAGAGTCCAAGTGCCAATGCCGAGAGTCTCCAAAGTCGCTCCCATAAGTCGTAACTGCAGATCGCAGAATCTTTCGATCGCCAGGTGGGGACCGTGAGCCACGGAATGCTTTGATGGCCTCAGGTGCTACATCCTTCGCAATGCTCAGCCGTGCTGAATTTTCTCTGGCCGACCCGCGCCCAGGGCCGAGTGCCTACCCGGGCCTACCCGCCTCATAACCATACAGATTCTCGGAGACTCCGTAGCGAATTGTCTCTGGACTCTGGTGAAATAACTCGTCCAATTCCTGAACCATTGCACCAAGACATGCAACCAGAACTAGAATCGTCTGAAAATTGGATAATTAACTACAACTACCATCTGGTTATTTAACATAGCCATGGAAAATCACTATTTTCAATAGGTAAACCATCTATAAATGGGCCATTTTCCATGGCTATGTTAAATAACCAAAGGGTAAATCAAAATCCACTGGTTGATCATCATTTTCCCCCTAACATACCAGAAATTCGTGTCAATCCCCATCTCTAGAGTCAACTGACCGACGCAATGTGCTGACACTGCTCCTTCACATCGTTGCTGCAGAGGGCGCGCTCATAGCGTTCGAATTCCCTGCGCAGCCCTTCCAGCACCTTGTCACGGCCCAAAAACATCGGGGGCTTGGCGCCCCTGAATAATTTGGTGGAAAAACATGGAAAAACCCTGAAAATTGATGCGTATCAAAACTACCTTGTTTCTCGAATTTAAAACAACCATAATTGGAGGTATCCTCCATTCGCAAAGATACCCAAATGGGGGAAAAATTATGCACAACAAGACATTTAGACTCATTTAGACAAGCATTTACTCACCCCTCAAAATCGGCACCAAATCCAATATGATAATATGTCAGGGATAATTGTGAATCTGTTCAAACTCTGAAAATGTGAACCAAAAACCTTATACCGACTTATACCTGTACTGGATGGTCAAGGGAGTGTCCCGTCCGATTTCAAGTTCACCAAGAGGACTGGCGGAATGGCCATGGATTTCCCATGGAATCACAGCACCTGTGGGCTGTTAATCTCCGGGAACGAACGAAGAATGCGACTTCGTCTCAGCATCGCAGCCACAGGGCGATTATGCTTGGAGAATCTTGGAGATTTGCTCTGCTGAGAAGTGAAGCAGTTTCATTATGAAAAAGGTGTGAACACTGCGGTCACAGAAAGTTGTTGCTTGTTGCAGTCGAAACTCGGAACGAAATTAGAAGGCACTGAAATTAGAAGTCACTATTGCGAAACTAGTTTTGAAAATTCTGGTACAGTGTGTTTCCTTTTTCTTGTCCGTTAAGACCCCATTGGAATCCATCAAGCTTACAGTAATGGATGTAATTTGATGTAATGGCTATTAATGCCTTGAGCAGAAGCTCACCAGCATCAAACATGGGTGGCTGGGAAATCCCCAAGTTTCCGCAGTTTAACGACTCGCTGCAAGTTGTCCCACGTTCCAGCTGCATGCCCTGCATGCCACGACCCACGGCCGCCTTTTTTCTGTTTTTTTCTGCTTCATTCAAAGCCTTCCGGCGCCGTTTCAGCTTCTCCAGCCTTGCCTAGCGGTGCCAGCAGTTGCTGCAGAGCTTCCACCCCATCCAGATCCGCGGCGCAGGGGTCGTAGCCGGGGTCGTAGCCGGGGTCGTAGCCGGGGTCGTAGGCGCTTTCGCCGGTTTCGTCGTAGCCGGGGTCGTAATTCTCCTCCGGTGCCTCCTCCGGTGCCTCCACCGGCTCCGCCATGGCCACCTCCACGGCCTCCACGGCCTCGGCTTCAGCCGCCTCTCCCACCTCGGTGGCGTCCGTTGGCTCGACCCAGGGCTCTGCCGGTGGCGGAGGCACCGAGGCCCAGGGGGGCGTAGGCTGCGCAGGCCTCCGCTGAGATGTGAGAACCATGTGACCAGAACAGGGACATAAAGAGACCTGCTGGAATTGGATCATGAAACAATGTGCCAAGCGGCCTCTGCCATGGAGGTGTAGGTTTTGGAGCAACCTTTGCTGTTGCGCCTGAGATCACTTGTTTGTCGCACTCACTCCAAGCGTTTTTTTGCATGTCATTAAAATGTCACTTCTCATCCCCTTCTCGACATGCCGACTTCAGGCTGGCACCAACGATCTTTGCTGTTGGCGGCCTCGGGGTGCAGCAGAAGAGTATGTTTTCTCGCATGCGCCTTTCAGGTTTCGTGCTTTGTAAACTTGGAATGTCATTGTCTCAGGCTGGAGCAGTTTAGGAATGATCTTTTCCATCGGCGGTGGTGCTGGGGCCTATCGAGGGCACACTCTCGCACTTATCCCGGAATCTTCAATTAAGTTGGACAAAGAGATTCGCAACCAAGGATTTCGAGTTTTCTTCTCACAGGTTTCGCCTCCATCTCCCAATAGCCTCGCTTTCGGCCATTTTGCCTCAGGCTCAGGCTGATTTTCTCCGCTTTCAGTGGCAAACTTGGAATCCCAATCACCAAGGCACTCCATCTCTGGGAGGTCTCCACGTCTGGGAAGGAGGAATGTCGTTGGAGCGGCAACCTCGAAAACTCGAAAACCCGAAGCATGTCGCACTTAAGGAAAAGCGACACCAGCTGTCACTCGCTTGAAGGAATCAAAATACCTCCAACTAACATGACGACTCCTTTGACATAGGTTGGAAGATGTTGGAAGACTACCTTTCTCTAAAACTGAGAGATTCTCAGGGTCCATGCCGAGTCTACGTTAGCTGAGGGGATGGTACGGAAATGCTGTGGACGTTTGAGGTGTGCACAGCCTGTCGCCATGCGGTCTCTTTTGGCTTCCAGCCTTTCTTCAGCAACTCCTTCCAGAGCTGCAAAGCTTTGCTTGCCGGAGCTCATGATGTCAAGATTGGGAGGGTAATCTACATACTAAAATCATCTATATAAAATGTCTCAAAATATCAAAAGGGACCCACAAGAAAAATGGAGCCTTCAGACTTTAACTCATTTCACTTTCCACATCTTTCCACCATCAAGCCCAGAGGTCTCCATGACAATTCGCACCACCAGCAGATTCTCGTCCAGGCAAAAGGTGCGTCGGACCTGCGGAGGATTTCTGGAGGATTTGGAGGATCACAACATGTAGAAAGTGAATGAAAGATAATGAAAGTGTGTAGTGAACGAGTTTAGAACCAAGTCCAAATTCGATAGTTATGACAGTTATGATAATTCGAGAATCCCGGCGATTCTCAACTCTTGTTAACTAACCGGGTTACAAACCAGTTCCTGTAGAAATTTGGATGATCCTCCAAAACAGGGCTGTGGATGGCTGTGTGTTTCGAACCTTGTCACTTGGAGGAAGTCCAAGATAACGAGCCATAGAACCCAAGCCGTTGGGGGCTGCCTCAGCAACGTCCGCGGCAAAACTGTTGGTACATGTTCTGAATCCCCCGCAGTGCGGCAATCCTTAGGGTCCTTGGTTCCATGTTCTATCTTCTCTCTATCTTCTATCTATCTTCTATCTATCTTCTATCTATATTCTATCTATATTCTATCTATTTTCTATCTATCTTCTATCTATCTTCTATCTATCTTCTATCTATCTTCTATCTATCTTCTATCTATCTTCTATCTATCTTCTATCTATCTATCTATCTTCTATCTATCTTCTATCTATCTTCTATCTATCTTCTATCTATCTTCTATCTATCTTCTATCTATATTCTATCTATATTCTATCTATCTTCTATCTATATTCTATCTATCTTCTATCTATCTTCTATCTATATTCTATCTATATTCTATCTATCTTCTATCTATCTTCTATCTATCTTCTATCTATCTTCTATCTATCTTCTATCTATCTTCTATCTATCTTCTATCTATCTTCTATCTATCTTCTATCTATCTTCTATCTATATTCTATCTATCTTCTATCTATCTTCTATCTATCTTCTATCTATCTTCTATCTATCTTCTATCTATCTTCTATCTATCTTCTATCTATCTTCTATCTATCTTCTATCTATATTCTATCTATCTTCTATCTATCTTCTATCTATCTTCTATCTATCTTCTATCTATCTTCTATCTATCTTCTATCTATCTTCTATCTATCTTCTATCTATCTATCTATCTTCTATCTATCTGCTATCTATATTCTATCTATCTTCTATCTATCTTATATCTATCTTATATCTATCTTCTATCTATCTTCTACCTATCTTCTATCTATCTTCTATCTATCTTCTATCTATCTTATATCTATCTTCTATCTATCTTCTATCTATATTCTATCTATCTTATATCTATCTTCTATCTATCTTCTATCTATCTCTGACTTCTATCTATAGCTTTTGTCTCTCTTCTATCCTGTTTCTTCCCAGCCTCATTTGGAAGCGCAAAATATTCTCGGAAAACATCCTCGGGCGCTGTGTGTCACTGGTACATAGACCTGCCAGTCCGGTCGTCACAGAAAACCACGGTCCTTCAAGCAGCACCATCTTCGGAAGAAGAAGTCCTGGCATGAACAGCCATCCTCGAAAATATCGTTTGATTAACCAATCGCAAGCCATCCTGGACATCCTGTGGAAACCCAACTGCGGCACCTGCAAATTGTAGTCCACTTCACCCTGGAAACACCGCCTGGCGAAGATCCATTCGCATCGCGCCACTTGGAGCAAGCTGAATCATCTGAATCCTCTTTGTTTAACGTCCCCCACCTTGGCAACAAGGACTGCACTTCAAAGTCCCTGGCCCGGCTGAGTCTCAGATGAGAAAGAAAGCCCAGAAGTGCTGATTTCAAAAACCATGGGTTTTGTTGTTCATTACATCCTAACTACGACTGGTAAGCTACAAAACCTGCAGGTCTTACCTACAAAAATGGTTGTGTTTTCGCAAACGGCTTCACATCAAAAAATCGGGTCTCCTTGGACTCACGAAGAGGATATCTTCAGGGAGCATCTCGTCCATGGAAACCTGTTCAGGTTCCAGAATGCAAAAAGGATCCACAAGCACAAGTCCCAGCAGAAAGTGAAACAGGTTTGTCTGAAAATTGGGTCTGGCCCCACAAATGTTCTATTCAATTGAGGAAATTACAATACAGGATCCAGTTGAGGTACAAATACCATTTTTCAGACCACACCAAGTCTATTGAATGGTCTGAAAAATGCAAAAAAACGATGTAGGCTCCAAACTCCCAACATTCGTGGCCTGAGAGCAGGAAAACATTAGAAACGGAGGCAGCGGCACAGATTTCAAGTCAATCCCAGAGGGATTAGAATATCCCCACTAATCTCATCACTATTGGTGGTTATGCCATGTTATGCCCCCATCCCTGATTCATATCCTCAGTTATTTCAAGGCTGATTTCCTGACTCCCCAACTTGATCAAGATGATCCAAGGCTGGCGCAGCCAGTCAAGAAGATCTGCCAGGACGTCAGGAAAGAGAACTGCCTTGACAAGGGATGCCCTCATGAGATTGCTTTGAATGCACTAATTGAAACAACAAATACCAATTTCAAAGAAAAACTTAAGAGTAAAGATATCATATACATTACATACAGATACATATAATGTATATATACATATATATATATATATATACGCGCTATATATATATTATATGTATATATTCTATGTATATATATATTATATTATATGCATATACATAGATATGTCCTGCAAGTCTTTTCCATTCCATTCCAATCCCATGATGTGAACAATCCGAGCTGTTGAAGCTGAGACACCACAGGTTTATCTGCGAAGCATGCTGCGGGGTGCGCCTGCACCAGATCGAATGTCACGACTGTCACAACCAGTAGTGCTGTCATCTCATTTCCAATAGTCATAGAAAGCAGTTGCTACCCCCTTGGGTGTGACCCTCCCTATCTGGCGGTGGGAGCAGGTAAGTCAAATAACTGCTCTAAAGATCCCATAAAGGCCTCAAAATCCTTTATAGTGCCTCTAAAAGCCCTCATCATCCCTTATAGTGAGTCTTACACCCGTCATAATGGCTCTCAATCCCTCTTGAGTGCTCTTAACACACGAGAGGCACGGACTCAACTCATAACTGGCTCATATCAGCTCTCAAGTGCTCTTTTGGTGATGCTCTTGAGGGCTAAGAGCAGTTAAGATGGGGGGGGTCACATCAATGATACCTGCTGTTTTACAGGGTTTTGGGCCCTCACATCAACAACTTAACTAAGCAACACACAGGGGAGGCTCAGCTCGATTTTGGGTGCTGTTCAAAGTGGCCCTTCAAGATGGGGGGGGTCAGATACAGAGGGCTCGCTCCTGCTTTCTGTGAAGTAGCTAAAGTCAGAAAGTCCCAAAAGATGCAGAGTAGCCTGTTTATCCAGATTCAAGGCGAAGAAAACATTGGAACCCCAAGAATCCCTCCTTGATTCCTCATTGATCCACAACCCCATAAACATCCCTCACTAGTATCCCAATCATATCCCCAATCACATTCAACATATTAAGACATATTACCCTCTGGTAATTTAACATAGCTATTGAAAATGGCCATTAATAGTGGATTTTCCCATGAAAAATGGTGGATCTTTCCATAGCTATGTAAACGTTTACCAGAGGGTAAAACCTATGAAAACCTGAAAAATCTCTGGTTCGGGATCCACCTGACCCGGTATTTCCCATGGCTTTCCATGGCATCGACATGGCTTTCCCACCTGCCGCATCTGACCGTCTTGCTGATCCCACATGCTGGGCCGCACGAAGCGATGAAAACGGCTCACCTCCGGGGTCTGACGCGGAACAATGAATGGGAAAGTATGGGGAAACCATGGTTTTGTCACTGGGAAATCCAATGGAGATTTCAGATTAACACCAAAATTGGTTTTTGTCCATTGGTTTTTCCAAAAACTGTGGTTTACCAAAATTGTAACTGGGAAACCACAGTTTTTTTGGAAAAACCAATGGAGATTTCGGATTTCGTCGAATTTTCTCAGTTCTGAGAGATGCTATGACCCAAATTCACATCCCAATTTCCATCCCGTGATGCAGAAAATCTCATTTTCCATCATTTTGCCATATATGGCCATAAAGTTACCGCCACACACCGCACATGCTCAGTGAAATCGCCTCGCAGCCCGCTGACCAATCCACAGCAACCATACATAACCTGAGAATTTTCACTGGCGAAACAACTTGATTCCACGATTCGGACCATTCGGACGTGCACCGGAAATGAATCCACCACTGATGCTGTGCCGTGAAAAATCTTCACTCCTAACTTCCACACGCTGTGCCCTTCAAAATCGGGGAGGTAATCCAGGAGAGTGGCTGCAACTGATGAAATTCTCATAGGATGGGATGCATCTGAGTTGGTAGGTGCTTGTCGCCCGCCTTCAAGAGGTTCCACTATGCACTCAGTTGCATGTCAACTGGGCTGCACACTCAAGGAGGTCTTCCTCGGGACACCCTGCGCATGCAGCCGGGCGAAATTTGGGACTTGATGGGACAAAGATATTGCGGACTTGGGACGAAGATCTGCAATTTTTTACAAACCTAAAATGAAACCATTACCCTCTGGTAATTTAACATAACTATGGGAAATCACCATTTTTTATGGGAAAATCCACTATAAATCACCATGTTCAATTAAAACCATTACTGAAATGACGAAAAAAAACATCGCACAAGATCTGCCTATGCCACCGCCAGCAGCCGGACGAGGTCCCGAAAATCCCGGGCCACCGTTCGTAGCCTGGCCTGGCGGTCTTGGGTGGCTGTTGTAAATAGAATCAAAAGTAAAAATATACAATATACCTTACATGACATATACATATGTTTTTGTTCATTATATATATATATATAATTATTATATATATATATTTATATATGTAAGAAATTGTACGAATGTCTATAAATAAACATACAGTATACAGATGTATACAGTTTATACCTGTGTAATGATGTATCCAAAATCAACATCCTGTATGTTCAGAGTCCCTCGAACCAAGTCCTGCCTGGTGGTGCTGAGAGCATTGGAGGTCCAGCACCACCACAGGAAACCACCAGGAGCAACGGACGCGCCTTCACCTAGAGATCTCAGGCGGGATGCCATGCCATGGCAAAAAAATAAGGACCATTTGATCATTTAAAAAACTATAAATCATTATAAATCTATGAACCATAGACATCATGGAAAAGCTATAGGATATCTATAATGTGGGGATGATGTCACCCCCATGGAGATTGGGGGATTTTAACAAGAAAAACATGTTGAAAAGATGCAAGAATTGCGATCGATATAGGCAGCTGGGGATCGGCACTTTGACCAACAGAAGGCGGAGAATGAACAAGACTTATGAGCAACACAAGCCTATCACAACCCTTTGATTCTGGGACATGGCTGAAGGAAATGGGTTTAATATGGGCAAATGAGGTATCACAAAGATTCAGCACATCAAGAAGCTGGGAAAAAGAAGTGGCACTGGTACACCTGTGCTGAGACCCTCGAGACAACTTCACCGGGGATTAAGTCAGTACTCCCAGATTGGGTGCATTGGTGCGAAAAATGACCCAATGTCAATCTGCATTTTTCTCCAGCCTGTTTTCGACTGCGTGAAACTTGGTTTTTGTGTCTAAGCGGATGAAGGAACATGAGTGCCATCTGACCGTCTCCTGCAACTCATGGCGCAACAGTGCACCAACAAGTCCAAAAGAGATCTCAAGGGGCGTCTACAGCAGTACAAGCCAAGCAGAACGCAGATTGGGACGTAAATCTCTGGCTTTTCCCGAACCAAATCCCAGGTCAGCGACAATGCCAAGATGGTGCTTAAAGAAGAAGTGAGGGCCCCCATGCTGCCAAGCAAGATGAGACCATAAAAGAAACCAATATTGCCAGCCCCAATGCAACGTCCAAAAACACTGCAGTGATGATCAAAGTGCACTACGCATCTTTGACAAATGCTACAGTGGTGCGTCTTCGTTTGCAGTCCACCCAACTTGGACAGAAGGGGATTTAAGAAGCCGCCGGTAGCTTTCTCGGGTCGCCAAACAAGACAGCGAACGCAGAAGCTGCGAGGCCCATCGGTCACATTCTCAACTGCTTGTTCTCCACGCAACAACAGCTCTCTCACCTGTGCAGTGGAAATAAACCCGACATGGGAAAATCCTTAAACTCATGTTTGGTTAAGAATAGGATTCCCAATATATCAAGGAGGGCATGCTGGGTATTACAAAGCAGTGAAAACTCCCAAAATAATCAACAACCAACAGGGGATTATGAGTCACCCACCTGTGCTGGAATGGGTGAACACGTCTCTGGCGTGCGCTGGATGATGCCAGGGTCTGCAAGCATCAGACCCACCAAGCAGCACAATGCCAGCAGTGCTTCTGTGTAGATGCAACCCCGGCAGGTCCAAATGAAAGTAGGAGAAAGGTCTTGGATACTGGAAACTGCATGCGTTACACCAACCAGAAATGTTGTAATACCCAGAACCAACGCACACCCCAGCCACTCTTGGCGTCGTTGCACCTTTCGTTGGGGAGAGGGCAGGGGGGGAAGGTCCTCAATACTGAGATCGGCGTCGCATGAAGTCGCCATTCAAGCCGCAATAGTCCGCAATGGAAAAATGTCTTGCAATCGCCAAATTGGCTACAGAGAGGAGCATGGCGATGATTTCCAATGCAAATTCATCTCTCTTACAATGTTTTTGTAGCACCTGATGTATCCTGATTCACTTTGATTGTTTTGGACTGGCCATTGCTTGGCTACAAAAGTCAAATTTCAGATGGACCTTTGCCACAGGCTGTCCATGCTGTATCAGTTGCAGTTGCAAGTCGGGAGGGTTTGGGTTGTTCTTGCAGCACGATATGCAGAAATCTGAATGCATGTGACATATGTGACCAAGTTCAAGGCCTGAACGGCTTGAGATAGAATAGCTCTCACAGCTGCCAGCATGCAGGTCAGCAGTGAATATTCCGGTGAGATCGATCCTAATTGTATGGATCAATATGGCGCCATGAACCATCTTTCCCATCTTTCATCTTTCGATTCTGAGACGTGATCTTCAGCCATGGCCGAAACCATGGGTGTTTTGGTCACGTTTCTGGTCATCCATCAAGATCATCCCATAGCTGGAAACCTTAGGGTGACAGATGGTGACCATCCCCCAAGGACGATGGAACCCGCCTTGGAAACCTCATCCTGCTTCGGCGCTTTTGAGAGCCAGTTTGCCTTGCACACGTCACGCACACGTTGCACACGTCACATTGACATGGTCAATTACAAGTCATTGCGATCAGAAGACCCTGCAAAACATCAAATGTTCATCATACTTCAAATTCTGTGCAAATCCTGTGCAAATCAAGCTGAAGTCGCCTGTGTTTCCGAGATGATCTTTGAGCAGTGCAAGCCAGCCTGCGACTCTCGAATGAGCTGAGTTGCTTTGTGAAATGGCGTGGTCCCAAGAAAAAGTGCCCAAAAAAAAGCAACCATGATGCCATGCATCATAACCATCAAAATCAAAAGGCCCATGGCCCATACCCATGATAAGACAAACTATAATTACTAAACTCAGAAGTAATTCTCGATAAACAAACATATCAAACATATTAGCTGTAGAAGGCTCGGCCTCGCAACCGTCCTCACCCTCCTGCCCATCTCGGCAAAATCCGCAGGCAAACCAATGACATAGACCACGTTCCTGAATCAGCAAACATGTGCTGATGTCTCAAATCCATCAATTTGCCATCCCCACGGGTGAAATACATCAAAGTTACCCGGTTTCACTCAAAAATCCTGTTGTGCTGCTTAAATCCTGATTGGACACGATTTAACGTAAAATCGGGCGGAAAAAATTTAAAAAATGTAGGTGAAACCATGTGAAACCTACTTTGTTACCTACTTTGTTATCTTTTGTTCATGTTTTTGCACCGTGTTTCCCCAGCTGCTTCCGTAAAAACACCACCCGGTGCCGGGGCCTCAGGAGAGGCAGCTTCTTTGAAGGCCACCAAGACCTTCAGCATCGTCAAGGCCTCAACAAACAAAAAAATCGGACCCCCAAACAGATCCAAAAGGTGTGTTTCGACCAGGATGTGAAATTTTGATGTTGTTGTTGATGATGATGTTGATGATGATGTTGTTGATGATGATGTTGTTGATGATGATGTTGTTGATGATGATGTTGATGATGATGATGATGCTGATGATGATGATGATGGTTCCCTCTGTTTTTTTCTCGGGATTCCAACTTCTGTATCTATGACTGGAAAGGTCCAGCATGCTCCAAATGTTCGAACGTGGCGATTTCGGTCAGACTGAGGAAAACCACCTTTCGATTTGGAAGGCTCTCAAATGTCAGCTTTGATCTGGGAGAAAGTTTCCTCGCCTTGGCAACATTTTTCTTGGAACCTTTGACCGTCACATCAGCACCTAGCCAGGACATGCCAGGACAATGATGTGTCAAGAGTTGTGAAGGAGCACAAGTTCAAATTGAAGGGATTGCACTGTGATTGCACCTTTGGCAGTGTGTTCAATGAGGACTTGGGCAGATGTCCTGGAAAATGAAGCAGGGAGCTCTTATGCGCTGGTAGGCAGGTTGACAAGCTAAGTCAAGGCAATGCTTACCAAATGTTACCAATCTGTTGCCTTGCAAATGATCATCCGTCTCCACTACACAACATGCCTCCTGTGTCTTTGCAACTGATACAACTGATGCATCATCTTCCAAGTGGTGATGGCCATCGAGCATGCTTCTGGTCACTTGACTTTTTGGCAACGGCGTAAGATCACATTCTCAGAGCCACCAAGCTGTCGAAAATGGTGGGCAGCACGATCAGATGCCTCTGTGTGATCTGTGCTTGACGACCCGTACCATCGAAGATTCACCATCATCCATGACACATTGAAAACGTACCATTTCAAGTCGTTGGTTGTTTCAGGTGACAAACCTGCACGATGGGCAAGTTGTTGAATGTGCCGAGCAAATCTATCCCATGCTTGTTGGGCATCTGGGTTTCCAGCTCCATACTTCCTTTCATTGGCCGCTCCCCAAGCAGCCGCACACACAGCTTCCAACAGATCAGAAAATCCCGAGTCAGCTGATGGCAAGGCAGGTGGTATGGCGTCCATTGCTGTGGCAGCACAACCACATTCGTGCTCCCAACGAGACCAGCATCGGACCGTTTGCAAATCGGCCTGGCCCAACCAGCGCTCCAAAGCTGCACCTTCAGCGGCCGCACGAGCCATAGATGAAACCATTTGGACGGTGACACCCAACTGATCGTCATGGCTGTGCTTCCGCAGCTTTCCAGCTTGAGCAGCTCCGGGACTGTCAACACCATCCATGTTTGTGCTTGTGCTTTCGACCAGTGATTTACTTTCAGTTCCACTCAAGCACACATTCGGAAGGAGAACGGAGCAAATAGATCGTGCTGGAAGTTCTACGAGTAGCTCTAGACAACCTGCGGCTTCTTGAACCTCCACTTCACAAGGCACAAACAATCGCCTCCGGTTCGGCTCAGTCAAAACAGCTTGGATTCGTCGTTCAGATCCACGGCCCTTGGGAACAAAAGCCGACAATCGAAGACGCTGCTTGCTGGTGCCCAAAGTTGGATTGGTGATCACCGCGGCCAAGGAATTCTCCTCTGGTGCAAAAGAGGCTGCAGCCCATGGTTCTGAGCAATGCAGCATGACCATACCACGTCTGATGAAGCGCGTAAAGTGCGCAAAGATGTAGTACTTCGGATGTGGCAAGTCGGCAGCTTTGGGCTCCTGTGAAGGTGCATCACCAAAGTCTGCTTCAACCAGTCCCCAACTGGAATGGTGTTCAACCGGCTGCCAGTAGCACCAAGATGCTGGTTGCAAATAGTGGAAATCCTCCAGAATGACTTGGGCCAAAGTCACACCACTGCTATCTGCATTTCCATGTTCAGAAACACAGAGAGGGACTCCCGCCACCGTGGCAATCCTGCGGAGAGCAGATCGGAAGCCGCGGTGCCGGGACTCCAGCCATGGTTCCAAGCCATCGTAGGCATGCACGTTCAAACAGCCAACGTAACTTCCACTAGGTCCACCCGCAACATCAGCTTTTCCAAGCTCTTGCCAAGTTCGAATTGCTTGATCAGGTCGATTCTCATCACTTGCTGCAATCACTACATCACTAAGCCCTCTTTGATCTAATTCATCGCGGAGTTTCGCAATGACCCGAGCTTGCTGTGATGAATTCACCTTGCATCCCTCCTGATCATGCGGAAACATCCACCAATCAGCTGAGGGCTCATTGAAAGGGGCCACAGATCGAACCGGCACCCCCCAGCCACTCCTCGCCTGCGATGCCACCTCACCCAAATAGTTGGCAAAGTCATCAGGTTGGGCCAGGGAGCCTCCAAAAGAACTACTGCTGTTGCTCATCCACCACATTGGGGCATTGGCAAACAGCTCAACCTGATCTACTCCTCGTTCAACCGCCAAATGCAGGAAGTTTCTTTGTCCTTCATCTCTGGTCCAATCAAATTCACCATTGGGAACTGGTTGGAAGCCCTCAATCAAAGCAAACCAGCCGCGCACTTTGCTCCCACCATAGGGATGTCCTGTCTGCTCTTCGGGTCGTCCGCAGCCCCCCACGTTGTATCGAGCAATGCTCAATCCCAGCCCTGGAACTGCTGCTGGCATGTAGGGCCCTGCAAAGTTGGGCCAGAGTTGCGACACCGGGACATCTCGGGTTGAGAACAGCAAATCGGCCCAGCTTTCAGCTTCTCGGCAACAGCCCAAGGCCTTGCCGAGCCATGACAAGCTGCAGCCCCAGCCGGACCATCTGGCGGGTGGATAGCGTAGCAGGGCCTCAGCTTCTAAGCTAGGAGCCCCAGGGCCATAACCTTGATGGCTTGGACCAACACCCATCCCATCTCCGGTTGCTTAAGCAACCAATTAGTCTAACTTCGATGCAGGCAACCAAAGGCAACCCAAGTATCCATGTAGGTCATGTAGGTCCTATGATCATGACATTCTCACGTTACTTGCTGGTACCATCTGCCTTTCAAGCCGTGTCCATTGAAATGACAGTGAGTCGAAATTCTGTGGTGGGTTTGTGGGTTTCTTAGGTTCTTGTTCTGGGGATGCTCTCTTAGGCATGCTGAAACATTGACAAAAGCAGGGTGATGCTCTGCATAAATACCCTTCATCCAACTATGACCCTTTGATACAGCCCAAAATGGAGCCAGAATGGCGAAACAGGCGCAGAGCAGACTTCCAACGCATTCAAAACAAAAGTGGAAGCGCCACTGGATCTAGCGGACCTGCCATGACCTGCGGGCGATTTCCATCTGCCATGGCACATCAAATCTATCAACCCCCAAGGGATTTTGGAGCACTCAGCAGCTCAGCAGCTCAGCAGCTCAGCAGCTTCGGTGTCCTCTGCTCTATCTTGCCAGCGGGACCGGCCTTAGACTCGCGCTGAGGTGAGCTTAGGGAGTTTACCTACCAATCTGTTTCCAATTCTCCATATGCTAATAGTACTCGGTGAAATTTGGCGAACAATGGAAACGTGGCCATGAAAATCGGGAAAAAAAACATCAACTTCATAGATGTGGGAAAAGTATGGAAAAGTACCTGAAGCCCCAGAAGCACCTGAAGTACCAGTTTGATGCTTTCAATTTCACTCCTCATCCGACCATCCAGCGCTCCATGGCACTCCACAAGCTCTAGGAGGTCTTCACGATTTCACTAGCTCCAACTCTTTCTCTTTAGCCGAGGTCGCAACAATGAGTTGCAAGGCCTGCTTCTTTGAGACCTGCCAAGTGTCACAGGATCTGTCACAGGATCACGGATCCTCACGGGATCTGCCCATAATCGCTTCCTCTGTCTTGGAGCCCTTATGCCATAAATGCCATAAATGCATATAAATGCTTGATTTTGGTTTGATTCTGAACTGTCTTAACTCTTATTTTCTGCATTTCAGCTGCAAAGAATTACAAGATAACCTTTCGGGTGTTTCTAGTAGCATTTACCAACCCTCACAGTTTCTGGTTTCTCAGCAAGCTCAGCCAGGTAGCCTGCACTGTCTCCTTCGCCTCCTCATCTGCAGCCATTTGGCAACCTGAAGGCTGACAGTCTTCATATTGTGCCACTTTTCTTGCTTCACTGCAGGATGCAAAGTTGTAGAAGAAATATGGGGTTTGCAACACTTTGCCACAGATTGAGAAGGGCTTCAATAATAGAGCACATTTTGCCGCAGAGTCGTGTGAGTTTCCAGCACTCCTGATCTAAAAATGTGAGGAATAAGGAATCAGCTTCATTGTAACGCGCTGCAAACCTCACTTCACTCTTCACCCGTTGTGCCTTGTTAAAAGTGGCAGACCATGCCATCAAGCAGCATCACTGTCGATGATTGGTTGATGTTTAAATGTGGTGGCTTAATGACCGGCTTTACAAAATCTGGAGGTTGAACGATGTTCGACAGTGGATTTACAAAATCAAAAGGTGGTCGGAATCCGAAGACTAAGCAACTGGTTTTCTGGACATCTCAGCGGCAACAATTAAGGCCAATGACTGCCCAATGACCTTGAACTCTAAACATCTCGAACCCCATGGTGTATGTCAGTGTATCACTCAATGCTGCCTGTTTTTTTTGGCTCAATGATATCTGCAATACCATAAGGTCAACGTAAAATCAACGTTTTTAGGCGACAAGGTCGGCATCAAAAATTCTGCCCAAACTGGAAACTCGCCGATTTTTCCGACACGTCACCGTGTTGCGCCTTTGAGGCGTGGAGGAAACTCTACCGTGTCCCTGTGACCCACAAATGGATACTCAGCCAGATCCCAGGCGTCGACCCTGGCCTCGAAAGGCGCAGTTCACATTTTGCCACAAAGGGGTCTGACTAATTGGTTTTAAAGTTTAATGTTTAATTAGATTGAACATTTCAGTGGTTTGAGAAACATTGGAATCATTTGGAATCCTGAATAATCCGATAATCCGACTACTCTTTAAATGTTGGAGCCGTTCTTAGCTAAGAATCACTGCCACCAGTTTGCCGCAAACCTCGGAGAAACCTTCAATCTGTGCAAAGGTTCAACATGTTCAACAAACACCAACATCATGAAGAATCTGGAAAAACCTCAACACACATGAAGAAACATTCAGATCCCTCCATTCCAGCCCATTTCAGGCCATTACGAGCTGTCTCCTACGTTTCTGTGAGCGCCTTCGAATGCTGTGAACTGTGCGCTGCCTGCCATTGCATGGTCATCACAAAGAGTCAGAGTCCCGAAGTCCCAAGGGAGTCCCAAGGGAGTCCCAAGGGAGTCTCAAGGGAGTCCGTAGAGTCCCCGTCCTCGACCGCCAAGAAGACTGGAAGTCTCATTTGGAGCTTCACCTGCAAACACCGGTTCTTCAAAAAATGGTTCACATACCCTATCCACATGTCCTCAAATGGGGATGGGTCAAAACCCTGGTACCTATTGAACCCCAAAATAGCTGGTAAATGGATGTTCATCCCACTAAAAATGTATCTATAGGTATTGACCCATACCCAAATTGGGGGAAAGTGGGAGGCCTGTCTTTTTTCGCACAATCCATGGCTGATTATTCAATGATTATCCCATGGATGGCCTTGCGAGACCCTCATCCCTGGCCCAGGCAGCTGGTCGGCTTCGCCGCCTTGCTTATCAAAAATGTCACATTTTCGGTGCCAGTGATAAAACAAAATTTGCCATAAGAATCAATAGTACTCATCGCACAATTAGAATGATAATATAATGATTATATGTTATGTAAGAATGATGATCATCAGAATAATGATAAATAATGATAATGTGAATAATGATAATAAATATATAATGATAATTTAGTAAATAATAATGATAATAAATAATAATGATAAGAAATAATAATGATAATAGATAATGATGATAATAAATAATGATGATAATAAATAATGATAATCATGATGATAATAATGATAGTTGTAATCATTATTAACAAAACTAACAATAATAATGATGCAAGAGGAACAATTATACAAAAATATATATGAAGAACGATAAGAAGAATTACCAGACTAGTGATAAAAAGTATGATGAAACATGAAAAACATGCTATTAACAATGATACCAAAAAAAATATTAGTCATAGTCAACAAACATCAAGAAACTTAGAAAAATACATATAATCATATAAATTATACCTAAACAAAAAAAGGCAGAGGTAACCAACAACACCTGGAATGTTTTCCAAATTTGCTACAGCCCCACAACCACTGATTCAACTGCCGGGTCCAGGACCAGCTGCCCAGTCCCTGTAGATCCACCTGGTTTGATATCGCCATTCGAATCTGGTTGCTGGTTGCTGGTACCATCCCATCTCTAAGGCTGATACCATGCCAAAGGAACTCCCAGCAATGTTGTCACTGGTATGGACAAAGCAATGGCATTCGCTATATTGTACCTGGCTTCGCGGCGTTCGCCGGCGTTCGCGGCGTTCGCCGGCGTTCGCGGCGTTCGCGGTTGCATCCAATTGCTCATGTCTGACTCATGTCTCCAACATTTGACTAGACTTGAGCTGCCCCGCTCTTGTGAGAACTTCGACGAGAAGAGCGGCATATGTGACTTCACCTCAGCGGCATAGCAGGTGGAGTCACTCTTCAAACTATTCGACGCCACATTTTGAGTTAAGCCAGTTAAGCCAGTTAAGCGGCCAGAACGTCAATCAGCTTGACCAAGTCAAAGGAGCCTTCCATCCAGCAGGGTCCAGCTGGTTGATCTCACATCAGCTGGTTCTGTACCAGCCATCCGCCACTTAGAATCGCTACAAAAGTCTTGGGGATTCTTTGGGATTCTTTGGGTACAAAAATGGAAGGAAACCTCATGAGACTCATGAGATGGAAAGCGTGTCGGAGCGACCATTGATCAGGCACATGAGGCCCCAATAGCAAAGAAGCTGTACATTGAAATCCTGCAAACAAGCAGCAAAACGATCAGTAAAACGGTCACAGTTCTCTTCCCGTGTAGCAGTCTGATTTAACAGCATCAAAATCACCAGACTCCCTTCATGATTTCGGCGGTTTTGGTCTGCAAAACACTTGCAGCCAAACAAGAAGCTCCAGGTCAGCGTTGTAACAAATCTCTGGCAGCCACTTTCAGCTTGTTTCAACCTACCTAATTCACTATCTTTGAAGCTGCTTGAAGCTGGTGGAGTTACATCTCCGCCGAGTCCTCCCGTATGGCACAGAAGCCAACAGCTATCATAATGGCCTCAGTGTTGCAGCCACATCACTTGAATCCCACGAGCATGCTGAGCATATGCTCATCGCATGCTGAGCATGCGTCCATCAGGAACGCTCCCATGATGTCCAAGAAAACCACCTGCACCAGCACGGCCAGCACGGCACCAGCAACATCAACTATCAGTAACTATCAGAAGCCATCAGGATTGATGCAACCCGAGGCGCCATTCTCGCCAAACAGCAGAGGCCTCACCAAAGGAACTCGACGCTCCAAAGGTCCACAGATGTCCAAAGGCTGAGAAGGGAACTTTGTAGCACCAGGATGCACTGAACCCATGGCCGCCTGGAAAATCTGGAGAGGTGGCTTAGAATGCTTAGAACCAAAGATTACCAAAGCTGGCAAAAAAAAAAAAACTACACCAACGTGTTTATCCCAACGCATAGGCTCTAGGATGCTCCAGGTCTTCCAGCCATTCCGGCCTTGCCAACGCATAGGGAGTTGGCGGTCCACCCCTGAGCTTCGAGATTAGGCAGGGCAATGATCCATCCACCTGCCCAGTTTCTCAACTTAGACGAGGACATAGGGCCCATTGCTGGCATTGGAATGATCATGGCTGCAAAATATTCGATTATCCCAACGAAACCACTACGAAACAGCCAATTCGGGGTGTGATGGACACAGCACAGAAAACACCGGACGATGTTACGATGTTGTCTACTTCTTCAAAAACAACAGACTCCACACACCCCTGTTGGCAGAAAGGCCTTGAACCAGAACTGGTCGGTCAAGCAGAAGTTTTTGGAGGTTTAGGATGCAAAAGTGATATAATATCAGATACTTGCCAAAAGAAATGTCAAATGATGAGCTAGACAACTTGGCACAAAGCAAAGGGAAAGACTGACTCAAGCTGGTGAAGACAGGCAAGTGCCAACTCTGCGGAATTGCCTCTCCTTTTGACACTTCCAATTATGTGCAAATCGATCGCTGCAGCAACGGCTGCAATTTCTTCAGCTGCTGCAACTTTCAGATGACAAGCAGCAATCATCAGCAATCAATCATTAACAATGGATTCCTGATTCAAAGCACGAACCCTAGCAGTCCTGGCGCACAACAAACCACGTTTCCAAAGTTTTCCACACACAACCTCTTCTCTGGACCCTTGAAACGCACCTGAGTCTCATGTCATTGTTTTGTGAAAATTCTGCAGGACATGTGAGAAAAGCATCATCCCCAGCTGTTCCCACAGGTTTGGCCTTCACGGATGATTCTATTGCACCAAACACAACGGAAACATTTGCCCAAAAGTCCTCAGCTTCAAATGCATTGCTGGCGTCAGCAGCCACGGTTTTCACAGTCCGCCAAATTCCACCGAAAGTCTTCCTGAGCCGAAAGTCACCGTGTTTCCCCGAATCAAACCCCTGCTCTGTTTAATTCATGGGGTCCATGGGGTCCATTTGAACAGCCATTTATATCCATTTATAATATTTATAGCACTTTCGAATACTTTCCAGGGGATGCACCCCGCCAACCAGGGCGAATTACTCCCAGGCTGACAGCAAACGAATAACGGTGGTACCCGGTGGTACCCGGTGGTACCCGGTGGCACCATGGAGAAAAGAAGGAGCTACATGGCTACCTGGTCGCGCCCAGTCTCTATTGCGACCCGGGAAAAAGGCTGCCCATCGGACCCAAGCTCGGTGTCCATCCAAAGTTCGGATGCCTCAGATTCGGGAAATGGTCAGTTGGGTTCATGAAAAAGTTGGATGTCTTATCTAAACCCTCTTCATTAAACCCTTCAGTAAAGTTGACAATCCATAATATCCATCCAAAGTTGGATGCGAAATGATGGTGAATTGGGAAGCATGGAAAAAACATGGAAAAACAAAAAGAAGATCAAGAAGCTCAATGCACCAAGGTACACTCGCCGTTGTCAGCACGCCACACCTCAGTCTCCACATGCAATGTCATTATGACATAGCAAATCATACGACCATTATAATATATATATATACGATGATATACGTATATATATATATATACCGTTATATATATATTATCATATACAACCTGTATTAAAAACCGCAAAGTTGTTGCAATTGCGCTACCGGAACGGAACGACTGAGGGCACAGACTTTGGCTGTACCATCTTTCGATGCTGTGACAATCTTAGCGCCAGCTCCAAACTGTCACAAAACGCTTCAGGGAAAAATGCGGAAAAACTCCTCCTGAGGAAAAGGCCAATCCACCATCTTTGGAGAATGCAGCCATGCGAAGCCTTGTATTATTTGTATTGAATCTGTGGTCATCTGTGGTCATTGTCATCAAAAAGAAGTTTTCTGACATCCCCAGCTCTGCAAATTCTAAAAGTAGCTGAAGCTGAGGACTAGACCAGTCTTGGTGTCCAGACAGCGTCAACAAGGGCTTGCCTGAAACAGCACTCCAGGTCATAGCCTGTCAGCACGCAACTGTTTACCCTCCATATCCATGCGCACCGAAAGCTACAAGCCCGGCTTGCTGTGGCAAGAATCCATAAGAATCCACCATGGTGGTCCATTGTGATCCATGGTGATCAGCCATGGTGCACGTGACCCGCCTTGCCATCGCCGGAAGCTGTGACAACCTCGGCAGAGGAACATGAAACCCAACACACCACACGGGTTTTCACTACACAAAGTAGCTGGTTTAGGCTGCATAGATGTTTGTCCCTCCATTCACATGAAAAAGTTGGGAAAAACATGGAAAAATATTGGTTTCGACTTTTGACCTATCCTCAACTCTCAACTTGACCCTTTTGTTCCATATTCATCCAGTTCATCCACATTTGGGCTGTGGCTTTGAGGCTGTCGGGTGAGAAAGCCGCACACCGCAACCAGTCCGTGTGACCTCCAACGGTCCCACAGGTCCCACAGGTCCCACAGCTGGACGCAGCGAAATCTGGGTTCATCTTCGCCTGTGATGACGATCTTGTCTTTACCCGTCTGAAGGTCGGAAATCCTGGCAATCTATGGCAATCGATCCGTTTGCAAAAAATCCGAAGTCGACCCCCAAAATCGCCGACACGGTTCGACGCAGACGGCAACGTTAAACCGGCAGGTCCTAGCAGATCCATCCATGGAAGCGGTGAGCAGAAGAGTGCTGTCATGAGAAAACTGGACGCTGAAGACCTTCGCGTGATATGTGAAATATGTGACGTATATGTGAAGTAATTCAAGATTGGGGTCAAGAACTTTTGGAGACACTGAGAATGTAAACTCATGTTAATAAGCGCAGTTGCCAAGCTCCGGAAATAACAACATCGCACCTTCTTCTCATGGCTTGAAATCTTTTGCACCTGGCATCCGGAGCACACAACATTGGCATCCAGCACCAACTCCCAATGTGACGCTGTCAGCCTGCTGGAGCGTCGCAGCGTTCCAAATAATCACCTGCCAACAGATATCCATGGTCCATGGTCCACGGTCTGTGGGTCAAACCAAAACGGAGTGCAAATCGACAATAAACGTGACCACATTATTTATTTAGTACTAAACTGTTTTCAACCATCCAATGGTCGGATCAATGGGGTCCCACTGGCACCCCCTGTTTTTGTCATAGCCATGTTCGCCATGTTCCCGACGTCGGATTGTCGCTGGCCTCACTGTCGTCCGTGGCGGTTGCGATCATCTCGCCATTGGGCGAGTAGACTGCGCTATGAATCGTCCGCTCGAACCTAGAAAGTCGATCGAAACTGTGACAGGTCTGACGGTCCTCCCCAAGCAATGGCTGATTTTCACCAAAGGGGCCGTCCTCAACCCACAGATGAGGTCATATGAGGTCAAAGACTCATATGACTATAACTCATATACCCAGATATACCAGTGATATACCCCGCAATTCTAAGGAATCCAATCGAGGTTGGTGACCAGCACAGCACTACCATCATTGCATCATTGCCCTTCACCACCACTCGACTAAGCTCCTCGCTTTGCCAAAGTCTTCTCACAGCCTCCAGTCCTGATGCTTCTACGACTTGGTGGCGGTGCCAGCATCTGCCAGCGATCGTCATTGGCACATTTAAATGACATGCGATCGTCATTTCATCGGGATTCCAAACATGTCATATTCTTAAACCCGCAGCCCAGGAAGTATTGCAAAGATTTCCACGGCCCATGGCACCATGAAAGGTGGCGAATCCACAGCTACCATCGGTGGCACATTGGTGGCTGTCAAGTGTCGTCGAATCCCAAATCTTCACACTTCGATCATGAGAGGCTGTCAGTAAGTTGTAACCTCGGGCGTTCAAAGTGTTGTGGTTGCTAATGACAGGGAACAAAAAAGTGACTGGAACTGGTTCGTTCATGTTTTTGGCTCATCACGCGGCCACGCGCCACCATGTTGTGTTCAGGTCAGCACCATCTGGCGAAAAGAACGCACTGTAAACTGGACCAGAGTGACCCACCTCAATAAGTCAAAGTCCAAGTATGGCCACATCAATGGATAATCAGGCTCATTTGATGTCAGACAGAAGATCTGGAAAAGCCACACCACAATACCCGACGTGACCCGATGGACACCGGCCAATGATGGCAAGCACTTGGGTGGCGACACAGGTTGCCATGCACTGCCCACTCTCACAGTGCCACAATTTGGCAGTCTTGTCCTGAAATTGCTCAACTGAAGGTAGCCGCATGAAGTTATGAAGCCAAGATGGGCGTAAGAATAAGGATTAAAAGCTGTTGGAGACGCTGGAATCAGTCGCTTGCTTTATATTTTCTTGAACCCAAAGGTTTTGACCATCAATTGTTCATAGCTTTTCGGTTTCAATTGTTCATCGTTTTTTTTCAAATGTTCGGTTTCAAAGTATTTAAACAATGAAAGAACAAAAAATATCGAGATCTTCGCTGAGACACGGTGGATGCTGTCGCAAGCAGTTCGCCATCGGGCGAAAAGGCCACACACATCACCTGGCTCAGGATATCCGAGGCCCAAAAAATGGCCATTTTGATGGGCGAAAAGAATAGTACCGTATGTTGATAGTTTTGCTGAGATACAAGATCAAACGAAACCCGAGCCATCCAGCCTGATCTTCGTGCCCAAGAAAGGACATCAGGCATTCCCCAGTGCCAATGTTCCACAGTCGTGCTGTATGGTCAATGGAAGCAGTTGCAACCTTCACTGAACAGTGCAGTGGCAGAGGGAATAGAAATGAAGGGGAGAAAAACACAAGGAACGCAAGGGCTATCCATGGCTATTGGAATGGCTATCATTGGCTATCCAGTAGCATCAATAGCATCCTTAGTTCTACCTTGCCACAGCATGAATTCTTGGCCTACTTTGCCACTGCTTGCAAGGCCAACTGTTCCTCGCACCACCTGGCACTGTCGCACAGCACCAAGCATGCCAGGCGTAAAAAAAGGGTCCTTAAAATTGTCATCAAAATATCTTCCACAATGCCCACCTGCAGCGTACTATGCGCCAGAGTTTTCAAGAGCTCGAAGTTTCCAGATGCAACGACATCCTGCGCAGAAGTCTTCATTGATTTCTTTCTCGCTGGCAAAAAAGGAAAACGAAGAACACTTCTTCAGCATGTGCCTGAGGAACTATCCAGCTCCCGCCAACCGCGACAACCTTTCCGAGATGGCAGGTGTTTCCGCAAAAAGCATGATTCGGTCATCTGACTTTGCACGAGCTGTTGAATTCCTGACACATGCTTTACATGGTGGTATCGCAGCTCCAGTGGCCTGCTTCAAGGCAAGATAGTCCTCTGCCAGGATCGCTTTCTTTTAGATTCTAATTTTATCAGAGTCCCTTGCGAAAAAAATATGTGGCAATGGGCAAATGGATCCCCAGATGGCATGATGCACAATGCTTCAAGGCATCTCGACTCTGAGCGTTTTATTTAAAGAAAATGCAGGAAATCAGATGAAATAAGTAACGCAACTGTCGTTCACCCCGAAAAAAACAGTTCTGCATTGTCTCCTGCAAGTTCTTCTCACTCACCCCACCGGTGGGATAGAATGTGAGATGTGGATAGGGTGCAGAAACTGCCTTCAAGCCCGCCGGACCGCCATTGGCCTGGAAATCATGGCGGGGCTTGAGCCCGAACCGAAGAACTCATTGGACTATCATGGGGTTAGAATTGGATTGTTTTGATTACAACACGATTATTGGATTATAATGTGATTATACTAGGATTATCATGGGATTATCATGGAGATTCAGGATTAGTGTGAGATCCACCATTGAAGGGGAATATTCATAGACAATCTTCATGGACATTGAGCATGAACAAGACCAAGCACCTAGTGACCAGGTAACAGAGCGGAGAGGCTGGAAGTCTTAATGAAAGCAACAGCTGTTCAAAGAGATCATCTTGTCAAACATGTGGGTTTGTCTGAAAATAGTGTACCCCTACACCCAATGGTTAATGATCATTATCCCTACTAAATGGCTATAATTGGGGGTATACCCCATTTTCAGACATACCCATGTTCCCACAGTCTTTTGCCTCGGCTGGGAAGAATTTCAGCAGCGTGAGACCTCTCCTGCGCCAGGCCGGTGATTTTCAGAGTGAATGGCAAGAATAGAAAAGCATAGAAAAGCCACCAACATATACATGTATATATATATGAATGTATTATGTGTATATATATGTATATGTATATGTGTGTGTGTGTTTATATATACATTATAACGTTCTGGTCGCTACTCTCGCAATTCCGCTTCAGCTTTATGTGTCGCGAATTGTCGCCTGCTTGCAAGCTCCACTTCTGATGGTGACTGGACTCCAGGTATCACCTGGGCATCAGCTGATCAGCCGAGTCATCAGCATCCGCTGATCAGCTGATCCCAGGCTGAGCTGCTCACTGGGATGGCGTGATCCAAGCACCAGTCGACCACCTCCATATTCAAACCCAGCGTCACAATGAACTTGGCACCGGCACGGACAGCCTCAGAATCAGCACTGGCACGGCAGCTTGGCAAATGCTTGGTAAATGCTTGGCAGATGCTTGGCTGACTTGACCGCTGTTACACAGTCATTGCTTTCTCTTCTGCGCGAAATCCATCACTGTTAAAGTCAGCGGGTCACTAGCACACCTGCCACACCTGTCTCTGCCAATGTTCTGGCAGAGTCAAAGTGCTCAGCAAAAGAATCTCTAAGGTCCTAAACGATCCTTTGGGACGAACTGACCGATGTCGATGCAGAACTTCAAGTCGGTAGCAACGCTTTGTTGCATCCGTTTTCAAAGCTATGGCTGCTTAGCTCAGCGCATCACAATTCACATTGGAATGATCTTCTGAGAAATACTGGCATCAGCACCAGCAGGCAACTCATGCATCTCCACAAAATCATCTTTCATCTGTCCAATCAGACCAGGTTCGACACAGACAAACTCCTGCGAACAGAGGCTTTAGATTCTAGTCTTCTGCATGGGTTTGTGGATTGGTTCACTTTGCATTTAAATTGGAACCGAAAAAAGGAAAGACAAACACTGCCCTGGCATCCCTTGCTCCTTGAATGCTGGTGGAGGCAAATCACCTGGGGATTTCTCTGCATAAGGGTTCCACCTGGCAAGCTGCGCAAACGTGACCCCTCGAGATCCTGGTGCAGCCTGGTGGCCCCTTTTTCTCCACGAATTCAGCCAGGATCACACCACAATTTCGATGGGTTTGGCAACTCCTGCAATGAAGCCCTCGTTGCAAATGGCACAGGGCGCCTCGTTGCACAAGCGTCTGGCAAACAGGGCTAAGAGGCCGGAGTTTGATCCAAACCAGAAAAGTTGCATTTTGGGTCACCATTCAGGTCACTGCAGCGCCGTTCTTGTGAACAATCGTCACATCCTGAGGACGCGAACTGTACACTTTGCAGATATCATCGCGCTACAGCAATTGTTCGTCCTTGGCTGCATTCCCACTTACAACATCCTCAGCGGTCCAGGAAGCGAGAACAGCTGCCCTTACAAAAAAAAATGAATAAACAATATGAATATAATATGAATATAATATGAATATAATATGAATATAATATGAATATAATATGAATATAATATGAATATAATATGAATATAATATGAATAATTGATTGTTAGTTCAACAGTTCACGATCTTGCGGTATTATTCCAATATTCATTCAATCATCGATATTCTGCTCTGCATTTCATCTCGTTTCGTATGGTCTGGGTCTCAGGTCCTCACCTTGCCACCGATGTACACGCGATCCGTAAAGGCCGGGAGCTCCACGTCTGGTCCAAGCTGCGCTTCTTTCCCGCCTTTCACCTCAGATCTCGGTGAAAAATGTCTGCTTCACCAGGTGAACTCGGCAGGAAAAACCTGGAAACAGCATGGAAACAGCATGGAAACACCTGAAGAAAATCTGAACATGGCCTTGTCCAAATACGTTCGACCTCCAAGCCCTCGCACAGTCACCTGCAACAAACATCAACAAACCACATGACGGACCATCATCACAACTATTGACCCAGACGGGGTCAGCCACCTGCTCAATATCTGGAATCCGGAAGTATGTGTGGAGCAAAGTCTGGAAGGTGAAAGGAGCCTGGCAGCAATGACACCTATATGATCCTATATGAACATGATCTCAACATGATCATTGGGATGCTGTCACAAAAAAGGTCGTCCAGAATTGGAGTTTCTGTCGATACTTTTCTCTTCGGGGAATATGCCACACATATGCTAACTGCACCTGGACTTGGCTGCCAGTACAAGTCCATGCTGTTACCGCATCTTACGACTTGGCACCAATTGTTGTCGCGTTCTCAGCTTCTGACATCTCCAGTATTCTTTACTCTTAAGGTCATTTTCAGAGAGGCCTTACAAAAAGAATCAGTTGCAAGCACAAATAAAGCCGACATAGCAAGGACAAGAATGGCATTTCACAAAATGACCGATATCATCCGATATCTAGTCGCCATTTAAGTCACAGTATTTCACAGTCATGTTGACTCATGTTGACTCATGTTGACTCATGTTGAGTCACTTGAGATTCCGAGATATTCCGAGACTCCCGCAGCTGTCAGTGAGACCACAAACTCCAGCATGAAGGCATGGTTCCAAACCGCTCGGGTTGCCTGCGGTCCGAGACAGACTGAAGTGTGAGTAGATTACAAATGGAAAATCCACAGCAAAGAATCCCCAGTTTTTGTAGTTGATGAAACTGGCTATAATCATAGCGGCTATACTCATATATACCCGGATTTTTGGGATGAATTTCCATCCCCCAGCAGTTGATATTTGGGGATGGTGACCATCGAAGTCGGCCTCGCTATCTTTGAGGACCAAGAGGGCTGTAGACTCAGTCGTGCCGTCTGAAAATAGGCGAAAAATTACCCCCCAAACTATGGCCGTTTGAATGGAGGAAAATATGTGTGTGTATAAATAAATAAATAAATAAATATATATATATATAATATATATTATGAAAATATGGGAAAGGATCTTTGATAAACTAACAAGTCTGGGACGTACACATCGTACACTATTTTCGGACATTCAGACTGATGGATGTTCGTAGTTGGCTTCTAGGGACGCAGCGCCCTCGGCATTGTCCTCCAGCGTCCGTTGAAAGAAATAGTTCAAGCGGAAACAGCTCGGCAGCTCAACTTGGCATTTGAGACGATGCTGTCACTACCAAAAATGCCCGAATTCATCCATCAACAGCACATCTTTCTGATCCGACAGTTGGAAAGAATGCATATTGATTCAATATTGATATCCAAATGGTTGTTTCCTCCATGCAAGCAATATAACATTATGTGGGCCATTTTGGCCACGCTGCCATATTTCCGGTCTCCTTTCTTCAATAATCAACGATGAAAAATATTTTTTGCGCTTCGTGATCCTTCTGCAGATTGCTTCAGGTTCAAACGCAGATCGGGAACTTTGATACTTCTTTCATGGAATAGAATGTCTGTGTTTTATCGTTCTATTGATGGTCCATTGATAATCCCTTTTCCAAGAATCTGTACGAAAATTGACAGAGAAATTCATAGGTCCTCCAAAGACGCCAATGACCAGTGACTGGATCGTGCAAAACCGTGCTGCGCCATCGCCTCAAGGTCCATTTCAGGCAGATTGAGTCCAAGTACAAAATCAAGACAGCTCGAGTTTGCTGCGGAAGACTTGCCGTGAAAGAGTCAACTCGAAAGCGACTTCCAACTCGGAACCACCTTATCCGGCTGGCCGAACTGCGGGAACACCAAAGGTACTCCGCCACGAATCGCCTGCAATCGACTGTGGGAAGCATGGCAGGGCGCCAGGGCCTTTGTTCTACGTCCTGTGGGTTTTCCCCCTGTGTTTGTCAACGACTGGCCTTCTTTCCATCAAAGATGGCTCCAGGTGAAACGAAGATTCCTTGGCAGGGTGGCCATAGTCATCCATTGTTGGACCCATCAGACTGGAGACCAAAATCCCAAGCTGAATCAAGACCAGGGTTCGCTCGACTCCGTCAGGAGTCTTGTAGCTGGTCAGAGTAGCTCCAAATAAGTAGATCTGCAAAATGGAAAACTCTGGGGAATCTGGCTTGAATCTGGGGTCGGCTTGAAGCAAGTCAACCACAAGACTCAACTTGGACCTGGGCTGATGCTCCGCTGCCATGACGCAGCCTGGAAGAGGAAAGAGATGGAATTCAACGGGAAACAACTGCCTATCCGCCGAGGTGCTCCACTGTGTCCAAATCACCTTGACCCTTTCCGGGACCACTCATCCTCAGAATTTCTGTCAGTTTAAGACTGCAAGGCACACAAAATCACACAAAGCTGCGAAAGATCCCGAAACCGAAGAAAACGAACGGCTCGAGCCCCTAGAACTGAGCGATTCACACGTCACAGATCGGGAAGTTCCCGCGGGAATTTATGCTGATAAATGGCTGCTGTGCGACGTCGTCAAAGAAAAAGAACATCCTCCTATGAAGAAATGATTCGGTGCACAAACAAAACTGATGTAATGTGGTAAACCCAATCAATACTAAACTAAACCATCCGTAATATCACCAGAAAATTGGGGGTTGATGGCAATTGGTTTTACCACATTACTTCTACCCTCTTCACTGTGTCTCCAACCATGGCAGCTTGGTCTGCAGTCAGAACAGTACCGGCTCCTCTGCAAAACATGGTTGTTGCACTGCAAACATGTTGTGTCTTAAAATGATGCATTACTTTACCCCGAAAATGTGGCAAGTTTACCTGGGAAAATGATGAACCACCGGCGGATCACAGGGTATTTCGGTGTTTCCCCGGAAATTTTCAAACAAACCCGCACCAACTACTCAACATAAAACAAAGGATCTTGTGGCAAATTCCGGAGTGATCCAAGTGGGTACTGGGTTGGGGCAGCAAGTTGCAACACCGCTCCCACAAATGCACGCGTCTTGCTCATCATTCGAAAAGAGTCGAGCACGGAAGGTCGGAAAATGACCTGAAAAACGTTAAAAAACATGTCCAAACTCTGAGAAACATCCACGGGAAACCAAAATATTTCCATCGCAGCATCAAACGAAATCCTTATATAATTTACATATGTATCATATATCATTATGATATATATATATACACGTTTTTTCCACATTGTGAACAATCGGTTGACGCCTCCAACACAAAGAAACCTCCTTGGACCAAAGCATCTGCCAAATCAGCGGCCTCTCAGGTGACCGAACGGATTCGGATTGGTTGATTCACCAAGCGATTCGCATATGGTACGATTTTTTCTCTATATACTATACAAATTTGTACAATATTTTTTTAAAAATGTATGGGAAATCCGGAATTCGGCACACATTTGGGTGGTTGATTTCGCGCCTTCTCCTCACCTTCTAGGCCCAAGACCTCAAGATAAAACAAAGCGGAAAAAACGGAAATGATTGTCGAACTGTTTCTGAGTCAAAATGCAATCCGCTCGAAGCCCCTTGCAGGAACGATTTGCACTCTCCGGAGGTTGTGCTGCAATTCCAGCTCTGCCCTCAGGAATGCCTCCAGTCTGGTTTGGTTCAACTGTTGGCGCCCAGGCAACCCTTTTATGGCACAATGTTTTGAAATTGTGGCGAATCCATTGGCAGATCATGAATTTTCAATTCGCGGCACCTGACTCTTGTACTTGCTCCTTTTCGATGCAGCAAGTACTCCAGCAGCCGCTGTGGCCCCTGGAAATGGCGTGTTGAAAACCACGGCACGTGGCCACAGCCATTGGCTCACTTGGGCAACCACCGGCCAGGGCTCCGATCGTGGCAGCAGCCAGTAGGGTCTGGCATGGCGGATGTAAACCCAATGGTTTTCAATCCAATTTTTTCCAAATGCAGAAACGTTTTTGTCAAACCAAACTTTGCATGTCAAACAATGATGTTTGACAAATCCGATTTTTTTTCCTTGCCTTGCTTCCCTCCATCGCTCATCTGCACCAACTATGGCGCGGACAACTCACATTGCGCACACGAACTTTTCATTGGGCGTTCATGACCGGGTGTGACATGTTGGAGAATTTCCAAAAACCCAAAACGAAGATTCAATCCGCACTATGGTGGTGGATCTACACGTTTCCAACAACCCTTGGAAATTGTGGCGCGCATCAGTCCGATTGAGTCTTGATTGTGCTGGAAAACGAAATCAAAAGTGCTGCTGCCGTGCCGGAACAATCCGAATCCAAATGCGCAAACCCTGGGCGTCATGTGTCATGCAACAAAATAATGCTGCATTCGATCCCGGGCGCGTTTGTATTAACGATATGGCCACAGGATGTGATTGTGCGTTGGCATATTGGAACACCTCAACCAAAACCCATGCACAAGTCAAAAGGGAAGGAACACACAATAACCACAACGAAAACATTACAACGTACGAAACATCACTTTTTCGATGTTTGTTATCATTTCGTTTTCATAAAAACTGTCGTTGCGAACCATGCCACCATGCAGAAACGGCCTTCCAATCAGAAGTGCAAATCAAAAAATTGAAAAACAACAGACCAGAGAAGGAGTGAAACCAAAACAGCCTCTCACGATGCCGAAATGGAAAATGCAAAGAGGGACCCGGCACAAACAAACAGATTCAACAGTGAACCATGTATCATTTCGCTGTTTGAGTTCTTGTCGTCCCCCATTGGTCGTGCATCAAACACGTGCACTTACTTGGTCCACGGCACCTTTTATGCTGTGGTGTATTCAGCAACTCTTTGAAATTTCATGTTGCAATTCAATGGGAATTTCCAGTATTATAGATATTATAACGATCTTTTGATACTTTCTTCTTGCCACCTCATTTCCACGCAGAAATAAGTTTTGAACCCAAAAATACAATGGGAACTGTGATTTTTTTCCGCCTTTTCAAATCTCGGGACCTACTTTCAACAGCATCAGTATCATTTTTGTGCAGCACCACGGTGGAACCCCCCAAAATTTCATGCACTGACATTGGGCCCAGCAATCGCCGCTATTGCCATTGGAAAATATTGGAAACACATTCGTCCAAATTCTACACCAAACGTTACCACCGGTCAGTCACCACTGGTGCTTCGCCTTGCAAGGTTTTGCCAAGAAGACATCATCAGCGTAGCATCTTGCGAACTTTTCCGAAACCGAAAGTAACCTCTGACCAAGTGGTGACAACGTGCCTCGACTGGCATGTTGTTTTCACAAAAGAGTAAGTACCACGATTCCAATGCGAGACTTGTGGTCTCTAAGGCAATCATTCATTCATTCATTCATTCGTTCATTCATTCATTTCATCCGTTCATGCATTCATTCATTCATTCATTTCATTTCATT